TTTGCACTTTCGAGTAGAGTGTCTTAGTTGTGTAGTTTTGTCTGATTCTTGATTGGATTCATTGTATTGTGTGTTTTCTACTAACTTCCACATATTTTGTATTTTCTGTTAGTGATTCACTTTCTCTGAGAGTGTTGCTTCATCCTCTATGGATGCACCAAGGTCCTGTTGTAAATGAGGAGCTGTTTCAGAGTGATAGTTTGGGTTGTTGTGTCCAGGAGAAACGTGTTGAAGATGTTTGATTACTTAGGGAGCTTTTGTTTAGGTTTCCAGAACATTCAATCCTATCTTGTTTCCTTTGGATTTTGTTTCAAAGTGTGTCTGTCCTTGTTTGTGTACTTAGCAGCAGTATTTGTCTCTGTTGCTAGGTCCTTTGGACTTGGATTTGTTGTCATTTTCCTTGATATCTAACTTGTTTTCTTAAATGTCTTCCAAGTCCCCTTTAATTTGTGAAGGTTTTGTATTGAGGAATTGTATATTATGTTCAATAGTTATTTTTCTATCATACTATGTAATGTGACCTTTTGAATTATTGTCAAAACCTATCCATTGTCTGTAATAACCTCTATCTGTAATTTTAGATGGGTTTTTGTTCTGTATTATAATGTATTGACCAAATTCGTGTATGTTGTCAATACTAGTATTGTGTCTGTATTGTTTATAATAAGGAGTTACATATCCTATTACTCTTTAAGGAGTTCTATTGTGAATATATGCTTGTAACATTGCTGCTTCTGCCCATAGGCATAATAGAATGTTTTGTGAAGTAATAGAGGCATGTATTTGATTAAATATTGTTTTATGTGTTTGTTCTGCTACTCTATTCTGTTACAGTGTATGCTTTACTGTTAGTCTGGATTTTGTTCCTTGACTAATTAAGTATTCTTAGAAGAATTTCCTACAGAATACTCTATTGTTATTGCTTTACAATTGTTTTATTCATATACTGTGTTGTGTAAATATGTTTGTGCTCTATTGAACATACTGAGTATATGTGTTGTCTTTTGTTCATAATTTTAATAATGATACCCAATGTGTTGTGTTATCAACTAACATTAATAGATATTGTATATTCTTATATCCTTCATAGGATATTGGACCTATTATATCCATATGTATTATATTACTGTAGTTTGCACTTATTTCCAAAGATCTTGTTTTTGGATGTGCTGTTTGTTCAATGTTTGCTTTTATACAATCAACACATTGTTTTTCATTAAAGTTTGTTATCTTTTGAGATAATATTGTTGTGTTGTTCTGTAATAAACGTTTAATATAATCATAACTGATATGACTGAGACGTTTATATAGATTGTAAACACTGATTCCACTCATAGAATTCATGTAATGAGTGTTTCTTAATGTATATAGGTTGTTTTCAAGTTTAATTGTTCCTATTTCACATTGTTTGTAATAAATAATACATTCTGCTTGTTTGAACATGAATGTGAAACTGTTGTTACATAATAATGCTTGACTTATAAGTGAAAAGTTCAAATCTGAATGATAATAAACATGTGTTAACATTATTTTACTAATTACAGGATTGTGTGTATTTCCTGAATTTCCCCTTTTAATTTCAATAATCATATCTCTGGCCTTTGTAAGAGTCACTGTTGATTTGTTTGCAAGTGTAACTGTTACCAGGAATACGTTTTGTACGTTTGTAAGGTGAAAGTAATATAGTGTAGCATGAATTGTTACACTAGAATCAATTATATTGATTGTATTAGGGATATATTTATTTATTAGTGTGTTATTTTTGTCCAAGATATTATTATAACATACCCAGTTAGTAAATGGGTTGTTTGTGTCTGCATTTGCAATAGTATTTGCCTGCTGAGAGGCTGGTACATCTGTCATTTTGACATCTGGCACCTGTTCAATGTATGTGTTCACACACAGTGTAGTTACTACTAGTACAGATTTTGCTTCCATTGCTTCTATTGTGTTAGCTGAAGGATTAGCCTTTTTGGCTCAGGCATCTAGCATTGATTGAGTTGGTGACTTCTAGCAATCACAGGAGAAGTGCCCTGATTTGCTACAATTGAAGCATTTTGATACAGGGGTTGGTTTGCTTGTATTTTTGTTGTTTCCCTTCTTTCTGTACTTTTTATCTTTTGTACAAAACATATTTGCCTGTCTGTGTATTGTAGGTTTGTTGTTTATGTATTGTGTAGGGTTTTTGATGCAAAAATCATTAAACACTTGGTGTAGTACTGTAATAAGTCTTTGTGGCTTGATAGGTTGATACTCAGATTCAGGTTTTCTATTGTAAAACATGTCTCAAGCTTGTTCCATAGCTGTAATAGTACCACTATATTCAGGAGGGGTTGTAGTATAGATAGCTGCTCAATACATAGTGTCTGTAGGTTTTAAATCATCTGCTACTAGTTGTACATATATCTGCTCTAGTTTATCAAGTACTTGTCCAAAGTTTTTAACATGGTCATTGCATTTAAATAGTAAAGACTCATCATATGCTTTATGTGTAACTGTATGAGGGTTGAAATGTTCTTCTAATCTGCTCATAAGAGTTTTAATCAACGTTCCAGTATGTATAAAGTTAGCCATTATATGATCTGCTACTTTATCAATTATTGATGTGTAGATTGTGTGTACAACCTCAATGTCTTCAGGCTTTGGTTCATTTGTGAACAAGTACATATAGCCTGTTGCTACAATAGCAGAGTTAATCCAATACTTCCATATCTTGAATCTGGATGTGTCTTTTAGTTGTGTAATGTTGTGTCTAAAGTGTTTAGGTACATTAGTAGGTTTGTAATGACTTGTATTTGTCCTTTACAAGTTATTCAAAGGTGTAGATGAGTTTGGTACAGTTTTGTTTGGTGTATAGAGATTGCAGGTACTTAGTGAGTCCATTGTAGATTTGTAGTATCAATGCAAAGTAGTGTAGTATAGTCTCATAGTAGTAATGTAAAGTGTTAAGCAGAGAGCACAAGGCTCATAACCTGTTAGAATGTGTATTCTTAGGTTATCACACAAGTAATGAGGGTGTAGACCCTGATAATGATCTATATTTAGTTACTAAGTTGCTTGCTTTTATGTTATTCATTCGTCTGTATGTCTTAGACATCCAATATATCATTATCTCATATCTGATACTTATTGTGTATCTGATACATGTCTTGTATTGTGTATCTGATACATGTCTCATTGTTCTGTGTCTGTTCTGTTTATATGCATATTAATCATCTTATCATTACTGTAGTGTCTGTAATTGTATTATTGATTGTAATACATGTTAACAAATAGTATATATAATACATTAATCTAAGGACAATAAAGCTAACAACAAATTACAAACTACACAGTTGACTTGTATTAACACTTATATACTATGAGTAGAGTCTACTAAACCCTTACTTGTGTAACTTACTCTTAGGGAAACATTACAACAATAAAACACTAACAAGGGGTTTAGTAGACTCTACTTATAGTGTGTAAGTATTAATATAAGTTAACTGTGTATATGTCTGTATAAACTTTATCATTCATAGATTAAAGTATTATATACTATATAATATTAAATGTCTTGAATGTATGTCTCAGAAAACATATCTTAGTAATAGTATATATTTGTAAGATGTTTGTATGATTTGAAACATATAATACATTTATTTGAAATAAATGTTAACAGTAAGTTATACTAGTAAGAGTTTAGTAAACTCTACTTATAGTTTAATAGTATTATAACTAATAAATTAAAGTAGTTTATATATTACTAATTAATATTATATGTTTTAAATGTATGTTTTAGTTATTAATGTCTTAGTTTAATAGTGTATATTTGTAAGACACTTATATATTCAAAACATATGACACTTTTATATTTTTGTTATTTAGGTTTACTTATAATAACTTTATTAATAGTAAATATTAGTATATACTATTAAATTCTAATTTATATATTAAAAATGTACACAATTAGTACTCTAAATTTAAACAGAAGTTACTTAGTATTATTTACTTTAAATATAAAAAAGTAATAATAATTATACTTTTTACTTTAAAACTAAATTAACTAATATATTAAAACAAGTTATCCTTTTATTATTTGTAAATATACTATAAATAATATAATACAAGTATGTAACAAAAGTCTTTATTATTCTTTAAAAAGTAATTGTATTTGTTAGTAATTTGTTTTACTACTGTTTTCAAAATACTTAGTACTAATATATTTTATAATAGTTTGTTATACTAAATATGTTAAAATACAAAATTTACTATAACTTAATTAATACACAATCATTTTGTATAATTTAAGTAACTAAATTTATTAATATTTAATATATTTAATATTCTAACAAAAATAAAGAAAATTAACTAAAAATTAACTAAAGTATAGTATAAAATAACATTTATTTTTATTTTTTCTCTAAACTAAAACTAAATATATAAACTTAGAAAACTGTCTATTCTAGTTGTATACATTAATAATTAATTTATATACTTAATTTGTTATAAATGAATTGTTTATTCTACTTTATAAAGGAAAGGTTAAAATGTATAAAACTAACTATTTTACTCTATTCTTTCCTACACTCACTAACATTTTTTCAACCTTAAATTGTATTTCTAAATTAAATATAAATGTATTAGAGTAGTTTGTAACAAGTTTCATGTTAATATATTAAGAATTAATCTTAAAACAAATAAAATAAGTAGAGTACTTATAGTAATATACTACTTATTTTATATAATAGTTTTTTAGTTTTTTGACTCTTTTTATATTCTTCTCATTTCTTATATAATATTTTATCTTAATAACTTAAAATATAATTAGTATAAGAGTTGTAAACTTAATTTATAATTAGAGTATACTATTAACTTAAAGAATACATTTTTTAACACTTTTAAGTACTTTTATAAAGTAACCTAAGTAAATTTTAAAATATAAAGAAAGAAAAGAAATACAAATTACATTTTAATAAGTTTTTAATTATATTAAGGTTTTTCTAAATTATCTAAAAACTCGACCACAGCAGGACTTGAACCTGCAGTCTCCTGATTTCTGTCAAGTGTATGACAATCGAAGTCAGACGCCTTAACCATTAGGCCATGCGGCCATTGATTTAGAACTCTGTATAGAAGACATGTTTTACTTCTGTTTATTTATTTTACTTTGCCGTAAGTTTTCGTAATATTTTGTACTGTGGTACAGGAGTCAGTTGATTGAACTGAGGGCCCAGGCAACAAGGGCAGTGTACATCGTTCGATATTGAATTGTTTGAATGCCTTTTGCGAGAGCGATTCTGTAGGCCATAGCAAGCGTACACGAACGGAAGACACTGAACTGAAGAAAGGTTCAGGTGAACGGTGCCTGGCCAGGTAAGGAAGGTCGTTCGCAGATGCCAAGCCTGAGGCTGAGCCATCGCGAAGGCTGCGCACTCCGGTCATAATACAACGGTAAGTTTCAGTGGGAACACGCCCTTTTCTTCTTTCTTTCATCCCATTCACCTTCCTCTCCGTGCTCCCGGTCAATGAGCTCGGACAGACCCCAGTCGTCCTCCGGGACATCCAGACGACTCAGCTGGATCAACTGGTACTCCACTTCTAAGGACAGGGACAGAGACAAGGACAGAGACAGAGACAGAGACAGAGACAGAGACGCCCGCGCCACTCTCGCAAGCCCGCCAGAGGGCAAGGAGGTTGTCGATTACAACTCGGGCAGTACCGACCCTTCCACTCATTCGCCCGTCGGAGGCGGGCTCCCTTTCACTCGTTCTTCTTCCTCCTCTGCCTTGAGTGCTTCCTCCCATCCGTCCGAATACAATGCTGACAGACCATCTACTCTCAGTCGGCGATTCAGCACCAATAGTGTTATGTCGAAGCAGGAACTCGATCAGGAAGCATCCAAGATCATTATGAACGCCGCTGAGCGTACGGCTTCGCGTGAGCCTCCTCAGACCCCCCAAGCGTCCCGCTCGACGGGTGGATTCAGTAGGAAGTCATTCACATCCATGATGGGTGGCTTAGGCGGTCTATCGGCGCTGTCTCTTACGCGTAACAGCACTGACGACAAAGATCGAGGTCGATCACGGACCAAGGACAGCAATAAGCCTCGATCATCTTCGGCCGTTTCAGACAAATCGGTCGACGAACAAGACGCAGGCGTTCCGAGCCGGGCTCGCAGCGCCTCTCCCTTCCGCCGCAGGAAGCTGTTTTTGCGCGATCCCTCACCGTCCGTCGAGGCACTCAAGCTTTCGCAATCGGACGTGGAGTCGGATTACGAGGGCGGTACGCCTACGCGCAAGACCATTCGTCCCCGAAATGCGTTTTCGCAGTCCTTGGAAGCTTCGGATGACGAATCCGCCGATGATGCCGAAGACGAGGGCGACTCGGATGAGTCGTGGAGTGACAATGATAACTTCGATCCCATAACTATTCAGAATACCAATCAAAACTCACTCGTCCCCGAGCCCTCAGAGATAGACATGTTAGATGGTCCTGATCCCCTTGGCGAAGGAGTCAATATCGTTATCCCTCCTGAGCCATACTTCCCAAGTACTCTCAATGCGAGTGGCAGCAGGAATCCTCGTCGAAAAAAATCGACCAAGCATGTTGCGTTGCCGCTTACGACTGGCAGACCAGAATTCAAGCGCGATCGCTGCACTATTACTCTCGTTCAAGGCGATCCCGACCATGAACTTGAAACGGGCAACCGTCGTCCCAAGCGTTACATTGTTGGGAGCGACTTGAGTGACGAGAGTCGTTATGCAGTTGAATGGTGTATTGGGACTGTACTGAGGGACGGCGACGAAATGTATGGGCATCTACTCTCTTTAAGTGCGGTGGTATACGCTAACTGCTCCTTAGGATTCTTGTTTCGGTCGTCGAGAACGAAGCCAAAGGCACGTCTACCTCTACAATTTCTCAATATGTAAACTTATCCTTTCACTCTAGTTGACCCTCCAAATCCTAACCCCACTGACCGTGTTTCAAAGCTGCGGAATCAGCAGGAGGTGCATATTTATTCTTGTGTCATTTTGTAAGAATGTTGTTTTGATATTTCTTAAAGCGTCAAGCGCTTGTGTATATACTCGTCCGTCAGGTTGTTGGTCTGCTACAGAGGACGAAACTCCATGTAACAGTCATCTGTCAAGCCTGGCACGCGAAAAACGGTCGACATATGCTACTCGGTGAGTTTGAGAGTATGTCGTCTTATCTGTTACAGTCTGACGTTAGTATTCCTTGGTTGGGTTGGGATAAGATATTGTCGATTACGTTGAGCCGACTATGCTTATAGTGGGCTCGCGTGGGAGGGGACAGATTAAAGGGTGAGAATTGGGTTTCATCTAGCATCTACACCTTTGTTTTAACTGCATTATTTCATCAAGTATACTCTTGGGTTCAACGTCGCATTACCTAGTTCAGGTATGACGGTTCTTGACGCGTCCGCTTCCGATGTCTAACTCACCATCGTCTACACAGAAATGTTCGGTCCCTGTCATGGTGGCCCGGCGTCGTTTGAGGCGCCCTGCCCGTCGCTCTGCTCACCTCTCAAAGCATCGTGCTCGCAAGACTCTCGCAGAGGCTGCCATGGTCGAGCGTGTCACTCCAAGGGTTGACCGTGAGGTTGAGAACATGCGTGATGAGCTACAGAGGGATGATGATCGCAGAGAAAGTCATGATATTGGTGAAGTCGGCGACGATGAAGAGACGGAACATGAGGTTGAAACCACGCCGATCGGCGAGAAGGTCGCTGGCGACTGAGTTTGCAGTGAAGCAGGAATAGGACAGGAGTGTAAAGTTAAGTTTACTGTATAATTAAACAACTATAAGTGTATAGAATACAGGAATGGATGCAGTGCTGCAAAGCTAGGAACACCTGCTTCATGAGATGTGCATGGGCTCGCTTGCGGCTGGTTCGAGCGTCGTCGATGTTTCTGGCTTCGCATGTTTCGATTAGTCTGGTTCACAATGAAGCAAACGAAATCTTGTCACCGTTTGATTTGTTACTTGCTGATGAGAGCTGACCCTCAGGATATAAAGCGTCTTCTTGTCCCAAAACCTGCACACCCCTCGCCTCATCCTCAAGCTTCAGACGCTCAGCTTCCAAAGCTCCGGCTCTTGCAATCATCCGACAACGTCGAATAAAAGCATCTGGACGCTTGAAGTTCTTTGCATTGGGCATAGTCTCTGGATTCCCGAACCCAAGATTCTTTATGAACTCTTCCAAGTTCTCAGCGTCGACACCTGCTGGATACGATGTCGGTCTGTTCTTGCGATGCTTTGCTTCTACGAGTTCTTTTCGAATGATGCGTTCTGACAGTGTGGATCGAGAAATTGACCACTGGACCGTCCCTAAAGTGTGTCGATGTGTTGAGTGCATCATTGAATAGCGTTTTCGCGTAAGGAAGACTTACATGGTTTCTTTGATCCGAAGACTGCTCCTGGACCAAGGACTGGTTGACCGTCTAAGAAATTATGCGTCGTCACTTCTAGCAGAACTATAGGCTTCTTCAAACTCGGAGTGACCATCGGTATCTCGTCGTCGTTGGTTGGCTCGGTTTCTTCGTCTACGGGCTGAACCCAGATCCTCATAACGCCCCGGTTTTTGCGTGTCTCCGCTAGGCAAGTGACAGACTTATAACAATTATCAGTATATGCAATTACGCGTTTGAGGTCTAGTGGTGATTGAAGTAAAACTCACCTTCCCCGGGAAGCATTCCGCGATCTCACTAGCAATTTCCTCCAACAATCTAACACACTTCTTGAAAATGCGCCAGCCTGCCGCAGTACCGCCTGTCTCATATTGGCCAAGACTGATCCCATTTGGCTTCTTCTCTAAATAATCACCAAAGAGTCGACGATCCATCTCCTCTAGTGGTACGTATTGAAAGCCGAAAATTCTTGCGGTGTTGTGGTATGCCAGGAAGATTCCATCCATATTACCAATTCGAGCTTGGAAGCTACGGGGTGACATTTAAGAAAAAAGAGAAATGGAATGAGCATAGTCTCTTACCTGTACTTCAAGAAAGCTGAACGAATCAAATCGTAATATTCCCTGTCAAAGCTATGTAGATATCCATGTAATGAGGTGATTAAGTAGCCTGAGTTTTCCTAAACAGCAATTAACAGTGTCGCTTGCAAGATACACGATGTTTGTCTACCTTGAAGTTCAAATTATCCATGCGAAGAGGCAAGGCAGCACGCGTTTTGATGTCGAAAACTCCGGAGCCTGGAAGTCGTGGGTCGACACAATCGAGTTGGGAACGCATCACAAATGACTTTGACTGGCCAATATCCAACAATAAGATCCTATGTAATAGATCATAGAGGTTGGGACATACTTGTGAGTATCGGTACGCTTCCGGTTGTTTTTCAAATGTGTTTTCGGGACTCAAGGTACGGAGTAATTTCTCAAACTCGTTCCTTGGTAAAGTGAGGAAGCTCTCCAACATAGTACCCTAACGACTGTAAGTTAAATCCCGAGTCGTACTCCTATGAAACAACGTACCAGCCACATGAGGATGTTCCATTCACTATCATCATTATCGGTACTATCGGAGTCGATCATGTATACACCATTTTTATGATTGAATACTACTGCCGTTGGCATGCGCTGTCCTGGAGTGAACGTTGTCCTCTGAAAACCGTTTTAGAGCTCGCTATTACTTATTGTAGTACAACCTACTGCAGTTGAGAAAGGAGCAGCCATTGTTCTGACATCGACGGTGTGGTCTTGAGAAAGGAGGAAATATATATGGCAAAGAAGCCCGGTCAGAGAGGAAGTGGATCCTGCAAAGCGTTTCCCTTTCGATTCGGCCAGACCTCTCATGATCTGCGTAGAAGTATTAACAGCGATATGATAAGTAAGGCAAAAAGCTTGTACCGTATCTCTAGAGCTTCGAATAAATGGGGGAAGGCGCTCAAATCCAAAGTCTTTGATATCTGGCACATTTTGTACGAAGGGGTTGAAGTTGTACACGCGCGACCGCGGATCTTGAACCCAGTGTACACCAGGACTAATGAAGTTGTTAATAACGAGTCGGTATACGTATCGTGACAGTTTTTAACCTACTTGAAAAGCACTCGGTCAAGTCCATGAGCGAGAGTTGCAATGGGAACTTTCCCTGTCGGCGGCTCAATTTCTTAACAAACTTATTAGAAAATAATGCATACAAGAAAACTAAGCGATAAATGTACCTTCAAGCATTTCCGACTCCGAATGCTCGATGAGTCCCTCTACTCTTCGGCCGTAGTCACGTACAGGCACCATGGCATGTTGAAACGTACCATAACCCTCTGATGCAGATTGTGGCACCAGCGCTGTTCCCAAGCAGCAATGAGCAAGTGCATACCATTGGCAGTGTGAGTAATAACGCACCGTCTTTTCCCCAGTCATCACTCCATGCCTCAGGTGCGAACCCGGTATTTCGTTCTCCAGTTGCACCCGCAATAAGCTCCTGAACTGCCTCTGCGTCCCTTTCCCTCTGTTTTGCAGCCTTGCTAATTTTTGACTTGCCTGCAAGGTCTAGTAGTTAACATATCTACATTGTTTCAGAAAAGCGACTTGTACGAACTAGCTTTCTCAGAAGCGATAGACTCTTTGGATGCCATTTCCTTCAGTAGCTTTTTTGCCTTTCGAACATGGGCCTTTAACGTTGGCGGTTCAGTCGGACCTTTCCTGACCGGTCGTTTATTCTTCGACAACCTGAAGTGACTCATTGCAGTTTTCTCTTCAGTTGAGGAACCTCGACTGAGGTTTTCCCTAGTCTTGTCCACAAGGTTGACTAGATCGAAGAATCGGGTGTCATTAACTGAACCAGCCTGTGCACCAGCTCCATGTTCGGTGGCGACAGATCTGGTGTGAAGCAAGGAAACACAAGAGCGGCAGACATGACTAGAACGAAAAGAACGGGATGCTATGCAACTGGAAGCACGGAAAGGATGAGAAAAAGAGCGTAGGACGTGCGCTGAGGACGAGGAGGAGAGCATGCCAACAGCAAAGACATGCAGTCGGCTTCAGAAACTTTTGGACGAGACAGAAAGATCGGCGCCCACGCGATAATATTACACAAGCAAACACATGACATAACATCCAATCCAATGGTAGAGAAATACATTACTATCTATTATTCATCGTCGTTTTGCCATCTGCATAGTCAGGTTGTCAATGTACATCTGCAGTGTCGCATTCCCTGAACTGAGTTTTTCAATGTCGGTGCGCGTCGTTTGAACCTTTGCCTGTAGAGCTGCATAGCCAGTTCCACACACGTCTTCTGAACTGATGGCATTGACTTACCCCTCAAATCCTCCTGGGCTGCGACAAGCTCCCTGGGAGTAGCATCAGTTCCAACAACAACGACTGCATACGACGAAACGCGAATGGTAGAATGACATACTTGATCAGTTGCTCTTTCCTAATTGCGTCTTTCACAATGTCCCCTGAAGAGGTGTCCTCCGGGGCACCCCATGCAGCCGACTCGTCAAACATGGATGGACGTTGAGCAGTTGTTAAGAGAGATTGAAAATGTAGTAAGTAGTAGAAGTGGAACAAGCTCAGTCCAGGTACATATTTGTCATATTCGGGGATCAATCTGCCAAATTCGGATGGTGTAATGTGGACGCGTCATCTCGCGTTCGCGTTCGCGTCTGTCTTCTGCTCTTCTGCTCTTCCTCGCCACGAACACTGTCGTTTCTCAATGGCTTCTGAACCTCTCCTCGCATTCAAAGCCGGGCGCTATGAGCGTCGTCCAGGAACAAACTCTCTCGATGCAGTCCCTACTAAAGGTGCTATCTATATGTTTAACGAAGATGGTCTTTTGCACTTCCAATGGAGGAATAGAGAAACGAATCAAATAAACGAGGTGGCTATATATGAGATGCGCTCGCGTGCACTGTGCACTAATGACCCACGCATTTAGGATTTGATTTTATTCTCTCAAGACGCGTCATTCTCGAAGGTACCCGAAGCCCCTGGTGGGAGGACGTATGTTCTCAGGTTCATGTCCTCAAATCAGAAGCACTTCGTACGTCTTTCGTATTCTTTTTGTGATGAACAACTGCATCTAACCTCGATGGAAAGTTCTGGCTCCAGGTGTGCTTGTTTTTAACAACCACGCTCTAAATTAATAACTTATTTTCGATTAAGGATGCTTCTCCCGCTCGCGACGAAGAGTTTGTCAATAACGTGAATGCACTTCTGGAGGATCCGGAGCGACCCTTGACATGGAATACCGCGTCTTCCTCAAGTTCGTCAGCTCCCCAGGCTTCGACTTCTCGACAAGGGTAAGTCACAGCGCAGTCTAATCACTGTCCGCTAAACTGAGCATAATCTATAGAGCCGCATCATCGTCCATGCCTCCGCTCGATCCCACGCAACTTGCACATCTTCGGCAGCTGGTCACTAGTATGACATCGGAACCTCCTCCCACCCAGCCGAGTAAGTGATCTTTTACAATTTCGGATACTTATTTACATATTTACTACAGCTGTATCTCTCCAAGATGTTCTCACCGTGGAAACCCTTGGACCGCTGTTTACGAACCATCCAGATTTGATTCCCTCGCTCTTCCCTCATCTTCCAGCAGATCTACCTATGCCTCCGTCGGCAGAAGTGTTACAACAAATTATTGCAAGTCCTCAGTTCCAGGTGGCTGTGAGGAATTTTGATCAGGCTCTCCATACTGGTCTCCTCGGCGGGCTCGTTCGACAACTTGGGCTTCCTGAAGAGGCTGGGACTGGCGTTGAGGCGTTCTTGCGAGCCGTGCAAGAGCAAGCGCGCCAGGGGGGTGATAATAGTAGCGGATCTGATTCTAACACACACGATCAGATGGAGACAGATTAGACACAGTCGTTATATTGATGTACTTAGTTCTCGCCAGTATCTGGTCCTCGCTGCTCGCAAAAGTCATAGATTATGTAATACAACGCGTCGCGTTATGACTTTGTCACGCGTTATTGAATAACGCGTAAGAGAGACATTTCGGGCTGAGGCATCGGCATCGAGTCCTTCCAGTTGTCCTCAGTACAGAGGCGGTTGAACCCATGGCCTCGCTCAACAAACTTGCCATTCGAGGCATTCGCTCATTTGATGACAAGAACATCGCTGTTATTGAGTTCTTTTCTCCTGTGACTGTCATTGTCGGACACAACGGTTCAGGAAAGACGGTGAATCCAAATGCGTCTTGGCCGAGCACTTGTGCCGTGACTGACCGAAGAATCTTTCAGACAGTTATCGAGTGCCTCAAGTATGCTACCACTGGTGATCAGCCTCCGAACTCGCGAGGCGGCGCCTTCGTCCATGACCCGAAGATGGCGAATGAGAAGGAGGTCAAGGCGCAGGTGAAGCTTAGATTCGTCGCAGCAAATGGCCAGAGAATGCTTGCTGTTCGAAATCTTTCTGTCACTGTGAAGAAAACCGCTGGGTTGACAATGAAGACGCTTGAAAGTATCCTTTCACTTGCCGATGGAAACCCGAACGGAAAGGTGAGTGTTAACTTCGGTTGCGAGGGCTTAACCACATTGAAGACGTTCAAAACTCAGAGGGCGACGATATCGACCAAATGTGCCGAGATTGATGCTGAAATACCAAATCTTCTTGGAGTCTCCAAGGCTGTCCTAGAAAATGTTATCTTCTGTCATCAAGAAGACTCGTACTGGCCTTTGGCTGAGCCAGCAGCGTTGAAGAAGAAATTCGATGATATATTCGAAGCTACACGGTAGGCTACTCATATAAACCAAACTGAAGGCGCTGCATTGATTATCCGAAGATATACAAAGGCTCTTGATGCGATCAAAGCGTTACGCAAAGAACGAGTTGCAGAACTTAAAGTTGACAAAGAAAGGCTAGAATCTTTGTCACGAGAGAAAGCTCATGCCGATAAACTCAAAGCCCGTGTCCATGACTCACAATCCTCCATCTCCGTTAAAGAAATGCGGCATGAGAAGCTAAGAGAAGAATGCGACCAGCTGATCGCGTCAAACAAGAGATTCTACGAATCAGCCACGAAGTTCCGCGAGAAGTACATTGAAATTGAGCATCTGCAAAACGACGTTGAGCGATATACTAAAGACCTTGAGGAAGCGATGGCGCACGTAAAGGAAATGACAGGTTCGCACCTGTTCTTCCTATCTTCTTATAAGTACGGGATTCACAAAATTATTAGAGTCGGACGACCAGCTTGCAGAACGTCGTCGAAACTTTGACCGCTATAAGAAAGAGGCGGAACAAAAGTTATTGCGCGAGGAAAGGCGACTGCAAGACACATTGGAAGACCTTGAGACTGCACGAAAGAACTTGATGACTCTTCGTCAAGAACGTGGAGGACTTGAAGCAGAAAAGAAGGTTGGTTTGTAACCATCATTATTATGGATGTTTGACTTTATCTCTGGTTCAGAAACATGAACAAGATGTTGAGGAGCGGGATAAGGAGATCCATCGCATTGCCGAGCAGTTCCATTTCAGAGGGTTTGAACGATTACCTTACGAAAGGGAGCAACTTTTATCCTTTAGAGGTCTTTTAGATGACATGGCAAAGAGGTCCATCGGGCATCTAGAGAAACTTCAGGTTAGTCGGGGCTGTAGTCAACACTTTGTGTCGTGCTATAGTGTCGTGCTGTTGTAACTGACGGTGGTCTTGTCAGGGCGAAGCAGCAACGGCTCAAGCTGAATTCAAGGATAAGCAAGCTAATCTGCATACTGAACACAGGCTATTGGAGCAGCAGAAGTTCAATTTGCAGGACCAGATTGTAAGCTCGTTGTGGACTCTTTAAATTGTGTTCTTTAATGCGCTAGTTTCGTAGGCCTCACTACAGAAGTCAATCTCGACATCAGAATCCACCCTCAGCTCAGGTCATTCCTTGCCGCGAGAGCTATCCACTCTTCAAGCGGACATGCAAGAAAAGGCTGCTCGCATCGAGAGCATTAAGTCAGAGATTAAAGACGCCATGTATGAAGCGAAGATTCAAGAGGCGTCGAATAAAATCAGGGCTCTGGAAGAAAAGCGCGAGAACCTCAATCAAGAGCTGAAGAACCTGAGTCTCCAGGCGGATGCGAGAGCCAAGTTGGACCTCATTCGAGCTGACGTTCAGAAGAAGGCCCAGGACATGAAAGATATTATTGAGATCAATAACGCGAAGTTCAGAAAACTAATTGGTCTCGATATCCGAGCTGAGAATATGGAACGTGACGTGGATAGAACACTTGGGTGACTAGATTCGCTTTTGTTATTTGAACCATTGCTAATCCTTTGTCAAGCCAAAAGGAACGGGAAGCCGCAGATATTGAAAACGATGCAAACGATGCCAACGCTAACCTCAGGCATCTGGAATCGACCGTCTCGACTATGACGAGCCAATTAAAGCAAAAGCGCGATGACCTGAAAGGTTCGGGATGCTAATACCAGCTTTACCAGCACTCATCGTTTTGTAGGTCTTGATAAGAGGCTCAAGGACGAGCTTGAGGGACATGCGTCAGTTCAGACTGCCCTCGACGAGGCAGACGCTGAACTTGCAGACCGCCGAGCGTGAGCTCTTCAGAGTTATAAATCAACGATGCCATGGCGTATTGACCCTTAGGTTAGACGCCTTACTACTGGTGAAGGCACGAAGAAAGTCTACGAATTGCTTCTAAGAAGTGGAAAGGCTTTGAAAAAGTGCACTGCATGTAACAGGGCTCTGGGTGACCACGAAATGAAGGACTTTGAGAAGCATGTATGTACACCACTGATTCCACCAGAATTTGTTGAACATTAACGCTCACTCTTCTTTAGCTTGAAGGCCAAATGAACAAGTTATCGCCAGAGGCTCAGGCGGAGATCAAAGAAGAAGCTAAGGAATGGGAGGACGAAGTTAAACGGCTACAAGGTCTTTTGCCGATGGAATTGACACGAGACAGGTTGAAGGCACAAGAAATCCCTCAGCTTGAGACACGTCTCAAGCAGACCGAAGCCAGTGTATCAGAAGCGCTCTCATCCAAGGATATCGTGCGCGGAACTTCTTCTCAAGCTTATCTTCAACTAATATGTTCGTAGGCCCAGGAAAAGCTCGAGAAGATGCGACAGGAGTTGAAGGAACTACAGACTCTGAAGCAACAGGCGTCGACTGTGACTGATCTCAGAGCGTCTTCCGAACGGTTGCGAGGAGAGGTGGCTAGATTGGAAGAAAGCCTATCTGCAACAGGGTCTGTGAAAACGGCGGACGACGTACAGGAGGAGCTAGCGAACCTCAGTACAGAAATGTAAGCCACCAACTACGTACAGACAGGATGATATCTCAAGTTGACATAATCCCCTGACAGACGAAAATTGGAAAGAGAAAAATCTACTATTCAGAACGACCGCGAACAACAAATCAATCGTTTACGGCGACAAGAAGATGAGCTAAATGCCATCAAGCTTCAAGAGAGCTCGCTTCGACATAAAGTGCAGGAGCAGAAACTGGTCGAAGACAAGCTTGTCACCATGCAACAAGAACTGAAGGAGTCGTCGGAGAGATTGAAGGTCTGTTTTGTACCGTAAATCTTACTTAGAATTACATTCACTTGTGTTGTTTACAGAGTCTTGAGGAAAAGATCAAGACAGCACTACAACCTCTTGAACGTCTTCAGCGTGAATATGATCTCTTTAAGGAGGAGTCAGATGAGCAAGTCAAGAAGGCGCAAGAACAGTGCGAGCAAGTTCGCCGAAATCAGGATGCTCTCGGAAGAGCAAACAAGGATATAGAAGTGTAAGTGTTTCATTTTATCTTGGAATTACACGGCATCACCTCTATATAGGTACGTTCGCAATCGGCGTGGTCGCGAACTCCAGCGATGCGAAGAGAATATTGATGCCTGCGAAGAAAGCATCCGTGAGCACGAGTCCTCAATCGAGGAGATCCGCAAGACGAAAGGCGGATTGGAGAAGGAAATTCATGAAAGTGATAGCTTCCTCGCCAACCTCAGGGATAACGAACGTATCAGGAAGCTGAGGAAGAACATCGCTGAAAACAAGGAGAAAATTGAAGCCTTCGATATGGAGGAGGCTGCGAAGGCACGCAGACAGTTTGACGAAAAGTATGCTGCGGAGAAGAAACGGGAAGGTGACATGGAAGCAGAGGTTCATTTTCCAACGTTTATGTTAATGATAAAACTGACAATCGACCTAGTACTCTCGTCTTGGTGGGGAGTTGAGTTCATTGAAGGATCAACTGAAAGTTCTTGAGAAAGATTTAAGCGAATTCAAGGATGTCACCAAACAGTACACTGACCAGTTGATCAAGGTCAAAGTAAGCATTGAATGAACCTCCTCCGACAAGAATTTTATGCTGACTCATTACTCGAAGATGTCAGACATGGCCAATAACGATCTGGAAAAATACGCAAAGGCACTCGACAAGTAAGCTCAATGCATTCACTACTGCCGCAGCTTTGGTCTGATCTAATGCGCCTAGTGCCATAATGAAATACCACAGTTTGAAAATGGAGGAGGTAAATGATACGATGCGTCATCTCTGGAATAAGACGTATCAGGGAACAGGTTCGGAAGCACCCGCTGATTCAATTCATTCAATTCACTTACTTTGCCACTTTTATAAAGATATCGATGGTATTAAAATTCGTTCAGATGTGGAGGGAGGGGCATCAAAGCGCTCATATAATTATCGGGTGGGTTCTTTATCATATAGTCCGCACATGCCCTTCATGCGTACAGAAAAGGTCGTCATGACCAAAGACCAAGTTGAAATGGATATGCGCGGCCGATGTTCCGCTGGTCAGAAGATGCTGGCGTCGATTATAATTCGGTTGGCGCTATCGGACTCCTTCGGACAAAACTGTGGTATTCTTGCATTGGACGAACCAACTAATGCACTTGACGTCGAAAACATCGACGCCTTGGCCGCGAGTCTAGTGGAGTGAGTTAAGCTTACTTGCGCTTTAACGACGGAACTAAATGGGGTGTTATTTCGGCTAGTATTATCAATGAACGGAAGAACCATGCGAACTTCCAGTTGATAATTATCACGCATGACGAGAACTTCCTTCGGAAACTTGGGCAGGCAAACGTCATGGAGTACTACTGGTGAGTCAGTGACGTAGCAAGGAGGACACTACTAATGTCAGCAGGCGAGTATCTCGTGATTCCAGGCAGAAATCCATTATCGAGAGGCAACGAGTAGGATAAATGTCGCGTTCTTCTGTCTGCCATTCATTACTCAAAATCATGTTATTATCACGAATCCTTTTCCGCATCGCATTACTTGACCGCTTTTTTTCGCCGCCTTTTATTTACACAATTTGAATTTTCTGCTGATCAGGAATTATCACTCCGCCAGATACTGGCATGTATCGGGGACTTGTCGTCAGCATTCCCGCGGATCGGTCGTGTGCAATTCAATCTGGCGCTGCTTCGGAAGAACTCTAAGCACTCAAAGAGGCTAACATCTAGAGCAAAAATAGAATGCTTCTATTTGGAGCATGCCTTCGATAAGGCGCATAACTTACTTGCACCACAACTAGGCTTGGAGCGACAAAAGTAATGTGTGCTGCGCAATGGAGTTCGTCTCAACGTGTGAGGGCCGGGGGGGGGGGGATCGTCTGATGCAATGTGCGAAGTCTTATTGATTTAATGGCCACGTAAGTCGTTCCTATTCATATATTATTTGTAACTTACCTTCAAAGCTCGGAGCTGCTCGTTTGGATATGCAAAAGTAGCAGGACGTCGGACTAAATGAGTATGAAGTGTACTGACGACAACTTGCCGAGATCAGAAGCTACCAAGACTCATGTTTCAACCAAAGGCATCCTGCGGTGAAGGAAATCATCTAAGATCTTGCGAAGACGGCCTACTGAGCTAAAGAAGCTATGGATGGTACGTTTGTGTCTGCATTCCGACCAATGGTGCTTGTGTCCGCTCATCGGGGACGATGCTTCTGACGCCGGTTACTTCTCTGAGATGATCGCATATTCAAATGCCTCAGTAGTTATCCGCAAGGTTTTAGCGAAGTAAATCAGTCATTTGCTGCGCTTTGGGCGCCAGTCGCGCCGAGGTTTGCTCGGTCTACTCCTTTTCAAGGGCTTAGGCAATCTGCGTGCTTCTGGCGGAAACATATATTAACTGGGTTTCGACATAACGTCCAACCTTTCAAGTATTGCCCCACTGTGCTCCTCTCTTCTGCAAGAAAGCAGTCATTCCCTCCTTAGCATCGTTCAGGTCAAAGGCAGCGTGGTACAAACGACGCTCAAACGTGAGACCAGCATGCAAGGACGTTTCCTCGGCTATTACGCATCATTTTAGCTCTAGCGATTTTGACTCATCTTATAGGACTCACCCTGATTCACTGCCTCTTTTGCCATTGCAATGACTGGAGCTGAGAGAGACGCAATGTGCTTAGCTGACGTGCTGGTGAGTATACGTCCGATAAGCTATCTTTCAACTCTCTTGCCTGTTTCAATGGCCTCTGGAACGACTCTTTCCTCTGGAAGTACTCTTGCAACTAGACCAGCCTTTTCGGCTTCTTGTGCAGTGATCGGTTCACCTGTCAAGATCATGTCCATTGCCTGGTATGACAGGGTGATAAAACCAGAGTACGAATTAAACCACCTTATTAAAGACACTCCCCATCTTACCTTCGCCTTGCCTACAGCCTTCATTAGCCGCTGAGTACCGCCAGCGCCAGGTATAAGTCCGATCTTAACCTCGGGCTGACCGAACTTCGCTGTTTGTCCTGCATAGATAATGTCACACATCATTGCTAATTCGCATCCTCCGCCAAGCTTGTGAAACGTTGGTGAGCCAGCTCCGTATTTCCCCCACTTCGGTGCTTACAGCGTAACCGTTCACGGCCGCAATTACAGGCTTCCGCACTGCCGATACCCCGTCGTTGAGATTCTGCAGAAATCTCGTCATATACGCATTGACGAACGTCAGTTCCTTCAGCTCTTTGATATCGGCTCCGGCTGTGCCAAAATTGAATTTCACCGACAAAACTAACTACAAGCATAATTACGCTGTAGCAGACTTACCACAGAAGACTCTTTCATTCCCGGTTAAAACTATCGCTCCGACTTCGGCGTTGTCATCAAATGCCTTTAAGGCGAGGAGCAACTCATCGATGAGCTCTCCTGACAGCGCATTCAGTGACAACGGCCTGTTGAGACGGATCAGACCGATGTTTTCTACCGTTGATGAGAGCACGAGGGACATGGTCAGAGCCAAAGGGTGGCGACGAGAAAATGGCAATAAGCAGGCCGTTCTAAGTTTGTAAGTAATTGCCTCCCGGAGAGCATCCGGTGGGAGTGCAGACACCATGCAAGGCAAGAATCGTCATCATGCGTCCTCTTGGTGCTTCCATGCGGGGCACAGTGCGGTTCGATCTCGGGATGTCCGAAGCTGCCGTCATGTCATCAGCCCGTCATATCCTACAACTCGTGGCCCGCCGCCGGTGAGCGCTAAGAAATTTTTATATATATTTTCAGCACTACGACTAACTATCGCTCCATTCAGTGGCTGACATAATCAGCGCTTCTTTCCATTCAAGTGGCGTGGATATACCATATACGGCGTCCAGTTCTCATTGCCAGCAAGTACCTAAATGGTCGTCGCATGCTATTGCTTCGAATTTTTGCCTGTTCTATGTGGCTGATGCGAATGTGTTCTCCGCGTACGACGGCCAAAACTCGGTTCCGGAGACAGCAAAAACTAGTTTATTGCTGTTCTCCGGCTCGGAAAGTATTGTTGCACAATTCGGCCAGAGTTGTACCTGCTCGTCTGGCATGCGCAGCATGCTTCTTACTCCTAGCAATGCAGCACATTTATTATGTCACTTCCAATTCATGGATGCGGCGCTCCAATGATAAAAGACGCTCTAACGCAGAAACTCTAGTTCCCCCACAGCTGCGCTACACTCTTCATTACCTGGATCTGCAGACTTGCCAATATGCGCCTGAACGCACAGGCATTGGGTTCTCTCAGCCCTGCAGAACAGAGCTTGTTCACTCTCTTTGGATGCGGTGAAAGTCGTCGAGTTCCGTTCTCCTGCGTCCACCACGCATTCGAGTACTATGCCAGCTCTCAACCGTCTGCAGTTGCCGTTGAGCACCTCGGAGACTCAATATCGTACGCAGAGCTGGATCGCCAGTCCAGCGCTCTCGCATACCACTTGCGAAACATGGGTATTAGACCAGGAACGAGAGTTCTACTCCTCGTCCAGAGATCTATCCCTATGGTTATTGGTATTCTTGCTATTCTCAAGGCAGGAGGTCAATATGTACCTCTTGATGGCGGCATCGTCACTCAATCTACGCTCGAATTCATTGCTGAAGATAGCAACGCGTCCGTGATCCTTGTATTGCGGGCGTTTGTGCACCGGACATCTAATTTTACCCATCGGCAAGTGGTGGTTCTCGAAGACGCGCTCGCGATCGCAGACCGGGACGATCGCCATCATGCCAAGCCTCATGACCTGTCTTCCCCAGACGATGGGGTTTACGTCATTTACACTTCCGGTAAGAATGCAGGTTTTTCCGACATAGTCTCGCCGAACTTAAATATCAATGAGTAGGCACCACTGGCAAGCCGAAGGGCGTCTCGGTGATGCATCGCAACGTAACAAATTGTAAGTTACACCCACATGGGTTATGCTATATTAGTTCATAACTAACAATATTAACTTTTCCAGTGGTTTGCTTAGAACCAGGAAATGTCGGGATGGCTCCAGGCATGCGTGTTGCCCAATTATTAAATGTTGCATTTGACATGTGTGCGTGGGAAGTCCTCGGATCTCTGAGCAATGGTTGTACATTGTGCATCCGTGGGAAGTCTTCGAAGGAATGGCGTGCTGTGATGAAGTCGGTCGATATTATTATTGCGACGCCGTCGATTCTTGGTAGGCATTCCGATAGCATATATGGAATGAGGTGCTAATGAATATTTTACAGCGCCTCATGACCCGTCGGATTATCCGAACGTTAAGTTTGTTGCAACCGCGGGCGAAGTCTGTCCACAATGTAAGAGTTTCATGTCAATCACTCTCAGAGTTGAAACAATGCTAACAATTTTGTTTCTCACTTTAGCACTGGCAGATAGATGGGGTAAATCAGCACAGTTTTTCAACAGTTGCGGGCCGACAGAAGTAAGCGCTCTGCTGCTGCTCATGGATAAGGCTATTTACCCTTCCTTAGATCACTATTGTAAACACAGTGCAACCGCATATTCCTGGCAACGTCCTAAGCATCGGACGGCCCACCCCGAACAACACGGTTTACATCCTTGATGAAAGTATGCAGCCACTTCCAATCGGTCAAAAGGGTATTATGTGGGCCGGAGGAGCTGGCATCACGCAAGGCTATATCAATCTTCCAGAGAAAACGAACGAACGTTATCAACTAGATCCGTTCTTGATTGATGGGTGCGCAGTGTCCAATTAGACGCCTGTAAGACTACTTAAGGCCGTTCTATAGGAGTATCATGTTCAATACCGGAGATCTCGGAAGATGGAGGCCTGATGGACAACTTGAACATCTCGGTCGTGTTGATGACCAAGTCAAAGTCAAAGGCTTCCGTGTCGAGCTAGATGGTGTTGCAGCAGCTATGGAGGTATGTCTGTTAAAATATTTGTAATGGGAATAATCTAACGTCCTTTCTCTAGACTTGTGCAGACGTGAAGGCTGCTACTGTCCTACTTGTTGGCGGAGAACTATGGGGATTCATTACCCCCGATAAAGTCGATATTGAAGCAGTTCGGGCGGCGACGGCTAAAATACAGCCTTATTATGCCGTTCCTTCCCAATTTTACTGCCTTTCAGACTTCCCGCTTACAAGGTGATTGCATTTGATTCCAGATCCAATCCTTGCGTTCTGACTTTGCACGTTTCTCAGCAACGGTAAAATTGACAAGCGGACTCTCCGCGTCATAGCTGAAGAGGCAACTGAATCGAACAAGGAGTCTCGTATTCTCATCCCTTCGAAGAAGGTCAACCTAGACGTTACCATTCCTGCTGGTCAAGTTCCTCGGGTGCGCGCTGTGCCGCTCGCTGGCATGCTCTGGTCAGAAGCGACTCCATTGCCTGTCGCCCCCCCTCCCGTTTACCAGAAAGACGCCCATGCTTCGGAAATGGCCTTCGTTTCTTCTCATATCGATGGGTCTGTATCGAGTTCATCAAGTTCACTCGACGAGAAAATCAAACCGACAGACATGGAAAAGGGTCGAAGCCTCGGATGGGAAGGCTACGAAACTGAAACCCTTCCAGACAAAGTCCATGGACATTACCTACGCAACTTGCGTCACCAAATCTTCACTCTATACCGACGCCTATTTGGTGTCGTATTTGTCGTCAACATGGCGATACTAATTGCTACCATCGTCAAGAAAGCATATGATGCGCAGAGCCTTGGTCTTATCGTAGTAGCTGATCTCTTTTGTGCTGTCCTCATGCGCCAAGACTATGTCATCAACGCATTCTTTAATGTGTTCTGCGCCATTCCCGCCTCGTACGTGTGGTCCAACGTTGTACATCTACAGTCTATTCTGACTGTCGCTCAATTTTCAGCTGGCCCCTTTCCATTCGTCGCGTTGCTGCAAGAGTCTATCATATTGGTGGCTGTATGTATATTTGCAGTGCCAGTATCGATGCTTGTGGAAACTGATGTTTGATCCAGTACACTCGGGTTGCGCGATATCCGGTGTTATCTGGTTGATCGCCTTCACAGTCCAAGCGACAGTAGAGTTGATGCACGGCGGCAGAGTAAGCCTTTACATTCAATGATGCTTGGTACTCGTTTGACGTGAACGTTCGTTAGACTTCGGCTGCAACCGTCGCAATTACGTATTTCATCCTGTCTCTACTTCTAGGTATCGTCGCTTTTGCATACCCCAAGTTCAGGACGGTTGCGCATGACCGGTTTGAGCGAACTCACCGTTTCCTGGGATGGACTGCTGTTGTGTATGTAAATTTACTGTTTACACCTGATTATATAGACTGACAGGCTATTCCATCAACCGAAAGTCTCGTCTGGTTCCAGGTGAGTTGATAATGAACTGGATGGTACCTTTCGTACTGATGTCCGAATAGGTCGTGCTCCTTACAAATGACTATCGCGCCGTTGGACAATCGCTCGGCCAGGCGCTGATTAGAGCCCCGCCGTTTTGGCTCGTAGTCATTTTGACTTTGTCTATTATTCTTCCATGGACTCGCCTTCGTAAAGTCCCCGTTCGCGCAGAGGTTCTGTCTCCACATGCTGTAAGGATGTACTTCGACTATGGTACGACTTCACACTCTCCATCTACCAGTCATACGTCACCAACTCTTTCCTTTCCTAGTCACCCCTGTTCCTGGGACATTCACCAGGATCTCGGAGAGTCCTCTTCTAGAATGGCATGGATTTGCCACTGTCCCCGAGCCAGGAATGAAGGGCTATTCGTTAGTCGTCTCAAGAGCCGGTGATTGGACTAGCAGGCAAATCGAGAATCCTCCTACATCCCTCTGGGTCCGTGGGATTCCGACGTGTGGTGTACTGAGGATTGTTCCTCTATTCCGCCGGCTTGTCTTCGTTGCTACTGGAAGCGGAATTGGACCGTGTGCACCATGTATTTTAGAGAAGCGCATCCCGATTCGACTCCTGTGGACTTCCCCTAACGTCCGAAAGACATTCGGCGACAAGCTCGTCGACTCCATTCTCGAAGCGTCTCCTGGAGCTGTTATTTATGGTGAGTGAAGAAAATGTAACTTTCTTTCTTACTCAATAACTGACACTTATATAACCCTAGATACTCGCACTCACGGGAAGCCAGACATGGTAAAACTGACATATCGACTTGTCCGTGAATTCGAGGCAGAGGCTGTTTGCGTTATCTCAAACCAGAAGTTGACAAGGAAGATTGTATACGGTATGATGAGTCGCGGGATTCCTGCATTCGGAGCCATCTGGGATTCATAATAGATACCCACAAGCAATGTACATTATTTTATTCATAAGCCAAAAAGGCTACAACTTGTAATTTAAACAACGGAATATTGGATTATGTATGCAATATCACGTGACGGAATTTAGGCATTACCTCGCAAAAATACAGCTGTTCTTTGTGTACTGAGAACGACATCGCTATGAAGCAAAATGTCCGAGTGGATAAATCGACATCGGAAATTCTATGGCAGAATGATTACATCCAGCTATCTGACCATCCAACGGCCAGGAACTTGGCACTGGCCAAGCATGCTCTTCTACCAGGCCAAAACATACTCACAGACTCTGCTCTTGCCACTGCGTTGCTCCCGGAACAAAAAGGTCTCAGATGCGATGCATGCTTTCGGAAAGCGCACACACTGAGGCGTTGTTCGGGCTGTGTTGCATATTGGTACTGCGGAAAGGACTGTACGTGTAACTGATACACGTTTATTGACGATCTGTCCATCCTCACCGCTGCCAGGCCAAACTCGTCACTGGAACGTCATCCATAAATACATGTGCAAGAACATTTCAAATTTTTGCATATCGTCAGACTTCCAAGCAAGCCCGATTCACGCTCGAACAGATGCGTTTCTCCTCAGTCACTTGGTAGCGGAACAATCAGAAAGGCTCGAGATAAGCGGAGAAAATTTACGAGAGGGTTTCAACGATCCGCTGGCGACTTTCGTTTCATTACTTCCTTTATCTGCAGCTTCGGTACCGGATACGCCACTGATTTGCCCATTATCACGCTCCAGTATAGCCTCTCCAGCTGTAATCAAGGAGATTTTCAGTCGCTTCAGCAACAATAACTTTATCGTCCATTCGCATTTGTCTGCGGTTGGTCACGGAATATTTCCACTGGCCAGCCGGTTGTTCAACCATTCGTGCTTGCCTAATGCCATTGTTACATACTCCTTCACTAGCGAAGGTATCCAGATGGTTGTAAAGGCCTTGACGCCAATCAAACAAGGCGAGGAAGTTAGTAGGGATACAGAGACAGTATCTCATGAATACCATTTAACTGTTTACGTAGATTACTATTCCGTATTTCGACCCAGCGCTTCCCTACCATCAACGACAGGCAATCTGTCGTTATTCATATGGATTTGAATGTACCTGCTCTGTGTGCATGTTCCCCAGGTGTACAGTCGACGCTCGGGAACCACCTTCCGAACCAGGCGAACGCGAAAGGATTGAAAACATGCTTTTGAAGTATGCCTTCCCAGATCTCGAATTGACTTGGTCCTCTCGGGCACTGGTATCTGGATTACCTGAAGAGCTCCACGTTGTCTTGCATGAAAAATTCTTGCCAGCTCTTTCTGAGACTTTCAGCAATGCTTCACATGATGGACCCCATGATCTTGCTCTGCGAACTGGCCTCGTGTTGTTAGCACTTTACATGGTCATATATCCACCGCGATTCCCCCAAGCCGGTGAGTTGCTCTGGTTGTTTCGCATATTGTATCTCTACTGAATTTGTTTAAGGCGTACATTGCCTTGAGATAGCCAAAACTGAATGGAACGCTTCGATTACGGCGGCAAGTAACGATACTGCTTCCACCGAGTACTTGCGGACTGCCCGCAGGTTCTTATCTTTGGCTATGGACTCACTGAACGTGTTCGGTCGGGAAGGAGATGTTGAGGACGGCCCGTTTGTGGAGTGCATGACGCTTGACGAGCTGCTGAAATCAGTGTAACTAAATTTAGGCTCACCAATTTGTCCAGTCTGCATCGACTTCGCGAACACTGACAAAAACACGTGAAGGATGCCCGTTTGAATGACTTCTTTCGGTCCGTCGACTCAGCCCTTACCGCCGCTCAAACTCCTGGACTATACATTACCTCAGCAGTAGAACTACGAACACTTAGCCAGTTATGGCGTTTTAATCACTAGCACGGAGTTAGAAGCAGCGTGGATTGGAACCTTGGGTTTTTGTACTAATCTCTTAAGTCGAGCGTTCTTGTCTCGTCGACAGTTCTTGCTTCCGCCCAGCATCTGGGTGACCAGTGCCACTCGTTTTGGTCCTTCTTTTGATATTTTCACGTTCTTTTCAACAATGCAAGCAAAGGAAACTACTTTGATGACCACGAGGAACAGGACCCTGGCTATTGCAAGACGTGGCATAGCGCCGCTAGGCTCGGAATTTCTTGTTATCCTCGCCGTTTTATTTTCACTGCTATTCATATTTTCTGCGTCGCTCGCTTTTGTCAACTCTGAAGTAGGGCCTATCTTCAAAGACGCTCTTAACTCAATATCCGTCCATCAGAGTGGAGTGAGTGTTCTGTCGTCGCATGAAATAAGTCAATAGATTGAGTAGCTTTGTAGCTTGTTCTTGTAGGAGAGAATGTCGACGTCGACGTTGACGAACCTAGTGTCACTATTAGGTGGTCCGCATTAGGTTGCGGTGGAGCATACTTACTGCCTGGTTCTCCGAACCTTCATGGAAGTTCGGCTTGCGGATTACCTGCTATACCTCTGGACTTGTTCATTTCTAAGTAAGACTCAGTCAACTGTAACTCATGCAAATTTTCTTCTGACGACGAATTGAACCCTATGGACTTTATTCTAAAGTTCGGAAGCACCCGTGTTCAGCTACAATCCGGAAAGTGTACCTATCAGCAAGACGGCGAGCCAACGTATCGTGTAGGTTGCCAGTCTTCCAAGCACCAAGTAAATTTCTTAGTGGAGTTAAAAGTGTTCAGGCACATGTACAGTTTGACAATGACCTCGTGCTGGATGTACACGACTCTCGCCTCTATCCATTTGACTCCTATCTAGTCTCAACTTCGATTCGAGCCACCACCTCCAATTCGTCAGTGAAGGATATCCCGATGCCTATTGTAGGGATGCCTGTGGTTGAGCACATGCCGTCGTTTACCATGACTTCCCGCGATACAGATGTGGTGCTGGTCATGGACGAAGATAATACTCCCGCACGACACATTGAGATACGGATCAGACGACCTGCGCATGCACGAGTATATGCTATGCTTATTTTTGGAATTAACTGGGCGTTTTGCCACTACTGCATCGGGATGATGCTCCTGTCGATTTTCCAGGGCCATCATGCGGGGAAGGAGGTCTTGAAACGATTTGCTAGCAGCCTTCTCGTATTGTTTGTCATACCTCAGCTCCGGGGTGCCATGCCAGACGCTCCTGGGTTCGACGGTGAGTTTTCGAACCTATTGGTCCTCGTCTTCCAAGTTAACGTTTTCCTTCCGCAGGAGTACTCATTGGTGAGCAGCATACATGGGGATGTGTTACTTGATAAGAACCTCATTGCATGAATTTTCTCGACAGATACTATCGGATTTTTCCCTCAAATGACACTTGCTGGATTATCTGCAATCATTCTCCTATTATTCACAGCGAAACACGAATTGGATGGTGTATCTGGGAAAGATGATTTCAGGCACCATGATAAAGGCAAGGGTAAAGATACCCTACTTGGACAGTCATTTTTGGATGGAAGAGACTGGGAAGCTAGCTTCCAGTCCAACGCCGTTCGGAACGGCTTTGGACAGGGAAGTGGTCAGGGGCACAGTAGAACGTTAAGCGCTCGGGACTTCTTGCTGGAGCAGGTTCTGAAGGTAGTAGACGCTGGATCGCAAGCTTTTCGTAACAATTTTTCAGGAGGGAATTCTGGCAGATACCACCACCATCAACGCTCGCAGAGTTATTATGAGCGTAAGATGGCTTGATTTTTTTTTTAGTATTTGATTTGGATTTTTGATGTTGTTTATCGTTATGTAACATTACAATGGATATATTTGGATAAGCCGATCTTTGCCGATCATTCGTGTTTTGAGTAACTTTCTATCCTCTCTGTCTCCGTCTCATTCTGGTGCACAATGCGAAAACTCGCCGTCGCTTTTCGTGCGAGGAGGCCAACGACTACACGCATCTCCCAAACAACTCGAATACGACCATGGAAAAAAGACGAACGAGGTCTACCAACCCCACACGTCAACGTTCTCGTCAGGGACACACATCTCAGTCGTCTCCACGACCACTACCAACAAACACTCCGAGACGACCTAATGTACATGACCTACATACACGAACCCAAAGCCCGCCCACCAGCTAAAGAAATCCGACTCACATACGACCCCGAAGACCCATACTCAAAATATCGGAAAAACCTGCCCGTCGGTGGCTTGCAAATTGGTAAAAAACCAGCACCGATCGCGAGCCCGGAAAACGTCGTGAAACTCGAGAAGATATGTTTGCACTCGATGCAGAAGACGGCGTTGTCGAGTAGGAGTAACTTGTTAGGGACGATTATGGCTTTTCGAGCGATCTCGGGCGAGACGGAGCAGGGAGGTGGGTGGATGAGCTCGAGTGGTGTACAGCTTGTGCGCGGAAAGAAAAACGTGTCGGGGTGGGTTAGGCCTGGTTTACCGATTGGTGTGAAGGTTGAGATTAAGGGAGAGAAGATGTATGAGTTCCTCGGGACGCTCGTCCAGTTTGTCCTTCCACGATTGAGGGAATTCGAAGGCGTCGTTCTTCCCCCTGCATCTGTAAATCTGGCTACTCCTGCTGGTGTATCTGGCGTCGTTTCGATGGGCTTACCACCAGACGCTATGGGTTTCTTCCCCCAGATTGAAGTCAACCAGGACATGTACCCTCGTATGTACGGCATGCACATCCATTTCGTGACGAATGCAGAAGGTGCCGGTGCGCAGAACAAGGCTAGAGCCCTGCTATCTGGATTCCAACTACCCTTTGCTCGTCGATGACACGTATGTCTTTTTTACTATATCCCCCCATGGCTCTGTATCACTTATCACCAGTTTCAATCATTACAGTAATAATATATATATATTATATTAATGGTCCTAGCAAGTGGAGTGCAAATTAATATAGAGTGCAAATTATCCTAACTGTGAGAGATGAATGCAAACAATCGACAGCGAGCGTAGTAAATATCACGACTAGAAGGGAAAGAGCGTGTGCTACATAATACTGATAGAATAGAAACCCAAAAAGGAGTGTCGAGTTTTGTGAAGTTTGGACAAGAAAATAAAATGAAAGAACGAGAGCAAATTAATTTATAACAATGGCTGTCCTGTCCAGCATTTACCGTGCTTCCGTATTCCAAGTAATGTCACCGAGTTTCTGCCTCGAATAGGTCCTGTTATTATTCTTCGTACCCGCACTTTGAGTCCGGGGTGTAACCAGGCTACCCCCGAATCGTGGAGCCGAATCCAATGTTGCCGACACATCAGACGCTGCACGTCGTGGCCGCCTCCGTGGCGTAATACCAATCTTCGGCGCAAGTTCACCAGTCCGACCATTACGACTGGGAACGGGTTTCAACACCGGTGCAAGAGATGGCATGATTTCACGCGCAAGCTCCCGAACCAACACAGCGTTATCTTGCTTGCTGAGTTTCTCCACGATCTCGTAGATCCCATACTTCTCGACTAACGCGGATCGGTTAGGATGAACGTCGCAGATAGCCTTTAGCAATCGTAGAAGGTTCAATCGGACGACGGCCTTGCTGTGATTCAGCCTGTCAATGAGACGCTGGAAGAACTGCGATTTTGCAATCCCCAGAGTGATTGTCTTTGACAGACGACAGATCTTCAGGAAAGGATCCAGAAGATTCTCAAACGAATTTGTTTTGGCGGCGACAAAGCACTTGACGAGTGCGTCAAGCGATGATTCCTTGATCAGTACGTCTTCCACTCTCGCGGTTTCATCCTGCAACCTGTTACGCGAAATTATTATAGCAGAATACACGCATGGGTAGAGATCGGAACGTACCATGATAAAATGGCTTCCAACGCGCTAACCTGGAAATACGGATCTCCTAAGAGGTTCAAATACAAGGATAATCCATCATGCTGCCACAACAACGTCCTGCAACTCTTCGTTGCACTTGCGAGATCACAAAGGATCGGAAGGGCAAATTGCTTTAGAGGTGAACCCGATTGAGCAACACGCTTCAAGCATGGTATTATACCAGCTTGTGCAGCCTCTTCTTGCCTGGCCTTGTTTAGACGGCAGAGATTATAACACGTCTGGAATATGTGATTCGATATTTCCTGGATTCCACGATGACGTTAAGTCGGTCATTCAATGGATAGGCAGCGTTCAAAGCTCACCGTGCTGTGAAGGTCTGAGCTATGCTCATCCAGAATCCGCACCAAAATCTCAATTGCATTTGCATTTTGAAGGACCTCCAACAGGGACGCGTTCATCGACAGATGTTTTACAGCCTTCAGCATTTGCACAAGATATTCCGGCTCAAGCAACTCGCAAGCTCGCATAACACCTATACAGCACAATTCAGTCTTTTCGCATCAGTCTTCCATATATTGACTCACGTCTTACAACCATCCGAGTGCCGAGAGCATTGCGTACATGCACGTCCGATTGCGAAACCTGGCAAAAGACCAAAATAATTTGAATGATCTTGGACTTCAACGCTGCCGAGGTTTCAGGATCGGCCGCCATAATATTCATGAGCGCCGACGACAATGGATTCAATAAGCCCTCTTTGATGAACATCCGGCAGAAATCGTTTTTTGGTGTCGGGCTCTGCAGTTCAAAGACGTTACCGATTCCGTCGAGAGCGTGTACTACGAGGTCCCTCTGCTCAACGAAGTCTTCATCTAGCAGATCGACGAGGATTTTCAGCCCTCGGCAGCTGATCGGGATTCAGCTGCATACAGGCTCTATGAATGGAATTCAACTCACGCAATGAACATCTGAAGCGTCAATACCGACGTGTGGCACAGCAGGCTAATGAAGTGTGAAGCTTCAAGACGACATTCCGATGAAAACCTCTTTGAGGTAAAGTCTGTGGAACTTCATATTAGAGGTGTACGTTCCGAATCCACTGAAACTTACCCATCATGACAGGAATGCCGCTTCAATAAGGTTAGCATACATTCGACGCATTAGCAATAAATAACTCACCCAATTAGACAGAAACTCTCCAGGAAGCCCATGTGAGTAGTCACTAACTGAAGAGGCAAATGAGATGTGTAAATGGTTTATAAGTTGATTGTGACATACCAAATTGATGATCCGCAATAGCTTCGTAGTTACATCACGAGATGAAGACTTCGCCTCCAACACTTCGAGTATGGCTAACATACCATGCGCAGAAACGAGTTGACCTTGCATTTCTGGTACTTCGAGCAAGATGCCAATCTGAATGGCGCGTAAGGGGATAGTGCAAAGCGGGGGAAAAAATGCGCTCACAAGCTGGTCGCATGCGTCTCTAAGTTGGAAGTCGGGAGCGGATGGAGTGAGCTCATCGATCATCTGGTTGACGAGACCAGTCAAGCGAGCAAGCTTGTCTCGCTGTAGGTTAGCCTCAAGGTCGTCTTCATCATATTCCTCCTCGATCTATTCGAGTGAGTACCTAATGAAATGCACCGAGTTTGATGTTACTTACTTCTGCGAAAGGATCCTCCTCATCCAGATCATCGTCGCCCAGCTGTCAAAGAAAATAGTTAATTGCCTCGATCAATTATAAGGACTGTTCCTTTCTCACCCATGATTTGTCAGATAGACGTGTATTGAGCTTGAGCGACTGTGTGACCTGCTCCAAAACTATGACGAATAGGCCATAAGTATACAAGTTTGTTCGAGAACTGAAAACTTCTTACCTGGACCGCTCGATTTTCCGAAGATATCATCATAGTCTTCATCCGGCTCTTCCGCATACTTATCAAACTCCTGACTCTGCGCAACCTGAATCGCTTCTGCTCTCCCAATCGACTTGGCCCGTCCAATAGATCCTGTGAACGAAGAAGATCTCGAATGTGATCCAGGTCGCGAAGACGAATTTGATCGAGACACGGGGCTGACTCTTGCTGGACGTGTATTCTCTGCAGGCGACTCCAGAAGAGGAGCTGTACGTGGACCTGGAGACGACGGGCCGAGGCCAATTGTCTGAATATCGTTTGGGTGGAAAAGGCCGCGGCGCGAGCCGTTCTTCAGCTTGAAATCGGCAACTTTGCCTTGAAAGACATCATCTTCTTCCGCGGCAAGATCAGAATAATCTTCGACTATAGGGGTCATATCTGCAGGTGGCGGCGCCGCCAACGCCAGCTTGTTTGACATCGATGGGCTTCGGAGAGGACGAATGGTTCGCGCATTATCGTCACCTTCGTGTTTCTCCTCTTCGGCCGCCGACTTGTCCAAGTTGTGCAACTTCGTCAATGAGATGCCTTCCTCGAAGTCATCATCCCAGTTGTCCGTCTGTTCCTCAGGTTCCTGCAAGGCCATGGGCAATGAATCCCTGTTTCCTTTCTCAATCAAGCCCAAGGGACCACTCATAACTGCAGCGGTAAAAACGGGTTTCGGGACCGCGGTGCCATTTTTCCACCCGGCCTGGGTCACTGTTCGCGATCCACTCGAGGAAGACGTTATAGTGGGGCTATGAGGTGGCATGACGGGTGATGGCGATGGCGACGGTGAATGCCGTCCATTTACATCATGCATAGAAGATGGCCTACTACCGTTCAATTTTGTTGAAGAGCGTGGAGCTGTACGATCAATTAACCGCCATGTACAGTATTGATATCAGAAGAGTTAAGCGCACATTTTAAAGCCTCATTCCACTCCTGTACCTTCTGTACAGCCTCGTCATAATTGTAATTGCTCACAGGACGGCGTGTATTATCTTTCTCGCCTTCCTTACCCTTCTTGTCCGCATTAGTGTCAAGACCCATCTGCTTCCTGGCAGACACCATCCATGGATGCCGAAGTAGCTTCTTGGCTGAGATTCGGAGATTTACGTCCTTTTGGAAGCAGTGGTATAAAAAGTCCTTGACAATAGGTGAAACACCCTCAGGAATCGGAGGACAGTCGTCCTGGACAATCCTAAACAACGCGGGCATGGGATCAAGGAAGTGATACGGAGGCTTTCCCTCAAGCAATTCAATTACAAGGCAGCCGACACTCCTAAGGAATTCGTAAGAGGAGAGGTATCTTAGCTGTCGGAAATAGTGCGCACCAAATGTCAGATGCTGTCGTTGCCCCAGACTGCTCAATGACTTCGGGTGCCACTAAGATAGCCTTCGTTAGTGAGTTGTATTTCACGCTTAAAAATTAATGCATACTCCAATATGGGCTTCCCACCACCACATCGTTGTTCGCGGTCGCGCCAGCTGCATTACTGGCAACACCAAAGTCGGCAAGTTTGACACATCCGTCTTTGTTCGTAAGGATATTAGCACCTTTGATATCACGATGGATCACGCCCTGGTCGTGCAGGTAGACTAATCCCTCGAGCACTTGAGAAATATATACAGCGACCAGATTCTCCGGAAATTTCCCAAATTTCTTGCATATGTTATGCAATGACCCGTTCTCACAAAATCTACACAAAGTATTTAGATTTAGATACCTGAATAAGGGAGCCGTGGGCAAACGTACTCGAGGATGATGTACAGAAATTCTCGTGTTTTGACGAAACCTTTGTATTTTACAATATTGGCATGCTGCGGAATATTCAGGTTGGATTCGTGTGGGGGAATGACGCGTCACTCACATTGAGATTCTTGAGCAGATCGATTTCAGACTGGTGGAGTGTATTGAGAACCGATAGGTGAAGAGTACCGACATGATATGCATACCATAATTTCTCCCAGCTCTCCCTTGGGAATATTGGCAAGCTGAATTTCCTTGACAGCGACCGTCTCGCCTGTAGCCCAATTCAATGCGCCTATGAGAGATCAGTGAGCATAATTTGATGCCGGACGCGTTGAGCAACGGAAGCAAACACGCACGATAGACTTGACCAAACGCGCCCTTCCCGAGCGAGTCTCCGAGTTGCTAGTCATAAGCAAGTTAGCAGAGTACAAATCGGATATATTAATGCCCAAGCCAAGCATACGTATTCATTGAGCTGCCTCGCAGACTTTGACGCTGAGCTATTAGACGCCGACGCGCCAGTGGCAGCAGGCTTGAAGGCCATGGCGGAGGGAAAGATTTGGAGAGAGAGAAGAAAGCAAAGGGGTGAATGAGAGGTGCACGTTACGTGGACGTAAGCTTTGATGTTGCGTCCAGCGCAACTGCTGCGCACGGAGAGAGAGGGAGAGAGAGGAAGAGGGAGGAGGAAAGGAAAGGGAGGGTGAGCCACGGCTAGCAGGCGGGAGCGGAAACAAACAGTCACGGCGCGTCTGCTCTCAGGGTCCAGTGTCTACCTCCTCACCGTCCATGGCGGCCTGTCTGCGCTTCACAAGAAGGGTATTCCGTCATTTTGTCTCATGTCGACGTGTATTTTAAGCTGATGTTTCAAATGCCAGGTCTGGAAGTCGTTCATAGACAATAAAGGTCTGCACGTTTGCTCATTTGGTCGTGTGCCGTATTCAAGCTGTCTCTCGCTGTGCAGGTCATGATGTCCAGTGCTTTCCGAACGTATGACACTTGCTATGCATATTCCGTCATAAGTATCCTTAGCTCTCCTTTCAGCTACAAATACACAGAGCAGTGCCAGGCGAGCTCGAGGCCTCACTAAAAATCGAGCCTTACAATCGTAAGCAAGTCAAAGCTCCTCTCATGACTAGACCATCCTAAATGCGTCCTGCTCTCAGTCAACCGCGTCGGCGTAATTATTTCCATTCGTCGCTCTCCCGTCATCTGCTCTCCCTGAATCTTCTCTGCATGTGCTGGTAATTGCAGACTGTTCATGGCGGCCTCATAATGTCGCTTACTGACACCCTCGGCTCACTCGCCGTAGCAACAAAGGGTCATTATATGACTGGTGTCGTAAGTTCACTCGCTGCTTTGTTGTGAAATACGTAAAAATCTAATAGCGAATGTCAGTCAGTGGATGTCGGCACCTCGTTCTTGAAGCCCGCCGGAGTACCGGGTGATATCCTGAAGGCTCGAGCAACTGTAACAGGCATCGGTACCGATTCTTGTCTACGTTGCGAAATTGCGGATATTCAATTTAATCACCTTAGGGAAAACACTTGCATTCACGAGAGTCCATTTTACGAATCCTGTGGACGAGATCGTCGCATATGGGCGTAAGGATGCAGCATTATTGTCCATTGCCTATTTGATTTTCCGCTTACATATTTTTTCCAGATCACACCAAGTTTATCGGGAAATCCCATGGACATATTGTCGGTAGCTTTATCTCATACATTAATTGATACTAATTCTCAACGTCTATAGGAGAACGTCAAATTCTCTGCAGATGGCGAGCAGGTTGTAGAGGGTTCAGATAAGCAATGAAAGTAGACAAAGACTTCTGCATATGTTGTTGTATAATTTCAATACATAAAAATACGTAGATTTACCCATGTAAGACGCGTGTCCAATTTAGTCGAAGTCCGTGAACTACCTGTACCTGCTGTACAAATTCAACAACTCCCATGCACAGCTTGTTCACACTCCTTTACTGAAACTAAACAACTATGGATCTACCTGACCAAGCCCCTATCGAGGGACTGTATCCACGCAAATCATCTGGGAAAAGGCGATTATCTTACGCGTCGCAGGGGTCGAGCAGCGTACGCGTGGCAAACGCGACCGATTCACGCGCAAGCCAACGGAGACTGGTGTCAACGTTTTCTGCTCGCAGTTATGCAGAGTACGCTGTTTCTTTCTTCATCTAGCGAGTTAATGAACGTACAAGGCTGATTTATTTTTATGTGGTTTGCGAATAGGTCGGAAACAGACCAGACAGAAATCCACTCACCTGTGCCGACGCGACACTTCCTCCTCCAAACTGAAAGTCGTGAATGGCTCAGAGGAGGCGCAGTCTCTCCTACATCTACGTGTCCTCCTTCTCCATCATTCTCAACCGTATCAAACTCCTACGTCCGTGACAGATTCTCGTCAACCTCACCTGGAATCGCGCGACGTCAACCAGCGTTGAGCTTCAGCTCACTTCACGAATACGACAAGTCTACATCGAGACGGAGTAGTCTGCATCCAAATGATGCTCGATTTTATCGGAGAGACAGTAAGGAAGGGGATGAACGTTTAGATGCCGGTATGGGAAGACGTTGGTTAAAGTGGATGCAAAGGAACCGAATGCAGGCTGGGGTGTTACCTTGCTCTGTCACCGCAGCACTATTAGTGAAATGGTGTGTTGGATTGGGCGGATATTCAGGTACGTCTTGAAGTTTCATACTGCATCAAATATAAACTTATTATATTATTATACCCAAAGGTGCTGGTACTCCGCCGCTATATGGCGATTTCGAAGCACAGAGGCATTGGATGGAAATCACAAATCACTTGCCTATTCGACAATGGTATACTTATGACCTGAAATATTGGGGATTGGACTATCCGCCCTTAACTGCCTATCATTCCTGGCTCTGCGGATTCATGTATGAGACTTTGCGATTCTAAAAGAGGAAGTACAACCACTAAAAAATCTCTACCAGAGGATCCTTCATTAATCCGACATGGTTCGAACTGGACAAGTCCCGTGGAATAGAGACTGTTGGGAGCAAACTATTCATGCGTGCCTCCGTCCTTGTGTCCAATTTGCTCGTGTATATCCCCGCCTTGGTATTCTTCGTTCGTGCATGGCATAGCAGCCGTTCAAGACGTACACAAGTAAGTTTACCTGGAATGCTAACGAGTCAATGGGATATCTTATCAAGTATGTAGAGCTTGGCACTTCTATGTCTGCTGTTCCAACCTTCCTTAATTCTCATCGACTCTGGACATTTTCAATATAACTCTGTTATGCTTGGTGAGTGCTCATTTTAAGCTGCGTAATTAAAGACCTCTATGCATTAATGCTGTATTTGAACAGGTTTCACCATCCTTGCACTCGACTTCTTTTCGCAGGGTCGAGATGAACTAGGAGCCATCTGTTTTGTTGCCAGCCTCTGCTTCAAACAGATGGCGCTTTACTATGCACCCGCGATAGGTTCATATTTACTCGGTAGATGTCTAACTTTAGGTCCAAACGCTGGGTAATTATAGGTCTAATACATTGCTAAGCTATGTCAATGCTGACAGTCACTGCAGACCACGCCTGTTCTTCCGGCTTGCCGCAACAACAGTCGGTTCCTTCATTATCGCATTCCTTCCTTTCCTTCCACCGTTTGCACCCCTCTCCGGAATACTCGACCCTCTTTCACGTATTTTCCCATTCGCGCGTGGACTCTTCGAAGACAAGGTCGCCAACTTCTGGTGTGCGTCGAACGTCATCTTAAAATGGCGCACGCTTCTTCCTCAACCTACGTTAATCAAGCTCTCAACGGCTCTTACCGTCTTGGGTTTCTTACCCTCTGCGATACAACTCGTTGCAACTGGTTGGAAAACGATGGACTTATCCCCCGATGATTCTGGTCGTCCAGAATCTCGAGATACCTCGATAAAGAAAAGAAAAGATGAGACAGTCGCGACTCCGACTCTACCGATCCTTCCTTGGGCGATGCTTTCCTCTTCCATGTCGTTTTTCCTATTCTCGTTCCAGGTCCATGAGAAGACGATCCTCCTTCCGCTTCTTCCGATCAACCTCCTATTGTCTGGTGCACCACAGAACTCGTTCATGTTTAATTGGGGGATGTTGGTGAATAACGTTGCTGTCTTTAGGTGAGTCGTATCTCTTGATGATATTAGATTTGAAATTGAGTGATTGATGATTTTGATTTTCGTTGCGTTTGTTGTTTGTGTTAGCATGTGGCCGTTATTGAAGAAAGACGAACTTGGGCTTCAGTATATCGCATTGACATTCTTATGGAACTATTTACTCGGATACAATCCCTTTCGTAAACCAACTGAAAAACAGCTCGTTTACTATTTCAGTCTCGTAAGTTTACCTCCGTCACCTCTCTTTTATTCCGCATCACTAACTTGCTAATTTCCCCCTGGTTAGGCAACATACTCCGCAATCCTACTCTTACACACCGCAGAACTCCTCATCACACCTCCACGTCGTTACCCCGATATCTTCCCCGTTTTAAACGTACTAGTTTGTACTCCGGTGTTTGGAATGACTTGGCTTTGGAGTATTAAGAGGAGTACGGAGGTTGCGTGGGGTGTTGGTGGGTTGAGTGTTACTAGCAGTAGGAGAGCGAAGAATGGTGCTAGCTCGACGACGACGACGACGACGACGACGACGACGAAAAGTGATTGATGATGTATATACTTTTTTATTTTATTTCTTTAGTGATTACGTTGGTTATATGCGTTTGTGGTTGGTGATTAGCATCTACAGCGTAAATTATCCATCTGCCCATCCTTCTATCGATCTATCAATTTACAAATTACTCTACAGTATTGCACTTTTAAGAAATGAGCACTACGTCCAATCCCACCTTTCCAACATATCTATGCATTCGCTCCTCGATGCTCACGATTTCTCTGTCCCTTACGTCTTCATGGCCTTGTGCTTTCTTCCTCCTCTACTTTGCCCTGCCCCCTCTTTTCAATTTGGCTCTACAGCCTCAACACTTCAGTTTTTCATGCTCAAAAAAATCATGATACATATATGTATAATAACTATGAATCCATACTCAAAAAATTTTTGTGACTTTTTTGTGGGTGATAAGGTTGATTAATTCAACCTGCCCCCTCTTTTCAATTTTCGTCACACTTTGTCACAGTCCTTTGGCTGACAGAATGAGTAGCAACAGATAAGGTACATGTCACTCTTTGTCACTCTAAAAAATTCTTTTTACAATGATAATTCACAACATTTGTGTTTTCTCTTGAAAAAATCATACATACTCTTATACATCTTTTTTTTTTTATGTGTAATAAGAATAGTGGAGAAATGTCCATAAAAACTTACTGGAGGACTTTTACATAAAGGTGCTCAAAATGTAATGAGTATATGCTCAATTTTGATTTTTGCTGTGTTTTTTTAACAGAAATTATTTACTCTTTATTAATGGATGACATATGTACACTCTCAATAATTTTTATAGTGAGTTGTTAAGGAGGATGTGGTCAAGTGGAAAATTGAAAAGAGGGGGCGGTTGAAAAGAGGGAGCAGGGCGTAGTACTCCTCCGTTTTCTTCCTCGTTAGGAGTCTCGGGTACGGGGAACTGTCTTTCGTCTTTCCTTCTAAAACGTTTAAATTCCCTTGGTCAAGTTGTCAGCATCTCGCTAGACACAGTTAAGATGATTAAAGGATACGTACTTCTTATATTCCTTCATCGACATCCCATGCATCGCTTTCAGTTTGTCGTCGACTCTGTCGAAGAAGCCTTTCCGGCCTCCATTCTGGAATGTTTGACGCTGGAGAAATAGCACACACACAAGTCTTACAGGATGAATATCTGTAGTGGGAGTAGGACTTACCATTAAGGCGAACATGTTGAGTTCATCGTTGTTCGGTCTTTTCTTCCTAAGTGATTTCGCCAGTCCAGAGATAGGAAGTTCGTTGGTGATAGACACAATTATCTGAAAATAACATCAGTCAACGAGATGAATATTACGTGCAAGTAATTTAAAAAAAAGAGAGCATGCCTCACCGCCTCGATAATCTGGCGTCTTGCTTCTCCAAAGTTCTTCTGCCACTGTACGTCAAGAGCCCTCATCTTCCCAACATCTCTCATCCACGAAACGTCGAGACCCATCCGATCCAGTCTTGGAGCAATGTAAACCTTCAGATAAACATTTTATGAGCCTTTCTTAAGCGAGGCGAGTGCAGGAAGAGTGTTGGCTGCTTACAGAGAATCTAAATGTGTTAAGGAAGCGGTCCTTGAAAAGACTGGAGCCGGAAAAGTTCAAAAGTAACTTCAAGGCGATCGCGTTGAATTGCTCCTACACATTTATGTATGGATTGCATCAACTAGGATTACATTGTAAATAGCAAACGGTCAACACACCTTGGCCTTGCTCGGGATATCCACTGAGCGTTTATTCAGTATCAAAGCAACGAGGAATAATGTCTTCCTATCGTCAGGTTCCTACAATTATATTTCGATCAATGATATGAAATTGTCCATAAAGGAGATAACTCACTAGCGCAACATTTTGAAGGACGTGCTCGCTTCCCTCCGATAGACCGAGCTCGACTGCCAGGTCATGCACCCAGTTTGGATCTTCTTCATAAAAAAGGTTATCCTGAGGTGCATTCCGTCGCTCGTCGGAATTATCGTCGCGATCCGGAGCAAGTGCTGTCCTTGAAGTCAGGGGTGCAACCGAAGTCATAGAAGTAGAGGCAGAGTTCAAACCAGAACCCGAAGGATTTATTTGTGTCTGAGGTAAAAAGTCAGAGGGCAAGCTATATATACAGCTGAGAATTCCAACTTACATCACCCTTACTGCTCGAAACCCTCGATGTTCTTGGGACATCCGACGAAGCCTGAGTTTCTGTCTCTTCGGCAAGAGGTTCGGATCTGTAACACATGTGAACAAAAAAAAATCATAAAGGAGACTCGAAGGATACGTACTCGTACATCATTGGTGCCTGGTCGTCTTGCATTACAGCCTTCTGCTTGCCGTTCCGCTTTGGAGACGGGGGTGGGGAGTAACCATTGTTGAAGTGGTTACTTCCCGGTCCCGTTCCTCCTCGTCTCGAGCTGGTAGGAAAAGAACTCATCCTTGTCTCCTGGTACTCACTATGCGGAGTCGGAAGTCGTCTGTGTGTTCCTGTCGAGGGATAGTTCCGCCTTCCACCTCGTCCTTGTCCATACGGTCGCCTATTCGACGGACTACACGAAAAAAAGGGACAACTGAGTGATCACACAACGATTAATTATAAGGAACAAAAGAAACATACCCAGCTATCGCATATCCCCCATTTAAAGTCTCCAATTCATCATTATCTTCACATTCGACACCATCGAACGGACGATTTCCCTGCATTTTTTTCCATATGGGAGAAGGTACGGATAGGGAAGGTGACCGATACTCGGGATAAGTGGTATGCCAATTTCTTGGCGTTACTCCTCGTCCAGCGTCGTAACAACTCCTCCTCACCTCGCTTGCATAACTAGGTGGGGTCGGGAGCTGATTTTGCGTGTACCTTTGGCCCTCTTGCGTTCTTGGTGGGGGGCGGTTCGACGGGGGGCGATTCGGCCTATTGCCTCGTCCGCGTCCACGGCCGTACCTCCAGTTGTTTGATGACCTACGAAAAAAAAAAGGGGGGGGGGGGGGGGGGGAAGAGATAAATAAATAGTTAGTCATACATAGCTTAATTTCGAACAAAGGAGAAAAAAACCTACCCATCCATAACATGTCTCTTCCTCGGACTGTCCAACTCATCAACTTCATCCTCACCGTCGACTTCATTGACAAAACGTTTTGGATGCCTCGTCGACGCAGGTGGAGGCACAGAATAGGAAGGCGACCTAGTTTCAGGAAGCGTCTCCCATCGAGGCGCAGATAATGGTGTCTTTGGCCTTGGGTTGTATCCTTGTCTCGTTGTTTGATCTATTGGTGGAGTACGGTATGTGGAGTAGGAGCGGGAGACCATGTTCGTAATACTGAGTTTGCAGAGACCACCAGACAATGAGTAGACTAGAAAGACTGCCGAGTACAGTAGCAGCAGAAGGGGCCACAGTACTAGTAAGCCCTCGTCTCTTCGGTCAAGTAACGAGCCCGTTAGTTTATATACCTCTGAACAAGCTGCCCGACCGAGTCATCCATCGTTCAGTCCTTCCATTCACATCCAGAGCAAGCGTCTCTTCACACCAAAGAAAATTTTACGCGAAACCAGCATTTCGGCCAGTTAAAGAATACAGACACCAAGCGAAGAAGTCGCCGCCTTGAATTCCATTTTGTGTTTTGCGTTTCATGTTTTTCAGCCCAGAGTTCTCCGTTCTCCGTTGCTGCTCTATCAATCAATCGGGTGGATGCTCGGAACCGGAACAGACGCTCGGAGTCTCGACAAAACGGTGAATTAAATGAATTGAATTGTGCTTCTTTTACGGCTGTGCTATACCATTGCCAATTTACTAAATCCCGTCTAGTATAAGAAAATGAAAACAGTAAAAACGCGTCTCCAAAGAAAACACCGATAAAATCAACCAAAGCAACTCACAGAAAGAATGAGTACATAGGGCGAATGACTCCAGGTCGAAGAAAAATAAGAATTAATGGTATCCCGATGGATATGGATGAAATATGTACTATACTGTAGCAATTAGCACCTTCTTCTCATCTCGTCTTGTATATTTTTCATTTATTTTCCTCTCCACCACTTCCCCACCTTCTCACCCGAATATCGAATACTCTTCCCTAGCCCAGCGCTCACGACTCCCTTTGCCGTCTGCACGAAAGCAGGATATCGCACGATGCTCCGCATTTCTAAAGAATAAAGGGACCGTCGATCGTCCATTCATATGATTTTCAAAATGAAAAAAAAAATTAAATAAAAGAATAAGCGTTGAAGAACTAGAAGCAGCGTAAGAAATAAGGGTACGAACCAGTTCTTAGAACGCGTTCTAGGTCCTTATCCCCAGCAACCTTCAACCAAAACGCACTCTCATCCGCTTCTCTGGAAGGTATATCCGCCCTTGCAGCATACCGCTCGACCAACTTCGACCGCAGCGTAGCAGGTAACTTCTTAATATGACTCGCTCTCGTCTGCGGACTTACATCCTGCTCAATCATAGTCCCACTTACAGAAGACCAATGTACACCAGGTAACCCAACCGCAAGTCGTTGATACAACTCCTTAAACAGCGTCGCCTGTTTCTTCACAATATTACTCACTTTCGAACGGTTTTCTGCTGGGAGTAACATCCTTGGGTCACCATCATAGCTTATCGCCGTAATCGTCTCGAATAACTCCCGTTCGGAGAAGTTTTGGGGGAGAGTAAGGAGGGCAGTTCGTAAGGCGGATGTGAGGTTGACTTGTTGAGTTAGTCGGACGCGGGCGTCGTCTTTTATGATTCGCAAGGGTTTGTGCATACGGCCTGCGAGGTAGAGTGTTTTCCAGGTTAGGAGGTCGGAGCAGAGGTTGTCGATTGATGTTACGCCATATTTAATAGTCTTATAAAACACATTAATCAATCATAAGAATGAAGTGCTTGAATACAGTCGTTTCAGGGACACTTACAACATCATTAACACGAACAAAAGTGTTAAACCAAACACCAGGCCCCACTTCCTGCACCCTCGAAACAAAATCCGATCCAAGCATTCTCGCATGAAGAGGATAATGCCCCGGAAACTGGTTCATATTAATCGAATGCCAATGATCCGGATGACGAACAGCGAACATGAAGTCCAACATCGGTGTCTTCCCTTCTTCCTTCATGGACGTATAACCATCTTGCTCAAATACTCCTGAGCCGTAGGCGAATGCATAGCGGATTGGAGCACGGAATTGAGCGACGATTTCTTCGAGGAGGGCTCGCGTGGAGTTGGGTACGGAGAGGAGTTGGTTTTGGCCGAAGTTGGGTGGGAGAGAGGCGAATGCGTTTCCTACTCGACTGGTGCTGTTGTTGGATGGGGAGCGGGGGGAGGGGTGAAGTCGTGTGCGCGGACGAGAAGTCGGCTTTGTCGGTGGTGGGAGAACGTCATCTATTATTGCTGCTGAGGAAGACGAGGAGGGAGCGTGTTCTGTTGCGAAGGATCGGATGAGGTTGAGGTGAGCGCGGCGTGCACAACGGGCGGATGCGAGCATCGTGTACGTCGTGAGTGTGTATGTCGGGAGTGTCGGGAGTGAATGTCGGTGAAGAAAGAGAGTTGAGTTGACGAGTGATGAATGATGTCGGCGATCGACTTGGCTTGTCGACGGCGGTGCACGTGAGTGAGCTCGATGAGCCTGCGTGTCACTGCCAGCAACAAGTAGACGACCTCACCTACAACGACGAGCTCAACACTGTCAAACAGCGCGTCGTGAACAACAATGCCCGTCGGTATTGAAGCATGGTTCAACCAGGTGCCGCCCATTACACGCGGTTGGCTCGCATGTGCCGTACTCACTAGTCTCGCAGTGGTGAGTAGTAATCAATATTACCTCCTCTAAATAAATTTAACATAACATTTACGCTGTTGTATTGTTCGCTCTCGTAGCAATGCCAGATGATCACACCTCTTCAGCTGTATTTCAGCTATAAGAGCGCCTTCAAGAACGTTCAGGTGACTCCACACGTTGTCGTTCATACCTGTACCATCAACTCACGGAATTAATGTAGCTGTGGCGGGCGTTCACGACGTTCTTTTACTTCGGGAACATATCAATCGACTTTGTCTTCCATATGTTTTTCTTGTCAGTGACACTCCTTCCGTTACTTTCCACAAATCAAATCAATTGCTAATAATTTAATAATTTAATTTTTGTGCGTAGTATGAGGTACAGCAGGATGCTCGAAGAATCCTCCTTCGCACACCGTCGAGCCGATTACTTCTGGCTCCTCCTCCAATCAGCCGTAATGCTCCTCGTACGTCCTTCCTCTCCCTCTCACATTCAAACATACTAACATAAACTAAACAACCTTAATAACAAAAATGAACATCGCAGCTCCTCTCCCCACTAGTAACAATGCCCTTCCTCTCCTCCCCCCTCGCCTTCGTCCCCATCTACATCTGGTCCCGCAGACACCCCAACACCCGAATATCCCTCTTCGGCATAGTCACCATCACAGCCCCTTACCTCCCCCTCGCACTCGTCGCTTTCTCTTGGCTACTTAACGGGACTTGGCGTGCAGCTGCTGGTGATTTATTGGGTTGCGCTGTTGCTCATTTGGCTTGGTTTGTGAGGGATGTGTGGGCTAGGGAGATGGTTGGTGGAGGGGGTGTTTGGAGTGAGGCGCCTGAGGGGCTGTGAGTGTTATTGATTTATTTTTCCATCTTACCTTGCATTAACGAGATGTTATTTTTAGGAAAAGACTTTTCGGAGATCTCTAGACACGCATCTGAGTTATAACTGTAAAATACACATCACAATGTTTTCAAAAGCAACAGTTTTCATAGACTTCATTCGTTGTGTAGCTCCCCAAGCCAAAAGCCGAGAGGTCTGCCTATGGTTAGACCTACAAGCGGGGATAAGTTAGTTAGCTAGATACAGGAGTTACTTAAGTGGTTATACGACGACGACGACAAGGCATATTCAAGAACGGGAAGACACGTATGTAGATCAAGTAATATACGAGACGACCCGCGACGACAAGGGAGGGTAAAAGAAGGAGGAGGGATAGGACGGTCAGTGAGTTGGTCAGAATATATAAAAGAGAGAAAACGAAAATAAGACCCAGCTAGAGAAAGAAAAAACATATAACGACAATCAGAAACCCGAAGACTTAGATATTTAGCTAGATATCTCATGTAAGTGTGGGGGTATAAAAGAAGGCCAGGAATATAAAATCAAAATCAGACGATCATAGATGCACGACGATTAACAACTGGCACGGTTTTCACAGGTGGAGTCGGTCCTTTCACTTTAGCTCGGAGAAGTGCACTGCGGTTGGTACGTGGTTCGATGGACGGTGGGCGTGGAGGTGGAGAACGTACAGGGGATTCTTCTTTGTTCTCATTCTTCCCATTTGCCACAGCTGAACCAGCGGAAGGCTTCTGAGAAGTGGAGCGTCCGAGTGAAGCGTAATTTCGTCCACCAGCAGTGGAAGCCTGTGAACGATTCGCAAGTGATGAAGACGAGCGTGATAGAGCTGAGCCGGGACGGGAGTTTGTCAAGGTTGTTTGAGAGTTGGTACGAGACAGGCTACCAGGCGCCTTTGGCGTACTTGGTCCCTTGACTGTAATTCATTACAAAAAGGTCAATATGATTTAGAAATTCGCAAGAGAAATAAGTCAACAACATGGCACTTACACATGAATGACGTTGGAGGCGCGGAATCTTTCTTCGCACGAAGTTCCGCACTCTTGTTCAATCGAGGAGAGACAGTCGGTGCCTGGACACTTGCAACCTGAATCGTCTCACGACGCTTATGTCCCGGTACACCCTCAAATGTATTAGCGTTCGAAGAGCGTAATTTTTGGCTAGAAGACAGTGGTGGAGCGGCCTTCCCTCCCCCCAGCCTAAGCGCAGCTGCCTTTGTCATCCGGGGTGCGATGACCGGTGGAGCGGTCGAAGCGACTTGGATTGTAGTTGAACGTTTGTGACCTGGAACGTCCATGAAGGCTTGTTTTAGTTCCTCCTTTGTGGGCGCCACGCGTGGACGGTCATAGCGGCTTGTTGAGAGAACCTCGCCAGCACGAAGTGCTGCAGCTCGTGTGGTACGTGGAGCGATATCTGGTGCGTCGTGCGTCTTCGGGAGAGGGCGAGCCCTGAATGGTACTTTGCCGTCTAGAGAGCCTCTGCCGGATGATGCACCGGAGACAGAGGATGTCAGCGTCGGCCTTCGGATTCCGTTCGATCCTGACAAGTTCGCAGACTGCGAGATCTGAGAGGACGTCGGAGAGAGCATATGTTCGCGGGTCTGCCAATCGTCGCTTGCAGTGGTACCATTCTCCGTAGCTGGACCGCTGCCCAATTCATGCTGGATGTTATTGACGCCTTCTAGTTCGTCGGGATCCTGGGTCGAAAACGGGGGACTTGACTGGAACAAGCATTGAATCTGAACTTCTGCGGTCTCGGCATCAGGTGAGCCCGCAACAGCATTCTGCGCAGGGTCTTCTTCGCCGAACAGAGCTCGCAGAGAGTTGGGGCTGGCTTCGCGCGCGCGTACTGGGTCCTCTTCGCCCATGAGTGCTTTGAAAACCTCGACGGCGCGACGACGCTCGAGCACATAAACCCAGACGGGGCCCCTGGAGTCGTGAGGCGTGTCGAGAAACGGTGAGTATGGCAACGAGAAGTGACGTCGAGTGAGAACAAGACATACTCAAAGAGCGAAGGCGTGTCAATGCCGAAGAGTTCACGGAGGAATTCTTGGTCGGAGTTCTGGTCGAACTCCATTTGCCGTTCTTTCACGATCTGCGACGTGTTGCGTGAGTGTGAGCCTATTGTTTGGTGGGCCGTGATGAGCCGAGAGGAGGACGTACCTCGAAGTCAGCCTTCTGTATGCGTTCTTCGATGTCCATTCTGTGCTTGAGTGCATGGTTCTTGATTATGGCGACAGTGCGTGTCAGACGCGTGCGGGAGCCGTTTGAGTCGTCCGAAGCGGGCGTGTGTGTTCCGGACATGACGAGAAGCGAAGTAGTACTAGTACTGAGTATGTAATGCAATCGATGCGCGTATAAATAACAGGAAACAGGCGCGATAAAGGATCAGGACAGCGCAGACGAAGCAGAGAGACAGATACAGGCAAGAAAATGTGTATTTAGCGGCAAAGGCAAATGAGCGAAGTGGTTGTTGCGTTCGACGGTGTGCAGCAACAGGGTCGCCTTTGATCACAGCAACAATCACCAACTTCCCACGACTGCTCAGCATATATTCGCATAAATAATCACTGGCAGTGGACACTCGACAGAGCAAACATCATTTTGTATCATTGTGATGCATAACTAATCTCTGACATTCTATACTAGCATTGAAACAAAAATGATTAAATGCCGTTGTGTAATTTCATTATCGCCAGCCGCGAAATATACTCGTGTGCCTTGCCTTCCATATCAGGCAGGCGCGGGACGAACTGCTTTGAGCGCGTCTGTTGCTTGGCTGGTCTCTGCTGCTATACGCTCTCCTCCTCTTTCTCTCCTTTCGACTCGTGCTCGTCGCTGTCCCCGTCTATCTTCGCAACACGCTCAAGTTATCGACACCGGTAGTGTGCTGTGCTGCTGCCGGCTTTAGACAGATCCGGACCCCTGTAGCAGTTGAATGCATTGCTGGCAGAGTGGCGAACAGCACCCATGGCACTCACTGCATCCCCTCAATCTGCTTTGCAAGACTTCTCCTGGGATGAGGCGATAGTACCCACTCTCAGAAAGCGTGCGCCGCCCGTATCCCTAGCATTTTTCGCCTTGTTTGCTGACTATCGTTTCTTTGCACGCGCTCAGGCCTCGAGAACGAGAGTCGTGCTCTTTCGAAACGCATGTCCAACGTCCCAGCCGGGGTGGAAGAAGATGGAACAATCGGGACTAGCAAGAGAACGGCACCGCGCACGTCGGCATCGAGCAACAGGACAGGTGGACGCGTGACTCCGTCGAGCACGAGCACGGAACGGCCCAGTGCCATCCCACGCCCCAGCCTCAATTACTCGCGACCAAATAACGCGACCTCTTCACAAGGGAACAACAAGAGTGACAAGAGTAGGCCGGGCCAACAACGATCACGCACGTTCTCTACTCCGTACGCTTTCGATCCAAGCCTAACGTCGACGGCAAATGGTCCAAACGGCCATTCCACGCCTCCTCCTACCCGCACAACCGACACAAGCAACGCGCTTCCGACTCCAGCGTCCTCTCGTTCCAATTCCCCTTCAATGCCTTCTCCGCCAGTGTTAGAGACAAGAAACGCTCGGAACACTAAAACCTCCGGAAATAAGCGAGCTGATCCCAACGGCAGAACCACACCAACCTATAATCGACCTATGAACGATGAGTACGACTATGGTGAACACGGCGACTGGGATGCTGATGAAGACACCTATGACGCGTCATACTCCTCAATCAACGTCAACGTACCTCAAGGCGCAAAGACAAACGGCATTCTGCAAGAAGCCCCACCATTCTCGGCCAATTCATCATTTGCATCCGACGTCGAAGTACGGCCTTCTCTAGAAGAACGCCCCTATGAACACTGGTATCGTGGTGATCTATCTCGAAACGGTGGTGTTGGAGAGCTACGTATTGGGAACAGAATGGAAATGCTTGAGATTGCAAGTTACGGACACAAGCTGCGGAAAATCAGGAATGATACCTTGTCACGACAGAGACGGCGTGCGGAAAGTATTGGACATCGGGAAAGTGTAGTATTTGATGACGAGCCAGACAACGCTGCTCCCTTAGTGTTGGATGAAACTCCTTTGACGGACATGGAAGTTGATACAGAGCATGAAACTGATAGAGAAATGAGTCTTCCTAGACCACAGCAATCCTCTCTTGAGCAGCCGAAACGCACGGCTCGTTCTGAAGCTCAACCTTCGAGAACTGTAGCTCTTCCATCTACTCCGAAGCATCGTCAACCTTCTCAAATACCCCGTGCAACGCCTAACGCCCCACGGACGAACCAAAGGACTGCGTCAGAACCTCTTCAGCAGAAACCACTATCTTCCTCAACATCTTCCGTACCGCCTTCACGTTCAGGATCCTCTGCAAATCCGAATACAGCAAGGATACCCAATCCTCAATCTCAGGGATTGCCTTCTACGCCAGCACAGAAACGTGGGCGCGCGAAGTCTCCGGCAGTAACTTCATCAGCGAGTAAGAAGCCCCGGCCTTCAGCGGGAGCTCAACAGAAGCGGTCGAAGTCGGTGGGCAATGAACGTCTGTTACCGAGGGCGGTCTCAGAGTACCCTAGTATGCCTGACGGGCCTGGGAATATGGCTGATGCTATACCGAGTTGGACTCAGCCTAAGAAGGCGGATAATTGGGATGATGTATGTTTATTTCGAGTTATAAGCCTATTGTGTTACTGAGTAAAGTTAATCTAGGTCGTGCTTCCGGCCGTTGCTCGGAAGATGGGTTTGGAAGATCAGTATGAAGAAGCGGATGGGAGTCCGAAAGCTCAACGACCAGCGTCTCAAGAAGTCATTCCTCCTGTAAGGATTATTAATCATCTTCTTCTCGTGCTTTATTTATTGATTTCGTATGTTATCTTCCTTCTAGCAACCCGGTACGTTCGGGATTGACTATAGTAAACGTCGATCGCGTTACGATCCTATGACCGGGGAGGAGATTCCCTTGAGCGAACTAGAGAAAGTGGAGGAAGACAGGTCACCTGTGAAGGTCGGTAATGACGAGGCGCTTCGCAAGTCTAAACGATTCAGCAAGATGAACGGCGCTCCCGGGACGCATTTGAATGATGGGCATCCACCGTTTAACAAGGGCTATATCCCTTCGGCATCGCCTGCTCCTTTTGCAGAGTACACAAGGCCCAATAATTTGCCGGAGCATGATTTGGCGGAACAGCATGAGAGTCGGAGTGCGTGTTGTGGATGCGTTATCATGTAAAGAGGATTCGGCCGCCTTCTTCGCTTCACCGTCCTCCCCTTCCAACCGTTTTCTTATCCGTACGCGGACTTTCCTCTGTTCCTTCGCTTCTTCAATCTTCCTCGAGTCTATGTCTATGTTCGTCATCATCTGCTTTATTGGGCTTTCGATCTCTGTCTGCTCTGATCTCCCGTCCTCGTTCTTTCGGATCTATTCATTCATTCCTTTAGTATGTGCCATATTTATGGTCTTTATATATCCTCCCCGTCATCATGAATATCTTTTATCTCTATCACCATGCTCTCTGCTTTTGGCTCGTGGTAGTACTGCTACAATTGCTGCTTCTTTCTGGCTTTTTATAGCTTTCGTCATGATCGTTATGTGTTGAATCTCTTTTCCTTTTCTCTTTTACCGTCTATCCACTAGTGTTTTCTCGCGCGCGCTCCGTTTCCGATGCAATGACTCCCTCTACTCCTCTTTCAGTTTAAGCATTCTCTTTAAATTCCGAATTCAAAGTTGTACAGTGCCTTTCTCGTTTTCCCTCCTTCCGTTATTTCCCCCTTTTCAACGATCCTTTTACCCCAACACCCCTACACCCCTTTTTGAAATTGCTTTCGCCGTGTGAAGTGAAGTGGAGTTGCTTTTAGCTCTTAATTAGTCAGTTTTATCCCTATCTCAATGATTTTTGTAAAGTCCGAAATGATATACCTGCTCTATTTCTACTTAACTCATCAATCAATACAGTCAATTTTAGTTTAGTTTTTCCAAAGTCTGCAGGCTCAAAAAAGTTTGTCTTTATGTATGTGTACTTGGTTCCAGCTTAGCTTCCATTTCCATGCTAGTGAATGAGAGACTGTGTGAGAAGATGAGAAGAATATTGTAGTTGTGAAAATTGTGATGTGATACATGCTTGTGTAACAACAGTAGAAACAAAGACAACAATTGAAGTGATTACGTGTGGACAAACCAAAATGTAGGTGGAGAGTGGACGAAAGGCTGAAAAACGAAAACAAGAATAATTAAACTAAGAAACGTAAACCAGGGAATGTACAACCTTTTATCACAGCGATCCTTCATCCAATATTTTATCCAGTCATAAGTCGTCTCATTCATTCAATCTCTATCATGCTCATGTTCCCCAATAACGAACTGCGGTGAGATAGGCTCTGCATCCGCTTCAGCGGCTGGTACTCGTTGATACCATTTATCCAACTCAATTTCCCCTCCATCTGATGAAGAGGCGGTTCCTCCTTGTCCAGAGGTTCCGGATGAGACGGCGTGACGACCTGTGGTGCCCCACATGTGGATTAGGAAGAGGACGAAGGTGTATATCGTGAATGCTAGACTGTATTTGCGATTGAATCAAGGAGGGTTAAGTAAGTGAGGTGCGAGCAGGGTGAGAAGGGTGGGACGGACCTGATCATAATGAGAACGTAAGTGACGTGGTCCATCTCGTTGTCGGCTACAAAGCGGATTTCCTCGTCCGTAGCAGACATGAAGAGTAACCTGTATAGACGGCATGGATAAGATAAATATTATCGCTTTTCGTTAATCAAGAATATGTTGAAATATTGCGTACCCTGCAACAATAAGAAGCTACAGCACGATGAAATTGAATCAGTTTAGGCAGAACAAACACTTCTTCGCGACAATAAACTCACGAAAGGAGGCAAATGACGAAACGCATGTGCGATCGAAAGTCGCGGCTGCTCAGGTGCACCAGGTCCAAGTGTTCGATCGCTCTGTCGATCGCTATCCGAAGATAGCGGTACATCCTTCTCGTATCTCGGAGCCACAAAACAGACTTCGATTATTCGAGTTAAACCAGCGAGCATGAGCACGGCGCCAAATGCCGAGTGAACTTTTGTCGATAGCATTAGAGCTTGGGCGTGTTCGGACATCGCCCATCCTGTTAGGATGATGCTAATAACGGGTATGTGAGGAGGGAAAGAGGAGGCAGAGGCTGCGATGGGCTTACATTATTGAGGGAACTACGCTCCTTTGGTTATTTCTAGATAGCCAGATACCGAGAGCTCCTCCAGCCCACCCTGTGCGCATGATGTTAGTTGGTATCATGCTGCATGCTATATTGTAAACATACATAAAACACCAAGTACTCTGTAGTCCACAAATTCAGTCAGCGAACAGTCCATTAAGCAGTTGATATACTGACGTGTGTTGCATGTCCTTGTGCGACCAGTGAGAACCACGATGCTCGGTGAATGTATTTACTGTCAACATCTGTCAATACAATACCAATTGACCAAACCGCCTACATACCGATTCCCTGGAAGTCTATTCAGCATGCTATCATGAAGCAGTATAACAGAGCTTCTTACCCAAAGCATGATCACCCACGAATCCCACCATTCTGGACTCCTGCCAGTCCGCTTAATCCAAGCTTCTCCGGCAATTAAAAGTATGGCCATGATAATTCCATACGCGATGAATCCGCTTCCCTGTTATTAAGGATGACATGTTTACTTCTGAACTCTGGACAGCGGAATGCGTCTTACCATGATGTAATGGGCTAAACACTGGCCCAGATTACCACCCCTACAGTAACCTCGGAAAGTAATGGCACCGAACAGCATTTGCGTCCACCCGAGAACAGGATAAGCTTTCCCGAGGATTCCATGAGCTCGGACAGCCCACGGACGGATCGTCCGTTCATGAATGTGCAGTTTCAGGTAGATTCCGAGACAAAGCTGCGCTGCAATCGGGAGATACAGGAACTTTGCAAACGAGCCATGTACGGATTCAGGGAACATTCGGCCTTTATGCGAATGACCCAATAGATAGCCTGCAGTCGTCAGCGCAAACCCGGCACTCTGCATCATGGATTCAATAATTAGCCTGTGTCGTGAATATATTCGGCACAGAGACACACCTGTAACGGAACATGCCATCGACTCCTCGTTATTCCTAACACCATACCAATGGGGAAAAGGATACCCCACACAGCACATTGGAGTGCCATATGAATCCAGAGGATAGCGTCGACCGGAGCATTCATTTCCTCCTCCGTGAGTTCACCGTGGTGTTCATGAGCAATGATAGGGGTAGCAGCTATGGCTAGAGTGGCGAGCAGCAAACATCGACGAGCCAGAGTCGCCATGATGGGCGTCGACGACGAAAGAGGGGGCAACAGCGCAGCAGAAGGACGAGAGAAACAGTCAGAGCGTGAATGTCACCATCACGCGGGTCTGTGTGTGAGCTCAGCTCATTGTTGCTTATGTAAAATATACTAAGGTAAGGAAAGTATAAACTCGACATAGTGTGACGCGACAGACTAACCCAATTTGGATGCAAACGATGATGGCGAAATACGACACTCAGTATCCCAAAAATGCAAATTTGAGCCGCATAGATATATTCAGCTTAATCTAACCTACAAAAGTATGTTTTTGATTTTTTAAAATATTGAGATTCGAGTGAGTTATTTCCAAAAAAAAAAACTTATTTTTTTGGTACCAAATGTACAGAAATGCAATTTGGTGAAATTTTGAATTTTTTCCCGAAGATTTTTGCCACTTCGGTTAAATATCTATTATATAATTATTTCCTTATATAGAACACGTGTCTGATGAGTAATATATATTTGATCAGTAAATATCAGCTATTTAGACCCATTTTCCTCTGTTCTGCCTATAATGCTCTAGCAAAAGGGAAGGGATAAAGCCAGAATACAGAATCTGAGGAGTGATAAACCTGTAAGATATGCTTAAGACTGAGTAATAAACAATATAGCTTACCAAGAAATAGGCTACAAGTTCAAGCCAAATCTTATGGACTGACAACAAGGAAGAGTTCAACACTCCAGGTTTTGGAGAGGATGTAAAGACTGTTGTCCTAATTGAGCCTGATGAATTGATAGACAGTATTAGGGTTATACTAAATTCAACTACTAGATGATGCCTGCCCCTACTACTGAAGCTCAAATGGAAAAGCATGTTCAAACATGCCTTGATTCTATTCCTCTTGATTTCTTTCAAAAGTAAGTACTTTAAATCTTTCTTTCTTACAAAATTGATTTTATTATATGTTTTGTAGGTATTGTAACTGGTCTGCTCAGTTCATGGATGTATATAGAAAGGGGTTGACAGGAGCACAGGCTCAATAGGCAAATAAGAAATACTATAGCCATAGAATCCTTCCAGCTAGTATTCTGGCTGAGCTGTAAAACCATAATCTATATTTTTTTTGTATTTACAAGTGCTAAAAAAAATGTCAATGTCCACCGCTCGATTTTTGCCATCAGGGTCCTTCCTAATGGGGAAGTGGCTGTGCTGTGACTGATGTGACATACTATGTCGAGTTTATACTTTCCTTACCTTATGTAAAGTCGCAAAATTCTATTAAACAGTTGAACAAAATGAACAAGCCTCCATCTAATCAGTGTAGATAATATACGTTATAATCTCCCTTTGATAGGCTCTGATCCCCAGACTCCCGTTTGAAGACCACCCTTCTCAAGGAGTGATAGCCAGCGGAGAATTGTTTCGACAACGTCATCCCGATGCTACATCATTTTTATTTCAATTATGAGATTTCAGTGTTAGAGACGTCTACACTCACCGCAGTGAAGTTGTGATCCGCTTCTTCGATATAATGCAGATTGTGGGTTCCACCGCCGGATCGAGAACCGAATACACGGGAATAATATATGGCATCGTATCTTAAAAATTGTGTTAGAGGGATAATGGAATAGAAGCAAGGGTACTCGTACGGTGGAACGGTCTTGTCTTGTAGTCCGTGTATAGTAAGCACATGAGTCTCTGGTGGGAATCTGTCTCTAACTGGAGTTTGATCCCAGGAAGCGAACTTCTCTAAGTCGTGAGGGTACATTCGACCAACTACGTCTTTGCGGGCAACCGTAACATGCCAGTCGTAATATCCTTGCGAATCAAAGTATGGTTGATAAAAATCAAGACGATCTTTATAATGTTCATGTTAATTATCCCACAATACACAAATGCACTTGAGAACTCGCCATATATTCGCTATCTTCCAGTTTGTAATGAATACTTAATGGCACAATTCACTGCTTTGTAACGTACCTCCATACGATATCGACCAGAAACATTAACGAATCCACGAACTCGTCTTCCTTCTTCTGTAGTAGCCACCCAACGCATACCGACGAGACTTCCCCGCGAATGACCAACAACGAGATCAACAACGTAGCCGAATGTCGCTTGCAGATATTGAGCCACAACTTGAAGGTCTTCGAGATCCTCGTCCAGCGCGCCCTGCTTCCACACACCTCCAGTCTCGTTATTGCCTCTATTGAGATCAAGAGTTGAGCAGACGCTCTTCATGTGAAGCAAGATCGCGCAGTTGTAAATTCTCACCTGAAATCGAAGCGGAAGGAGTCGATTGGGAGGGCTTTGGCAAGCTTCTTCTGGAACAAATAATCCTTGTGGCTGAGGATTCTACTTAAGTATCCATGACTTAACAGAGTATAAGCATAGCGTCATACCCCATTGTACCATGTAAAATCTTTACACGATTGTTCAGCATCATGTCGAGGTTTGAATGGAAAGTCATACCAGGGCAATTTTACGATTTTGGGTCGGCTCGTCCGGCTCAAGCTGCTCCAGATCCCCTGCGATTTTGCATGATGGATCAAGAGAGTGCGGTATCCATAACCTCGTAGTTCTACAGCTCGTGCGCATCGTGGTCGTCGACTTCAAATTCGTGTCCTCATAGATGTCGGTCTCCGGTTATTTTGTTCCCGGTTCTTTAATTCGATCGACGTTTCCTGTTTAGGGCATGAAGAAAATCTGTGTCAACTGCAGAGTAAGTGAACATTTCTCAAGACGCCCTCCTTCTGAACGCAGTCCTTCCTCTCATCTACCTTCCATCTACCTTCCATCATGGCCCAAGACGAGCTCATTGACTCTCACGTCTCAAAATCACAATGCGAAAAGGCTATCACCGCTCTCCTAAAGCACGCAACAAAGATTGCAAAGCAGAAGGAAAATACTGAGTTGCTGCCAGGAAAGGAGGAGAATATCTGGCTCGTGCTGTCTGTGAAGAAAGTCATACCAGAGAAGAAGCTGAAACCGTTCAAAATGTGGGTTTAAATTCACCTTCATATTAAAACTCAAACTAAACTACGAATCCAGACCTTTAGCGCATCCCATAGTCGACCCACGCACGTCCTCAGTCTGCCTCATTACGAAGGATCCGCAGCGAGAGTATAAAGACCTCCTCGAGTCGCATAAAATCAAGTTCATAAGTCGCGTGGTAGGAGTCACGAAACTGAAAGGAAAATTCAAGCCATTTGAGGCTCGACGAATGCTTCTGAAGGAGAATGACCTTTTCCTCGCTGATGACCGTGTTGTTCCTTTACTGCCCAAGTTGTTAGGGAAAATGTTCTTTAATGCCAAAAAGTGGGTATTATAGCTCTTCTTGTAACCTATTTGCATAACTGATACATATCTGATGATAGACAACCTATTCCTGTATCTCTTACCAAAAAGGACCTGAAGACGGAACTCGAGCAGGCTATCTCATCCACTTACATGCACCAAAATCAGGGCACTTGCACGTACGCCATTCCATTACACTTTTACTACCAATGCAAATTTTTTTACCATTTTCTAGATCCATTAAAATAGGCACCATCTCCCAGTCGCCCGCCATCCTATTAGAAAATCTGCAATCCGCACTTCCAGCTATCGTCAAGCGTATCAACGGTGGATGGGATAACCTCCAAAGCTTCCACATTAAAACGAACTCAAGTACGAGCTTGCCTGTCTGGTTATGTGATCTTGGAGAAGGAGAAAATGGGCGATGGAGTGAACAAAAGGAGATGGACGAAGTTAAGGAGCAGCCCGGGGAGGAGAGTGACGCAGACTCAGAGCCGACTACAAAATCAGCTACGAAGAAAGGGAAGAAACGTATGGCCGCAGAGGAAGTTGAACAACCTAGTAAGAAGGCGAAGAGTATATCCCAGCCAGACGTTGAAAAGCCCAGTCGAAAGGCCACGAAGGCTAAGAAGAACAGTACAGTCGACGAGGAAAGCGACTCCGACGGAGGACCAACTACGACATCAGTTACGAAAAAGGGACAAAAGCGTGTAGTTGCAGAGGATAGCGATCCAATCAGCAAGAAAGCCAAGAAATCCCAGCCGAAGGTGGAAAAATCTAGCCAAAAGCCGTCGAAGCAATCGAAGAACGTAAAGGCTAACGAAGAAGGCGATTCTGACGAGGAGCGAACCACGTCACCTGCTGTAGCGAAAGGAAAGAAGCCTATAACTGCAACGGAAAGCGATTCGGTTGGTAAGAAGACGAAGAAGCCAAGTAAGCCAAAAGAGGAAAACCTTGGTCCCACGGAACCTACAAAAGTCACAGGGCACGCTGCACAAAGCCCAGCACAAGCACCCTTAAAGTCAGGTCATACGTCAGAGGAAATCAAGAAGAAACGTGCAGGGGAAAGCTTGTCGAAGAAGAAGGAGAAGGTAGTGAAGAAACGAGTCGGTGGGAGTATCAAGGAGAATGTACTTGGTGGAAAGGCTTCATCGCGGATGTAATTCCTTTGTATATACCGTGGCTCACTCGTTTCTCTTAAATGTTCGGATATGAGATAGACGAGGTCCTGTACTGGAACACTGAGCAATGCTCAGTGTGTTCATATGAAAAATAGCTAGTCGTGAAGGACACCTAAGTCCCTCCTATTCATGCATTTCAATTGGACTAGGTATTGCTTATTTTTCGTTTTCGCTGAGCTTCGACGACATATTTCTCGCATACCATGACTAATTCATACGCAGCATGACCTTAATCGAGAGTTTGAGGGGCTAGACAATCACAAGCTTCGCATTCCCAGAAATCGTGCTTCCCTTCCTCAAATCCAAAGGCTAGATCCAGCTCGATATATTCTTCGACCTCGGTTCTCACTCATAATGCCGTCATCCCGGGATCGCATGAGTAATATAATACTAATCAGCTTGTAGACCTGGAAACAGAAGTCTAGCTTCCCTACCTCGAAGCAAAAGTCCAGATCTCGCTCGATATGTACTTCGACCTTGATTCTCACTTGTATGCTCGTGTTCGCATATGCCGTCATCCCGAGATCGCATGAGTAATACCATGTAGAAACCGGAAACCGATAAGCACACGGATACGGAATTCGGGATACCAAGCTTCCGAATCCAAGTCGAATCGAGTCGTCTGCGAAGAGAGAAACTTGAAGTAGAAAGATGTAGATATAGATATACAACGACGTACATATGAACGAATCGAATTGAATCGAACCTATCCTATCTCATCCTATCCAAGTACTAAGTCCGTGGAAGTTCGTCTGACCCGCAAAATCACGACGTACGTCGAGTGTTCCTAAGCTTGACTTCCGTGAATACACGATGGATGGATGAGGAAGACGAGGAACCCATCGTGTAGCGTGTATCATGGGCCTATCCGGCAGCTTCTCATCTTCCCAAACATGACGAACGTACGCATCTAATCATAAAGTGGTGACGTTTGAGGTGAGCTCCTTCTGCCAATCAATATCAAAGCTTGATAATATTGATATTAGTATTAATCTGCCTTGACTCAATGAGTGTTCTTTACTTACTATCTTATAAAGACGGCTCGGAGGGAATGCTACTTCCTATCACTAACATTAACATTAACATATGAAAGACACGTCGGCCCTGGTGATAATCTACGACGAATGCGAAACGGCTCATCAAGGAAGGCAATTGAGGGGTGCCTCGACAAAGTAAAGGAATTGCGGAATCTAATTCCATGTCTCTCAGTCAGCGAAGCGACACCTTGAATACGGACGACGGAATTAGTTGACATCACTGATATCACTCACAACAGGGTCGCCCCTCATTAGTGACCTAATGGTCTAGAGCGTAGACATTCCACGAATCAAGGCCTAAGTCTTCGTTTCCTTGTCTGAGTTGCCACTGCACAGGTTCTCCCGAAATTCCGCCAAGCCGATATGGTTGGGAGGTTTCCCTTTGTGCGGTCATCGTAGATTCCGAGTCTCGGAAGAGGGTGAGAAGACGAACTTCGAACGGTGTCTGTATGTGCATAGATTCATACACTCAGTTCGGTTCAGTACATACGCTTCCCCGATACGTATGTATACGTAGATTTCTCGCACTAGCTCACGTCATCTCGGGTAATTATATCAACTACATTGTAACAGATTGACTCACGATAGCAAAAGAAGCACAGACGTTGCGGACGTCTTTGTGTTATTGCGCGTTTCTTCTGAGTCGTTCGAAGATAGGGACCTATTGAACTGAGAGTGACAGCATGAGTAAGGCAAGCATATGTGTAGTCCACGCAGGTCATGATTTGCGCCGCCTTAGTACCTAACTTTGGACTGTGTCCCTTCGAAGTTCGAGGCTCTAGACTTTCGCATGATGTGAGAGTGACGTCCGCGAGCTTCCTCGTTTCGTCTCGGAGACTTCCTGTCGTCTAGAGTTCTTGGTTTCCCTGGACGTAGCTGTCGGGTTGCTCGGATGCGTACAAATCGGAGTAAAGTCCATCTAAAGCTGGTAGAGTTTTCTAGGCTAGGAAATTGATCCGATTATAGATAAATACAGAGATCTTGTAATTCATGGATTCAGGAATGTTTTCTAGGCCAGAAACTTGTGCTAAGCTGTAGCGGAAGCTAAGCATAACAAAGGGAGTTTAAGGAGCGTTCGAGAAATTGGCTTCGATAAGATGACGACAGAAGAAAAAGACGTCATGAAGAAGGAATTTCTCCGGGATCCATATGCATCAATTGTGCTCTGCGAATTCGAGACATCGTTCCGAGACCTTGCAAGACCGTACGAAACGCATTCACACCTCGTACACTGTGGCGGGTAGTATTTAAAGTTTGTTAGAACCACTAATGTCGGGGCGACCCGAACTCCCATGGATGTCGGCGATTGCGATAGCGCCATAATGAATGCGCATGATGAGGCACCCGCCGGCAAATGTGTGATACGCTTGTATCACTGAAGGTAGGAACAAACGGACTAGTGCAGACGTACCTGGTGCTCGAGCGCGTCCGAGCACATGAAATGAAAAATGTAGACTCGAAACGAAGCGATGTAAATATCTTGCCGGCCCGACGGAAGTAATTAACGGGTGCTGAGCTTGATACGGAGAATGATAATAACCGGGAGAGAGATAAAACGGTGGCGTGCTGCGTTTTGCTTTGAGGATTCCGTTACCGTAAGAGATGCAAAGCTCGTAGTAATGGTGAGAGCTGTGCAAGAGCAGGTCAGGTCAGGTGCAGCAACGTAGCATTCTTGTGGCATGCAGGGACAGAAGCAGAGGGGACTCCGATAGGCAAGTGGTCATTTGCGAGAATGACGTCGGACGAAGAAAAGGGGAGACGTGGCCAGATATAGGTGCTCCTTGTTTTGCCTAGTCTAGTGCTGGTGATGGTAGTCCTCTTGCTAAGATCTGCCCGTGCCGAAGATAGATGAGTTCATATTTTGAATTGCTGGCTGCTAGAGTGGGTGTGTTCCGGGCATCTGGACGACGGCACACGGACAGCGCCAGCAGACAGCCGCAGATTTCCGAGAGAGCGTGAACTAGAGCCTAGAGAGAAATAAGACTGCCGGGGAGAGGAAGGAGCCGTTGCCCTGAGCCAAGAAGGACGAGGGATACAGCAGCGGGAAAAGTCGATCCACTGCAGACGAAAGAGGAGTAAGGAGCGCGCGAGTGCAGGCAGCAGTTATGGGAAATCCAATTGGCTGCACCGAAAATTAGGCGACGGGTGCTTCTCACCGCTTAACGCCCGTCGAGCTCGTCGAGGAGTGCAGGTGTGTGCTGTGCGCCGTCGCCGCTGCCGTCGTTGTCGACGGCCAGTCTGCGAGAAAGGGAGTACTGTGAGTAAGCTTTCTGCTGACGTAATCTATTATTGTTGAGCCGATCGACGGTCCCCGTGCCCACTGCACTCGTCCTCTGTCCTCCCAACACCCTGCACGCTACCCCGACACCTTCGACGACACTCCCTTCTTCGTCTCTCACCACTACTTCCAGCACAAAAGGCGCATTTGTCCTATCGAGGGACAGCCGCGACCACCTTACGGACATCGTTAACGATCGGCAAAGTTTGCAGAAGCACGTCTGTGGAGTCTCCGTGTGAGTCCTATCCCCGCCCTGTCTTACTCTCTCTATCTCAACTCTCTTTCTCCTCCCTGCCTCCTCGTCGTCCTCGCCCGTCGCCGTCCCCGCCATTGACGCTGCGCCTGACGATGGATAATGCTCCAGCTGATGGGCAACACCTCCTCGTCCCAGTCTAACCGCGGTTCGGCGACGCATTCATCCAGCTCTAACCAAGACTCACCGTCCCGCACCTCCTCTCGTCGCTCCCGCTCCCAGCATTATTCCGCCACGCCAGCATCCACGGACCGTCGCTCGCCCACTCGTGCGTCCGACGCACAGGGCCAACCTGCCGAAGCACCCCAAAATCAGCAAAAACGACTCCCGCACCGTTCCCTACGTACCAAGAAAAAATCCCTAGAGTTGCCCGACCTGGCGCTCGCAATCTCCTCGCCACCTGGTGCCCAGGCGGGCAATGGGGCGGCGACGGGGCCCACCGGACCTTATCGCCGTCCACAGGCTTCTTCGCCCATAGCGATCCCCACAAGACCCGGTTCGGGCGTCGGACCCGGGGCTCCATCTAGAGCGAACCAGGAGTCTCGTCTTAGATCGATCCCGTCAGCTGCCACCAATGCAGCAGTCCAAAATATGCCGCCTATGGCGGAGGTAATTGTGCAAGCTGAAGCTGCTCCGCGCGGCCGTGGGAACCCTCACATTAGAGGGGCTCCTCTGCAGTACACCTCCACGCACTCCTTTACGGGCACTGGCCGCGGACAGACGCTGCCGAGCTTTGTGCTACGCTCCCATCCTCACGGTGGTTTCGTACCCGAGGATGTAAAAAGCTCCATTCCTCTCGCCATTCGTACGGCGGGAGAGGGGGCCGAAGCTGAGGAGGAGACTGAGCGCGAGAAAGCAGAGTACATTGCGCCTCGTCGGTCGACAGAGGAGAAGCAGCCCGCTCAAGTGTGTATTGTATGGCGAGGAGGTGGAAAGAGCGTATTTCTTATGCGTGCGGGAGATAATAACTGGAAAGGGCGTCAACCCATGGAATATGAGTACGTACCCGTTTATATTAAGGTTCCTCCGCTCCCGTACTTCCTCTTAACCCTCTCCGCGTCTTTCCCCTCTTCTTCCCATCCCTTTCCCTTTCTCTCCCTTGCTCTTGCTGAATCAATACGCTGACATGTCTGTTGCTCTCTGCTCCCCGCGTTCCCCACTTTCCGCTCCATTCAGCGAGAGCTCGAAGCAGTGGACGACGTGGGTCTCGCTCACCCCCGGTACTCACCACATACGCTTCCTCGTCGATGGTGTCTCCACCATTGCCGATGACTTGCCGACTGCCGTCGACGACAATGGTTCTCTCGCCAACTACGTCGCCGTTCCTATTTCCGGGCAGACTCCGCCTTCTGCAACGCTGCATCCGACGCCGCGAGAGCAAATTCCGCCCGCCAGCTCTGGTAACGGCGCAAGCTTCTTTGCCGATGCTGAAAATCCTGCCGGGCAAGAAGATGCCGCATGGACGGACAGGGTTCCCTGGCAGCTTGAGTGTGCTGCAGAGGAAGAGGAACAGTGGCTTTCTCACTCTCACACGCATTCACATGGCGCACAGGGTCAACCCCCTCCACCTCAGCACCCTCAAGCGCCATCCCTTCCTCGTCACCTTGAGAAGCTGATCTTGAACCAGAAGCCACCTAGCTCGCGCACCTCATCCAAGACTGGCGGGAGCAGCGCGGCTTTGTTCGGTGCTAGCGGTACTCTTCCTGTCACTACCGCTAGCGGAACAAACCTCAGTGCGTCAACAAGCAGACGCGTCCATGCCCCGATTGGCGCTGCTAGTGGAGCTACTCCTGCCCGCGAGCCTTATACGAAACTGGACGATGCTCCTCCAGGCGTCCTTGCTGGTACTGGCAATGCCGATGATGGGAGTGTGCTCCCTGTCCCTTCACATGTTGTACTGCACCACCTCGGCACGAGTGCGATCCGTAACGGGGTGCTCGCAGTTGCGGACACGGTTCGATACAAGAAGAAAGTGGGTACTTTGCACATCTTTTCCGTTCAACTACTCATCATTAATATGCATTGCTGCCGCAACAGTATATCACGACGATCTACTACAAGCCTACATGACTTAGACGTGCAACATCACTCGTCTTGACTTCATCTTGTTGGCTCTCTTGGACTTTTTGTTCACGATACACGGTGTCACGGATCGCATCCGTATAACACGACTGTTACACCCTCCAGTTCCTCATTGCCTTACCTTTCGCTACTGACAGCTTCTCCTTCCGCCTATTTGCCTATTCATCCTTCCTCCACTGTTGTTTCTTCTCTTCAACCTGTCACTGCTGGAGACTGTTCACTCCGCATTCACCCCCTGTTTTACCTGTTTATGCATAGACGCGCTTCAAAAGCTGGAGGTTTGGATCTGTCCCTTTTGACTTCTTCCTTGGTCTCTCTCCACTCTGTCCTTCTGGAGGAGTTCATGTTTTTTTCTTTTGTAGTCTGCCTGACCTCTTGTATCCCTTTCCTCTTTCTCTCTCTCTCTGTTGCCATTCTGTCTGGCTTCACTCACGCCCTTGTAGACTCAACCGCCTTCGTGGGACTCTTACCTTTCTCTCTTCCTCCATTGGACTGACTTTGTTTTTCTGATCACGGTCATGGTCTCTCATATCCTCTCTCCTGTTTACCCAGCCCATCGCAACCCAAGATGCAACAACCCCAACAAAAAAATTGGAAAAAGAGGGTCGATGTCCAATAATTGCATGTGTAATATTAGCACACTTATGTTCAGAATGAAAGAAGTAACTGTTAAACGGACCTCTCCCTCTTGTGACAGTTCTTTCTAATTTTTCTTTGAGTTCCCTTGATAAAATGCACACAGGATCTTCTTGCAATTTAATTTACTATACCTCTCTCGAAGACGGGTAAGTGCTGCCCACATTCTGGCCAATTGCTTGTCTGATAGATTTAGACTCGGGGCGCGCGGAATTACATATTACACACGTGCACGTACATTATGAGTGTCTTCCGGACTTTTTTTAGTCGAAGTTTGAGGGGAGACGGCAATCCCATTATCAGAGTTCAGAGGGATTGATCATTTACTATATTTCAATTATAGTAGCCTAGTTGACTGGGTGAGCGACTGCGCGCTCCGGCGGCCTTCCTTCTGTCAGCACACAGTGTCTAGACGGAGATCGTCTTGCTGATGATGATGCTATCTATATACCCCAAGCAAAACAAATCGGTGTTACCTACCCTCGAATTCAATATACTATTCAGAATTTCAGATGGGCCAATGGACCAATGAGGTGAGCATAGAGGTTTTGCTTCCGCCCACGATGCTGAGTGCATGCTGTCATGTATATCATAGATTCATATGCGTATCAATGTGCACTAGTAAATCAGTACTAGCTGTAGCCAAGTTCCAGAACGCTGGCGAGTGATAGATAGTAAATATTGAACGCGTGGGAGGTGGGGGTGCGTGTGTTGATGCGATGGTGGAATGAGACTGACAGATGGACGATCCGAGCTATTGTATTAAAAATATGTGTATATGGGCATGTATATGTTTATGATTCATGTTCTGAGCGACAAGTTATCAAATGGGTGGAGTCGGAGGGCGGGTTCGTTGACTTCTTAGTGAGCTTTGCTGAACTTGGAAAGGAAGTATACAAGCCGAAAGCCGTTACCCCCTTCGGTTCCCGCCGATTCTCATACTTCATGACATACCATACATCAATACATCAGCAAAGAAGGGGCGGGGGGGTCTGTCATCGTCATATCATCCAAGCTCCAGGAGTTACAAGAATGCCGACTCAATCAGAGCATTGCAGGCGGGAATCAGAAGGGTAAGACAGGTGTTATTGAATGCTTCATTGTCTGTCGACCAAGTGGAACCTTTCAATCGATGAGTTGCATAGGTGGAGACGCTCTGGGAAAGATGTTTACCAAGTAGTAATCTACAGCTCGGGTCATTATACATAGAAACGTACCAGTCGGGAGGGGAACGGTTTCTTGCGTGATTTGCATACACGAGTGTATCTACCCTGTAGGACTCAGACGGAGAAGAAGGCATGGAACGTGCGTTCAAATGCATGTAAAGTCTGTCTCCATGGATAGAAACAACTCGCAGAGCGTGTAATCCAGTATCGATCGATCGAATTCAATCCGCAGGAAGAAGGAGAGGCGGAATGACGCACGCCGAGAAGTCGGAGCACGTCTGGGAAAAGTGAGTAAAGCTACGTTTCATGTGTATATAGACTCGGAGTCGCAAAGTTCCATGATCGCACTGAATAACGATCGGGAATATGGCGAGCAAGATGGTGCAATCGACGTATTGAGGGGTGCCGGGTGCTGGGAATGACAAGAGGAAGAGAAGGTGTTCGACCTTGATCAGGACAGGTGTCGTGATCAATATACTGCAAGGAAGATATGTGGTGATCGTGGATCCAGATTCCAGAATCTCCAAATATCACGTCATCGCTGCATAACTACGTAAGAACAATTTCCTTGCCCTCGGGAATTTGAAGACTAACACTCTCTATGGTGACGTAGTATTTATCCCAGCAAAGTTTCTGCTAGATTTCTAGGAGCTGCTTTCTAATGCTTCAAAGTTTAGACTGTTCAGAGCGGGGACAACTCTGCACCGAGTCGCCACCGAGACTCGAGTCATTCCGTTGGAAACTTGAATTGTCAGAAATATCAAACTAACAACAGCTGTCTCGACACTCTGTCTATTACGTCTGATTTTACTCGTCTCATCTTCCTTTACGCATGATTTTGGGCGCGTTTTCGACATTACCAGTCCAGAAGTCGCTGACTGATCGGAAGTCCGGAACGAATTGATAGGGTCGTATGGAAATTTGTACACGAATACTTATATCCCTGGCTCTATGCATATAGTCGAGTCATAAAGCGGGCCTTCAGGCTTCCCGCCAGTGAGTCAATCGCACTTTTTCTCCTACCACATCATTATAGGGGTAGACTAAGGTCGACATGCAAAACATCAGCAATGGCAAACTTGCGCCCTTGCTTACTGCCGAACCATCCAGTCCCACGTCAACTGGCACAATAGACGAAGAGCAACCGCTGAGTGCAGGGTCAAGTACTGCTACACTGGCGGACGAAACGTTGCCTCTTCAGAGAAAAGTAGAGAAACCGTTTCCATGGAGTGTAGTTATTTCCCTGTACATCTTGACCTGCATGGCTCCGCTTGCATTTGAGTTGATCTTTCCTTTCGTCAGTGAGTAGTTGTATACGCCTATAGCCATCTTACCTTACTTATCCCCTGTATCCTTTCCAGATCAAATGATCTTGGAGAATGGAATTACCACAGATCCAGAGCGCGTTGGGTTCTATTCTGGGTTCATCGAATCGATCTTTGCTCTTACGAGCTTCATTTCTAGTATGTTCTACTGAAAGAAATCAAAACTCCGTTACTGATTCATACTTATATATATTAACATCGTTTAGTTATGCCGTGCACATACCTCGCTGATCACCTAGGCAGAAAGCCTGTCATTCTCATCGGCACTCTGGGTCTTGCAATTTCTGTCGGTCTTTTTGGAATGGCTAAGTCATATTGGCTCATGATCTTGACGCGGATAATTGGTGGCACACTTGGAGGGACAAACTCGTCAGTGGTGTTTTGATTACTGTACACTTTAATTATGCATATACTAAGTTGAGTACTTACTTTACTGTAGAACGACGAAGGTAATGCTCACAGAAGCGATCGAAAAGTCTCAGCAAGGTCTTGCGTTTTCGGGGCTTGTTGTCAGTACACTTGGACTTGTTTCGCCCTCCAGCTCTCTGAAACCTTAACTATTTAGATCGCATACAGGATGGGTCAGATTATCGGACAGCCTATGGGTGGGTTGCTCGCCCACCCTGAAAGAAATTTCACGCTGTTTGATACACCGTTCTGGAGAAAATACCCATTTGCGTTTCCGTGTTTCATTGCTTCTACATTTGCAATCGTCGCGGTCGCCTACGGGTACCTTGTTATGGAAGAGGTCAATCTCATATTGTACTCATCTATTTTCTAACGCGTTTACATTTTGCGGCCCTAGACTCTTCCTTCGCTTCGGAGGAAGAAGAGACGATCCACTTACGGTTCCACTACTCTGCCTGACACTGTAGGCACTATTACGTTTGAGCATACGAAAAGAGCACGTCCTTCAGTGTGGTCTGTGCTGACACCGCAAGTCGTTGGAGCATTAATTAGCTGTTCCTGCTTCGCTTTCTCTTCCGAACTAATCTTTGCCCTGTCAGTTCTACCCTCATTCATTTAACGTATACATTTTGATCGAATTTTGAATTATTAATACAGGTATCCGCTTTTTGCATTCACTCCCATAAGTTCCGGTGGACTGGGATTCAGTGAGGCGCAAATCGGCGCTCAGCTAGGTTTCCGCTCCATCACCAATATTCTCGTGATCTTATTCTACGCTCCGCTCGAGCGCCGAATCGGTACAACAAGGACACATCAGCTCACAATGACCTTCTGGCCCATATCCCTCGCCTTCTACCCTCTGTTGAATGTATTAGCACATCATGGCTGGGAGGGCACATGGGGACTCCAAGTAGTTCTCGGAATCTTCTTCACAACCTGGAGCTTTGCGTCACTTTCGTGGAGTGAGTTCTGTCACTAAAAGAGTTTGTCGTCCTTCTGTTCTAATAGTCATGATCCTAAGCTTCGGGCGCCATTGTTATCAATAATTCTGTACCCTTTGCTGAAGCACTATCGGTCTTGAATGTAAGTAATGTCTTAGCTACTATCCTTCACACTGCTATTGACAAGGCAATCCAATTAGGGAGCCGGAACGATGGCAACAACCCTTCCTCTGGCGTTTGCACCGGCATTCGTAACAACCATGTTTGCGTTCTCCATTAAGCACGAGGCTATCCTTCACGGAAATCTGATATACGTCATCCTGTTGCCAATCGGTCTCGTTGGTGCGGTTCACTCTCTGACCTTGAAGGAGGTTACACATGATTGGCGTGAAGACATCAAGGACCATGAGGGAGACGAAAACTGACCAAAAGATTACCACGGGCGAACGGTAAAACCATCCGAAGGAGAGACCTGGATAAAAGCAACTTTGCATCATATCATAACTTATTGTATGCACCGGGAAATCGGATTTGGACACTTCAATCTTCGACTCTGGTTTCTAGATTTCTGTGCAGTGTATATAACTTTGTACAGTTTCACCAAAAAAGCGTGCCAATATTTATACACTTTTTATTACTTCAATGGAATTCGTGCAGTATGCAACCGTTAAAGGCAAAACTCTGATATTCTCTTTTTTTAAATTTCGGGGAAATGTACTATATCTAGTAAATGTGATTCTATTTGATTGTATTCGCTAGACTTGAAATTAATGACGGTGGGATCAAACGATGCATCTCTGGACTGGACTGGACAAGCTTGAGTTTATTACAACGCTAAAGAGGTAATTATAGTCCATTTCACAAACTTAGACATCATTAGAAGTGGCAAATCTAGTTTTATTAAATAGTGGCCTTAGCAAGAAAGGCATGTCAAGCTGGTATGGTGTGGTATGAGTGTAAATTGATATCGAGTGTATATCAACGATTTGTGGCCCTGATAATAAATCGTAAATATTTGCAGAACGGATTGGAATTGTGGTGGTAACTGACTCTCTTTTTATTTATTGCTATATTAAGAAGCTACTATATGAGGAATGTCCTATAAAAGTAGATATTTGCATCAATTTTCGGAACTAAAAAAGGCTCGGTATTTGATCGAAAGTCGCACTTTTCAAATTAAATTTGCGTCCACAGGTACTTTGTGTGTTTCAACCATGCCGCTGAGGTTCAAATGCAGGGGAGTGAATCGCACCTGCTTTCCCTCCAAAGCAAGTCGAACATTCAGAGAGCAGGAGCGGTATGTCAAGTAGTAACGGTGCCGAGGATGAGCGTACGGCACTGCTCGCCCCTGTCTCGTCGGGTTCTATGTTAAATGACGCAGTGGACGAGGAACAGCAGGTGAACACGGGTGCTGCATCTACCTCAACAAAGGGAGAATCAGCTTCGAATGTAGGAGGAAATTGCGAGAAACCCTTCCCTTGGAGCGTTGTCGTCTCTCTCTACATCTTGACCTGTATAACGCCACTTGCATTCGAATTGATATTCCCGTTCGTCAGTGAGTATAATTGTCTGCTTGAACATCGTTCCTTCCCCTCCTGATCTCTAATCAATAACAGATCAAATGATTTTGGATAATGGGATTACTACAGACCCGAAGCAAGTCGGGTTCTATTCAGGCTTCATTGAATCGATCTTCGCTCTTACAAGCTTTCTTTCCAGTGCGTTGTAATGGCGAGTACAGTCTGAGTTGCTATTCATCATTTCCTTGCTTCAGTTATGCCATGCACGTACTTGGCCGATCACTTAGGTAGGAAGCCTGTCATTCTTGCTGGAACATTTGGTTTGGCGGTTTCTCTAAGTCTGTTTGGAATGGCTAAGACATATTGGCTCATGATCTTGACTCGGATGATCGGTGGTTCACTTGGAGGAACAAATGCGTTAGTCGATTTTTTATGCTTATATTCCTTTCAGACCATAAACTCCTTTTGATACATTCTTTTAACAGGGCAATGAAGGTAATGCTCACAGAGGTAGTCGACAAGTCCCAGCAAGCACTTGCATTTTCAGGACAAACTGTCGGTTCTCTTAATATTGTTTCATCCTTAAGACTCCTTCTGACTCGTTGGTCGACGTTATAGATTGCTTATAGGCTGGGTCAAATTTTCGGTCAGCCGATGGGTGGACTGCTCGCCTACCCCGCAAGTAATTTTGAGCTGTTTGATACACCTTTTTGGCGTAAATATCCCTTCTCGTTTCCTTGCTTCGCCGCTTCTGCAATTGCGGTCTTTGCAGTTGTATACGGGTATCTCGTCATCGAAGAGGTGATTTTACACGACTATATTGGGTCAACACGGTATCCAACGTATTGCTTACTTTGCCATTTTAGACTCTTCCTTCGCTACGGAAGAAGAAAAAACCACCCACCTACGGTACTGTCTCTTCTCCCGCTAGCACAGATCCTGTTACAGTCGGGCATGCAAAAAGAGTACGACCATCAATGCAGTCCGTACTGACCCCTCCTGTCGTCGGAGCATTAATAAGCAGTGCCATCCTCGCGTTCTCATCCGAAATGCTGTTTGCTATGTAAGTTCTATCTTTAGCCACTTGGAACATACGGTACATTCTGAACGTTTCGTGCAATTTCGAAACAGGTATCCCCTTTACGCATTTACACCCATCGAAGATGGTGGACTTGGTCTCAGTGAGGCAGAAATTGGAGCCCAGCTTGGTTTCCGTTCCATCGTCATTATCATTTGCGTTCTAATCTATGCACCGCTTGAGCGCAAAATTGGTTCGATGCGGTCGCACCAGTTTGCAATGGCTTTCTGGTCTCTAGCTGTTCCTTTCTACCCCATTCTGAATGCATTAGCGCGTAAAGGCTGGAAGGACACATGGACGTTTCAGTTCCTTCTTCTCCTCTTCTTTATGGCCTGGGGTATCGCATCCCTTACATGGAGTGAGTACAAGAATCCTAAAGGATATGTTTTCCTTTCTGTTCTAATGGTCGAAATTCCTAGCCTCGGCGACTATCGTTATCAATAATTCGGTACCCTCCGTTGAGGCACTTTCCGTAGTGCATGTCAGTTTCTCAATTGTTATTCCTCATATGACGATAATACTAACCTGTGGTGAATTTATCAGAGCGTCGGCCAGATGGCATTCACTCTTCCTTTGGCAATTGCACCAGCATTCATTACTTCAGTATTCGCATTTTCTATCGAGCACGAGGAAATATTACACGGGAACCTCGTGTATGTTATCCAGCTAGTGATTGGTCTTGGCGGTGCGCTCCATTCCCTTACTTTGAAAGAGGCTACGCACGATTGGCGAGAGGATGTTAAAGAACATATTGAAGGGGAAAACTAACAAAAACTACTCACAGTGGACGATAAAATCAACCTCGACAGACACGAAACCGGCACGAATGCATGGTTTCATGATTATTCACTTTAATAGACGTAGCTATAGACAATAGAATTCCGATTTAGACATCTTATGTTCTCCTTCCTGGGCGCGCAACATTCAACTGATTTCGCGGAACAAAGTAATGCCGTTAATATTCCTGGGGTCCGAAGTAGACCGAAAACCATTGCAGTACTTTGAGATAATCAACGTTACGTATTGGCGCCTCACGAACTGTATATATGCAGGTCGAGTCATAAGAATATTTCTACATCCATAACCACCACCATGCCCGAACTTTTGACAGAATTCGAGCAGGCTATTCATACGCCCTTACCCCCTTCAGTTTCATCCCTCAACATCAGTGAAGTGGAAGTGTCACCAGCTGAGGATGAGTTTGAACTGCAGGACCTCAGCCTGATCGAGTTTAGGACTACCTCATCTATCGAGAGTCTTCCGCAACGAAATGTTTCGGAGCTCGCTCCCACGGATGGAGGATACAAGGCCTGGTCATTCGTAATTACTGTGTCGATGCATTTCTGCTGAGCCGATTGCTTATTTACTTAGTTAGCGGCGTCATTCGTGGTTGAGGCCGTAGTATGGGCCTTCCCTACTTCCTTCGGTGTATTGCTCAGTGCATACCTGCATGATGCCAAACTCGCATCGCAATCAAAAGCATCAGAGATTCTTCCCCTGGTAGGAACGTTTTCTTCTGGTATTATGTATTGTTCAGGTAGTGTGTCGCTTTACATAAACCGTGCCTTATATTGAGTAACATTCTTGCTTTTTAATAGGCACATTCATTTATCCCTTCTTACATCGCTACCCGAAGCAACGGCGCACTTGCGTTTACGCTGGTCTACTGTTATGCTTTGCCAGCCTGTTTGGTGCTAGCTATGCAACGAAGGCAAGCTAGAATGGGAGCATCAAACTATCCAGATTCTTTGACATACTATAGGTCCGAGATCTGTTGATACTACAAGGTCTGCTCTATGCAATTGGAGGGTGTAAGCGCTATTTAGCACGATGTACCCCTTCTAGTAATTGATACTGATTAGTGAGAAAGCCCTACTCTACGCTCCATGTATTTCGTACATGTCAGAATGGTTTGTACGGAAACGCGGACTTGCTAATGGAATTATGTTTGCCGGTATGCATTGTGTCTACTTTATACATGTAATCTTTATTGAGAAGCATTCAGGGACCGCAGTTGGAGGTTTATTCCTGCCACTAATCATGCCACTCCTAGTGAATTCATATGGACCATCGAAAACTTTAAGGATTCTCTCCGTTGCTGTACTTGTATTGATCCTACCTGGAACTCCGTTCCTTCGACCACGACTCCCGGAGACCCGTGTATACGGCCCTGGATCTCGTTCAGAAGCCGGGGATGAGGGATTCCGGAAATGGATGCTGAACCCTTCATTTATGCTGTGTGTGCTTGCCAACATGTTGCAAGGCTTCGCATATTTCCTTCCTATCCTCTGGCTCCCAAGTGAGTTCACTCCTGCTGATTTTATGGTTACTAGTTGACCACACTACGTCTCGTTCTCTAGCTTTCGCATCCGAACTCCGTCTAAGTGATACTCAATCATCCCTAACAGTAGCATTGTTGAATGGCAAGCACTCCGGGATTCCTTGCCCGATCTCCCTCCTAACAATCGCTGACTACTTCCATGTAGGTGCTTCCGTTTTGAGCCGTGTTGGGATGGGTTTACTTGCGGACAGTGTCAGCCCATGGATTCTAGCTATGTTCACAACGTTCTTCACTTCCTTTGCGACATTCATTCTCTGGGGTATTCTATCGCGTAATTTTGCTGGGGTACTTGCCTTTGGAATTGCGTATGGAGCCTTGGCTGGAGGCTGATCGAGTCTATTTACAGGATTCATCCGACCGATCGCAAGTAAGTTCTATGATAACATATCGTTATCAACATTACGCTTACGAATTTCATACTCATTCGATCCCATGCTACCTTTTCCAGAGGACAACCCCGCTCTTTCGACGACGCTTTTCGGCATTTTCCTGTTGACGCGTGGTATAGGGAACATATTGTCCACGCCGATCTCAACTGCTCTCTCGGATATAAGTGCTATGTCCGCTGCCACGGGTGAAGGAATAGGCAGCTCGTCGCGTCTACGGGAGCACCCTAGCTTCGGCTTTGATGTAGCAGATGGCCGTTATGCTAGGATGATTATATATGTTGGATCCTGTTTTGCTGGAGCCGGGATGATTGCACTTTTTGGTCTGGGATTGGATGTTTATGGAAAACGTGCGCGTGCGAGAATGAGATAGAAGACGCACGTTGCACGATGCAGATGAGAAGATAGAAAGGAATGGATCACTGACCAATTTGTCTTGTCTAATCTCACGTGTCTAGTATGTATCTCGGATGTTTTTTGGAAATAACTTATAGGGACTGATTATATTGCTACTACATGTATATACATCGTTCATTGGACATACAATTGCAGTAGGTTGATGTACTGACTGGCACAAAACTTGTGCGGCAACAGAAGTGAGCATTATTAATCTACAGCAATGTCGTTAATATTTCCGAGTCCGATGTAGACCGGAAGTAATAATAGCATTTCTGATGATTAGTATTACGTGTTTCAACTGTATATATGCGGGTTGATTTATATACTATAATATCCGTTCGTCTTTTACTACCACTATGTTGGAACGCACGACAGAACTCGAGCAGGCTATCCATACACCCTTACCGCCTTCAGTCTCATCCCTCAACTCCAGCGAAGTGGAAGTAGCCCCAGGTCAGGAAGGGTATGAATTACAGGACCTCAATCTGATCGAGTTTCGGACGACTACGTTTATCGAGAATCTTCCACAACGAAATGTTTCGGAGCTTGCTCCCACGGATGGAGGATACAAGGCATGGTCATTCGTAATAACCTTCGCTTCATAGCATCTGCATTGGATTGTTTATTTTGTTTGGTTAGCGGCATCGTTCGTCGTTCAGGCGGTACTACTAGCCGCGGTAGTATGGGCCTTCCCTACCTCGTTCGGTGTATTACTCAGTGCATACCTGCGTGATGTCAAATTCGCATCACAATCAAAAGCATCTGACATTCTTCCTCTGATAGGAATGTTTTCTTCGGGATTCATGTATTGTTCAGGTAGTTTATCGCTTTGCATAATCCATAAAAGTTGAATAACATTACAACCTTTCAAGGCACATTTATTTATCCCTTCCTGCATCGCTACCCAAGACAACGGCGCACCTGCGTCTATGTTGGCCTTCTGTTGTGTTTTGCCAGCCTATTTGGCGCTAGTTATGTAACGAAGGCAAGCTAAAATGGAAGTCTGAAATTACACAAGTTCATTGAAGTAGTATCTAGGTGCGAGATTTGCTGATATTACAAGGCTTGATTTATGCCATCGGAGGATGTGAGTGCAATTTACGAATAAAGATCATTTCCAGTTACCTGCGTTAACTCGGATGGAAAGCCCTGCTCTATGCTCCCTGCATGTCATACATTTCAGAATGGTTCGTGCGGAAACGTGGCCTTGCCAATGGAATTATGTCCGCTGGTACACTTCGTGTCTTCCTTATGTTTGTCGTGTCTTTATTAAAAGCATGCAGGGTCCGCAGTCGGAGGTTTCTTACTACCACTCATTACACCAATCTTGGTGAACTCGTATGGACCATCGAAGACACTAAGGATTCTCTCCATCGCCACAGTCATACTCATCTTGCCTTGGACACCTTTTCTTCGACCGCGACTTCCGGAAACCCGTGTTTACGCTCACGGATCTCGCTCAGAGGCTGAGAGTGATGGGATCTGGAAATGGATGCTGAATCCACTATTTATCCTATGCGTATTGGCAAACACTTTGCAGGGATTCGCGTATTTCCTTCCTATCCTCTGGCTTCCGAGTCAGTTTCCATCCTCCCTGACCTCATAGCTGCTAGCTAACCGAGCAACGTTTCGTTCAACTTCTAGCCTTCGCAAGCGAGCTTCGTCTAAGTGATACTCAATCATCGGTAGCGGTAGCATTATTGAGCGGCAAGCATTCTATTTACTGGTCCAGTCCCCGTCCTAACAGCCGCAAACTACATTCGATATGATACAGGTGTGTCTGTCTTGAGTCGCGTGGGACTGGGTATGCTAGCGGACAGATTCAGTCCATGGGATCTAGCCCTAGTAACAAGATTCCTCACCTCCTTTACGACATTTATTCTATGGGGCGTACTATCGAACAGTGTCGCTGGGGTACTTTCTTTCGGAATTGCATATGGGGCCTTGGCTGGTGGTTGGTCGAGTCTTTTTGCAGGTTTTATCCGTCCAGTTTCAGGTAAGTTCTAACAGCGCTATCAATGGCTTTTACTGATTCTGCAGAAATTGTATGATGCCATAGAGGGCAATCCTTCACTGTCTACGACTCTCATGGGCATCTTTTTCCTAACGCGTGGCATAGGTAACATTTTGTCCGCGCCAATCTCTACCGCTTTATCGGACGTAACCGCTTTGTCCGCTGGAATGGGGATAGCAGGCGATCCGTCACGTCTATCTGACCATCCAACCCTTGGCTTTGACGTTGCGGAAGGACGCTATGCTAAGATGATCATATATGTTGGAACATGTTTCGCCGGGACTGGCATCATTTCACTTTTTGGTCTAGGGTTGGATGTACATGGAAGACGAACACGAGCAAGGATGATGTAAAACGTGTAAGTTGCACGATGGAACTGGGACCAAACATATGTAGGTCGATACATGAAGCACAACTTTTCCTACGCGTATCTGACTATTCCCCGTCAGATTCACTAGTATGAAATTCTCCATACTCTGTGGCTCTCTTCTATGAATGTTGTATGGTGAACGACAGTTAAATATCCGGGGCGCTTGTATTAGCACAGGAACAAAACCAAGAAATACTAAACCCTGGTCATCCAAATGAGCATAAGGGATCAAATGAACAGACTGATCTGTAGATGTCATTGTCTGCTGAACCTAGAGGATATTAATTTTTGCAGTAGTAATCTCGGGTGAATGGAACATCTTATGTTTCTAATTGCTATTATTGCAATGAAATAGCTTGACGAAAGATTCATAACGTTCAACTAATTAATGTAGTTCAGAGTATAATACTGCTAATATTTCTCAGTCCGAAGTAGACTAAAAGCACCTAAGTAATTTGCAATGACATTACGTATTCAAACTGCATATATGCAGGTCAACCTCTGAAAGCATTTCTTCATCGATAACCATCACTATGTCCGAACTTTCGACAGAACTGGAGCAAGCTATCCATACACCTTTACCACCTTCAACTGCGTCACTCAATATCAGTGAGATTGGACTGTCCCCAGATGAAGAAGGGTATGAATTGCAGGAGCTCAGTCTGATCGACTTCCGGAGCACCTTGTCTATTGAGAGTATTCCACAACGGAACGTTTCGGAGCTTGCTCCTACGGATGGAGGATACATGGCTTGGTCATTTGTAACTACCGTAACACTGCATATGCACTTTCCCTATTACTGAACCTAATTAGTTAGCAGCATCGTTCGTTGTCGAGTCTGTAATATGGGCTTTCCCCACCTCGTTCGGTGTATTGCTCAGTGCATATCTGCGTGATGCCAAACTTGCATCACAGTCAAAGGCATCGGACATACTTCCTTTGATAGGAACATTTTCGTCAGGAATCATGTATTGTTCAGGTAGTTTTCGCTTTGCATAACAGTGAAAATTGAATAACATTCACCCCTTTCATAGACACATTCATTTATCCCTTCCTACATCGATACCCAAGACAGCGACGCACTTGTGTTTATGTTGGTCTTCTGGTATGCTTCGCTAGCTTATTTGGTGCTAGTTACGCAACGAAGGCAAGCAGAATGGAAGCTTAAATTTGCACGAGTTCTTTGACATAATACCTAGGTGCGAGATTTGCTGATATTACAAGGCCTGATTTACGCTATTGGAGGATGTGAGTGCAATTTACGAATAGATATTCTTTCTGCTCACCTACACTAACTTGGATAAAACAAGCCCTTCTCTATTCTTCCTGTATCTCATATATGTCGGAATGGTTCGTGCGGAAACGTGGTCTTACAAATGGAATTATGTCTGCTGGTGTGCTTCTTGATCTCTATGAATGTCAAATCTTTATTGAAGGCATGTAGGGACTGCAGTGGGAGGTTTATTCCTGCCACTTATCACACCGATATTGCTAAACTCGTATGGGCCGTCAAAGACACTAAGGGTTCTCTCCATCGCCGCACTTATACTCATCCTACCTGGTACACCATTTCTTCGACCGCGACTCCCTGAAAGCCGTGTGTACGGCCCCGGATCTCGTTCAGAATCTGAGAACGAAGGATTCCGAAAATGGATGCTGAATTCATCACTTATTCTGTGCTTGCTTGCTAACACGTTGCAAGGCTTCGCATATTTCCTTCCTGTCCTATGGCTTCCAAGTCAGTATTCCTTTCTACCCTAATGTTCACTGCTGACTAGTTGTGACTACATCACGCTTCGAGCCCTAGCTTTCGCATCCGAGCTGCGTCTAAGTGATACTCAATCATCAGTAGCAGTAGCATTATTAAATGGTAAGCTGACCATTTTCCTTGTCTAACGTAGAATCTAACTACTTGTGTGCAGGTGCATCTGTTCTAAGCCGTGTTGGGATGGGTACCCTAGCGGACAGTGTCAACCCATGGGTTATAGCTCTGATAACAACTTTTCTTACCTCCTTCGCGACGTTTGTTCTTTGGGGTATTTTATCGAGTAGCTTTGCTGGAGTACTTGCCTTTGGGATTACATATGGAGCTTTGGCTGGAGGCTGGTCGAGTCTCTTCACGGGGTTCATTCAGCCGATCGCAAGTAAGTTGTACCGTTTTTTGAGGGCGCTCCCAGCATTACGTACGGATTCCACACTGATTTTGCGATGGATTCCATGATAACTCTAGAGGAGAATCCAGCGCTGACCACGACTCTATTCGGCGTTTTTCTGCTGACACGTGGTATAGGGAATATCCTGTCCACGCCGATATCCACGGCTCTGTCGGACATAAGTGCTATGTCTGCAGCTACAGGAGAATCAGTAGGCAGTCCTTCGCATCTACCCGACCGCCCCACCTTTGGCTTTGACGTAGCAGACGGCCGTTATGCTAAGATGATTGTATATGTTGGGACATGTTTCGCTGGAGCAGGGGTTATTGCGGTTTTCGGCTTGGGAGTGGACGTCTACGGAAGACGAAGAAGTGCAAGAATGAGGTAAAACATGCATGTTTCACGATGTAGCCGAGTCAAAAATATGTAAATCAGAACGTTATTCGACTCTGACTACCCAACACAGGAGGCAGATTCGCATTCTGTAACACTGGGAATTTATTACAAAATCCAAAAGCTCTCACCTGATTGGCTGAAAATACATTCTGAAACAAATTTTCCAGACCTCAGAATTGGTTTTTGCCTCTGGTGCAATGTGCACATAAAAGAGTCTGAATAGGTCAGAGTCCAGACTGACCTTGATTGTTATTTGATTTGTTGATGATATTGCCTCGCTGTGCTTGAAAAGTACAAACGCTAGGACTGATCTCAGAGGAATGGCTGATTACTGTGATGAGACAGCTTGATGAAAAGAAAGGTGGCATACAAATACCTTTTGTGGCTAATCAGAACGGAAGTAATTTAATTATAGTATTTGTGATATTCTGTATTACGTCATATTACCGATTATATCATACAATATATGCAGATCGAATCATTCAATTTAATCATTTCTTCATCTTGGTCAATGACCACTTCTACCACATGTCCGAACGTTTGACAGAATTTAATCAGGCTGTCCAGACACCGTTACCGCCTTCAAGCGTATCATTCAATATCAGTGAAGTGGAAGTAAACCTAGATGAGGAAGGGTATGAATTGCAGGACCTCAGTCTGAACGAGTCCCGGACCACGTCTATCGAAAGTCTTCCACAACGAAATGTTTCTGAGCTTGCTCCCACGGGTGGAGGATACAAGGCCTGGTCATTCGTACTTACCATATCACCATGGAGCTGCTACGCCAATTACTTATTCTATTTTATTCAGCTAGCAGCATCGTTCGTCGTCCAGGCCGTAGTGTGGGCCTTCCCTACCTCGTTCGGTGTACTACTCAGTGCATACCTACGTGATGCCGAATTCGCATCACAATCAAATGCATCGGCCATACTTCCTTTGATTGGAACATTTTCTTCCGGGATTGTGTATTGCTCAGGTACCATGTTGCCTTACAGAAGCGTTTCCGCTGAATATCACCCTATGCTTTCTTAGGCACATTCATATATCCATTCCTGCATCGCTATCCGAAGCAGCGACGTACCTGTGTCTATGTTGGCCTTCTGTTGTGCTTTTCCAGCCTCTTTGGCGCTAGCTATGCGACTAAGGCAAGCTAGGTGGAAGCATAAAATAGACAACTTCCTTGACACAATATCTAGGTGCGAGACCTACTTATAACACAGGGTCTGCTCTATGCAATTGGCGGCTGTGAGTGCCCTTTACAAAGAAGTACCCTTCCTGATGACATGCGGTAACTCGACTAAAAGCCCTGCTCTGGACTTCATGCATCTCATACATGTCAGAATGGTTTGTTCGAAAACGTGGCCTTGCCAACGGAATTATGTTCGCTGGTACGCTTCGTGACTGATTTATGTATTTCACATCTCACAAGAAAATCCGAAGGGACCTCAATCGGGGGACTTGTACTTCCACTCGTCACGCCAGTCATGGTAAACTCGTATGGACCATCAAAGACACTAAGGATTCTCTCCATCGCCGCACTAATCCTCATCCTGCCCGGGACACCTTTTCTTCGACCGCGGCTCCCTGAGACCCGAGTGTATTCTCATGTGCCCCGTTCAGAGGCTGAGAATGATGGAATCCGTAAATGGATGCTGAATCCTTCATTTATTCTATGCGTATTGGCGAATACCTTACAGGGTTTCGCATATTTCCTTCCCATCCTCTGGCTCCCGAGTTAGTGTTCATTCTCCCTGACTTCATGATTTCTGGCTGATCGAGCAATATTTCGTTCAACTTCTAGCCTTCGCAAGCGAGCTTCGTCTAAGCGATACTCAATCATCGTTAGCGGTAGCACTGTTGAATGGCAAGCAGTCTGTGTTCCTCGTCCGAAGTCTATCCCAACAATCTTAAATTTTGTCTAATATGATATAGGCGCTTCTGTCTTGAGTCGTGTAGGGTTGGGAACGTTAGCGGACAGATTCAGTCCATGGGTTCTAGCTCTAATAACAACATTCCTCACCTCCTTCACAACATTTATTCTGTGGGGTGTACTTTCAAACAGTGTTACTGGTGTGCTTGCCTTTGGGGTTGCATATGGCGCCTTGGCTGGAGGTTGGTCAAGTCTCTTCACGGGATTCATCCGGCCAATTGCGAGTAAGTTCTAAGATCACCATCGATGAAGGTTGTTAACTTCGCACTGATCCTGTGATGATGTACAGAAGGCAACCCCACACTGTCAACGACGCTCATGGGCATCTTTTTCCTTACGCGTGGCATAGGTAACATCTTATCCGCACCGATATCGACAGCCTTGTCCGACATAAACGCTATTTCTGCTGCAATGGGAGTCGTAGGCAACCCAGCGCATCTACCCGATCATCCTAGCCTTGGCTTTGATGTTGCAGACGGCCGTTATGCCAAAATGATCGTGTATGTCGGGACATGTTTCGCTGGATCCGGGATTATTGCGCTCGTCGGCTTGGGATTGGATGTCTATGAAAGACGAACACGCGAGAGAATAACTGAATAAGGTAGAAGATACACTTCTTCGTCTGGGACCGGTTGTCTATAGAAGACGACAATGTGAAAGAACAACTCAATAGGGTACAAGATGCAAATTGTACAATGTAGCGAAGTCAAGTATATACAGATCTATACACAGAATACAGCATTCTTCTATACACCACTATCTACAATTCATTCATGAGTACGTAACGTGTGTCAGTATCGGGCTATGCGCGACCACTCATCGCCTTCGCCGCGATATTATCGCTCGTTGGATGCACGGGAGCGGCAGTCGCAGCAGGCGGATTGATGTACTGACTAGCACGAATGATCTCTAACTCTTCTAAGAGTGTATTGTGACGGAACGCTAAACGAATATCTGGGACGTTCGTCTATGCATCGGTACTAACTTCAGTCCATCTGACATGTAGATGAGAAGGTCTGAACTAACCTTGTTTATATCGTTGCCTGCTGCACCCGGAAGGTACCACTTTTGTCCCAGCCAGTGGCGCTTCACTTCCATCTCGAAGCCACTCTGGATGACTGAGTTACGAGCAAGTTCAGCCAGTGAAGACTGAGGGAATTTGTAGATCTGAAGTATAGAAACAGAAGATATCAGGTGTCCGTACATGCGTACATGCAGCAAGAACTCGCAAGTAGACGTACATGCGCTGCAACACTGTATTCCTCCAACAGTGGCTCCTATAACACAAACTCAGTAAATCAGAACAACGCGACAAACGATAATAATCAAAGCATCATCGTGAAATTATTACCTTTGTGAAATGGAACTGCAGCGGATCATCCGTACTCAAGCTGACATTCAGCCCAACCTTGAAGAAGTCCGGGAATGGATTCCTCTCATACGTAAGGAACAATGAATTGTTGCTCAACGGGCTCATCGCGATACCAATTTGCTTCAGGTAGAAAAGGTATTGCAAAGCGGGTACCTTGCGGAGGAGGATTCCGTGTGAGATGGAGTGGGACGTGAGGAAAGCTGAAGTGAGGTGGTCTGGGTCGCCTGCTTCTCCACAGTGTGGTCGGAGGACGAAGGTATCTGAGTAGATGTTAGACGATGAAGGTATGGTCTTGAGGGGAAAAGCTTACTGAATCCGCGAGAACGCCTCCAGCTGTTGAGGCTTGTCATATTCGCATATAGGTAGTAAATCCTATTGAACTCTTCTTAGCTTGAGCGGGAAAGTGAACTTATGCCCAACTCACCAGTATGAATACGGAGGTGACTGATCTGTATCCCAGACGCGAGGGAAAGGGAACTTGCGATGGATGCGTCGTTCCGGCTTAGATTCGTCATCCACACTATCAAAGCCAATAACCCTCTGGAGGAAGATGTGTAGCTCGGGATGGGTCCGTGGATCCTTTGTCACTTCAAAAAGAGGCTCAAATATATCTGTCGGAGTACTATCACTCTCTATTAAGATTACAAGTTTAGGTGAAACACTCACTTCGAATAACGCCCTCGAAATTATTCACAGATCCGTTCTGCTTGAAGAGATTGTACAGGCGCGGAATCTGCACCAGCCAACGAACGTTGTGCGAGTAAAGTTTGTTCTGTATAACCCACTTCGCAAGCTTATCCCATTCATTGACGTTACGGCCGTAAATGCTGATTCGCCATTCACAATTCTACACAAATATTGAGCAACCGAGTTATCTGTGATGACCGAGAATACTCACTTGATACTTGCTTTGCTCGAGATCCGTCATGACCTCTGCAGAGAAAACAATGTCGATATTTAACGCAGATGGGAGTTTGACGACAGCTAACCTTTAGTCAATTCAGCCAGGTATCTTCCTTCAATAAAGTTATCTGTCTTGAGGAAAATCTCTCGCAAACGAGACTCTCCGATCGGATTATACTTCAGATTGAACTTGTCAAACCGATGGAATGAGTCTTGGTGCGCGTGCATATCCAGCGTATCGATTGACAAATCATATGCGGACAGATGTAGAGACTCGAACACTTGAGCTAGTGTGAGCTTCTTGCCGTCTCGAATGATCACCTCGTCCTGGTACTGCGTCAGCATTCACAAGATAAGAAAGTATTTTGAGCTGACATTCGGAGACCGCTTCATTTTTGATTTAATGAATCGCAGAAGATGCTTCTGATTCATGCTGCTCGAGTGATGCACGTGCGTGTCGACTTTACGGACATTATAGAAGTCGCTACAGCACTGTCAGCTTTGGTATGCGCATAGAGGGGAACTAGACAAACCGATGCGGAACTTTCTAATGATGAGCATAATCAGCGAACCATAGCCTTTTTGTATGCGTTACTGGTAGCTCACCTTCATGTCGGCAGTTTCTTGATACTCATTAAGGAGACTGTACATTGACCACTTGCTAGCTAGATACTTCAGACGGCGAAAAGCGAAACTTTTCGTCGGCCCGTCAGAAATAACGCTTAGTACGAAGTCTAAATCCATGTAATATTCTTTGATCGATGGAACCTCAAATATCGGCTTTTTGTTATCGGCTATATCAAGAACGACATCGTCAAACTCAGTAAAACTAGTCGTGTATCGTGTGTCAATTTCTGCTTACCATGTACGTCCTCATAAATTTGGTATACACCCTTGTCATCAAGTTCAAATCCACGACTATCTCCAGACGGGAATTTGCACTTTGTGAAGTCGAACTCTTCATCGGCGTACTCTAAAGAGTCCGGTACAGCTGGCTTTTTGTTCTTCCAATGCCAATGAGGAGGCGGTGGCTTCGGGTAGATTTTCCAAGGTTTGAATTCCTGCTTGCGTATTTTTCGATCAGCGAATTTTGAATCGGGACGGACACCGGCGACGTCTTGAAGGTCCTCTTCGAGACCCGTAAAGACTTCGTCGTGATCGCGCGGATTGTCGCCGAGCCTCTGTCGTGACAGTCGCATGTACTTATCACGAAGATCGAGGCATTTTTGGAGAGACTGGTATAGACTCTGTAGCTCGTGAGTGAGCGTTGTGTCTGCAAAAAAATTAGTCCACCCATAATCCAGGATCATAAGAGATAAGGAAACGACTGACATCCGGCTGAAACGGTGGTACTCTCTACCTTCGACTCACTTTCATCATCAGGTGTAAGATGCAGCGTTCCGAGATCGTTGACGAGGTGGTTAGCTTGACCGGGTTGTATGCGCGGAGACACTCGAGGAGAGATGCGTTCGTTGATAGGCGAGAGCTGAAGCGCGATCGGCTTGGGTAGTTCGTTCATCGAGTGTCGTCGTTGAACGAACAACTTCTCCTCGATCTGCAACATCGCAGCAAAGACAAGAGGCGTTGGTAACTTGGTAAGAGGCGTTTGGTAAATGAGTGACACGTACGTGCTGAAGCGTCTTCTCTTCGTTGTACGGAAAGTAACTCTGCTTCGCCTCGTTCATTGGCTGGTCACTTTCCGAGGAACCCGGCGGAGTAAAGAATTCGTGTTCGCCATCCTGTTGCGCGTTAGATCCGCCAGGGTCTTCCATATCGTCATGAACACTCGCCATGGTCGTCCAAAGGCAACTGCAGGATTACCGACTTGGTTGGAGGCGAAGTCCCGGATGATGGACAATGGAGAGGAGTCAATTTCCGAATCTTGTTTGGCGCTGTCGATCGCTGGAACACGTGAGTAGGTTAATCTTATCACATCAAGATAACCTCGTCATCGATGAACAAAGACAGCACATTCACACGGTACATATGAATACACTCTAATCTACAATTATGCTATCTATTGAGTTTCCACAGGCCATTATTCACAGTCACAAGCCCTTCCCTGCGCGCAGCTTCCATAAACACACTCAGCTGTTCGATCGTCCGCGAATAGTTCGGCGCGAACTTCAACATCGTTTGGATCCGGTCGATATTCGTCAGCATTCCCTCGATAAACTTCCAGTATACACGCATTTGCTCCGCCTCTTGTTGCTGCGCCGGTGACACAACTGGCTCTTGCTCCTCAATGACGCTTGAGGAAATAATATGAGATGAATGCAAATGTCACTCGGTGTTGAGTAGACTGACCATGACGTGAGCCACCAGGCCGATTAGACCCCAACGGTATGCTTCTTCCAACAGAACGAAGACGTTTGTGTCGGTCTCACTCAAGACGACATGATCAACCCAAGTATCAAGGCCTTTTCGGACCGCAACCGATTCTACATGTAATTTGTTACTAAGTTCGTCCACGGACCATGTATCTGCTTATGTGCCAGAAAAACAACCATTAGTATGTGAATAGGCAATCAAACGCATCTACATTGTTTCACCTTTGCTGGAGAACAGCTCAATGATGACAGCCTCTAATGGTGGAACAGTTACATCGACTGTGCGATCACTCAGCTCGATTGACAAATCTACGGTGCCGAGCCGTGGAAGGAATCTACACCCTTATTACTTGTGTGATAACTTAAGAATTAAGTATTCTAACATGACATTAAGTAGATATGACAGAAGGCAATCCTGTCACACAGCATCAACGTCAAGCAGACTTGTCCAAGACAATCTCAAATTGATTCTGTGGAGGAATGTAAATACTGGGACAATCTTGCAAAGCAGTGGAAGAAAGGCACAAGGAGGTGTAGTCTTGAGCATAAGTAGTTTCCTTTTTGTTAATATGTAGTTTTTGTGCATATTAGCTACAAAAACCAATATAATTAATTTAATTTAATATATCTATATTATAATTAATTGAAATATCAGATAAAGCTGTAAATAGACTATAATGTCATTATGATATGCTATTTGACTTATAGAAAATAATAAGTAAAATAACACCTTATCATTTGGGGAAAGTGGTATATTTACTTATACATCTTATAATAATAGGCGTGGTCAAACCTCGCGATTCAGTGCACCTGAGGCACGGGCTATCTCCACTCTAATTAGAGGGGTTACACGGCCCTTGTAGTCCCTCTAATTAGAAGGGAGTTCAGTCTTTTCCCCATACTGCACTTAATACTGAGCACAATACTTACTTAATAAAAATAATATTGCGACACGCGTTACACTCTGATTAGATTACTCAATACATGTATGATGTAAGCGTCCACGACGCGACACACGTCAATGAGACACGTCACAGTACCGAGCTCATCGTCTGCCACAATGAGCTCGTTTATATAGCTCATTTCTTCACCATTTATACCTGTTCTTTTTCTATTAGCCTTGTATATATTAATTAATTCATATTGTCAATTAAAAATATGGTTCTTAGTAAATATTATCAAAAAAAAGTCTGCCTTGCTTAAGTAACAATGCATGTTTTGAGTTTTATGTATAAGTAAGCTAGCATTTGTAATATCTAACTTATTATTTTAATACAGGATACAGTAAATTATGCTAAAACAGAGAAAATAAATTAACAACAATATGATGTAAGTGTGTATACCAATGTGCATCAAGGTAAGATTTGTATTTCAACAGGACTACAGGAAAGGTAATCAAGCTGGTCACGCTCGCAAAGCTCAGATGATTCTAGAGCGCCACACAAGCTAGCATTCATGATACAGTGGCGGATAGCCTATTGACCTATGAAGGAGCTTTTGCCTTCCACTTCTAATGAACAACCCTGTTTGGGTTACACAGGAGTCTACTGAGAACGATTGCACAGATCACAGTAACATGCAAGGCTTGTGTTCATCATTGGGCTAATATAATTACAGCTATGATTAAGGGATTGAGAGGGAATTACGTACTATAGTAGGATCTCTGAGTTCCATCAGTGTGAATCAATGGATCAACACTCACTCCTGGAGACAATGTCTCACTCAGGTTGCAGAACAGGCAATTGACTGGTATTGAAGGAGGTACAAGAAGAGATACTGTCTCAGGAATGTCTTAGAGCTATTTATAAGATAAGTCATGTGATGAGGCTAACAGATCGTGTGTAACCTCCACAAGGTTACACTCTTCCCCACTGGGAAGAAGAGAGAAAGAGGGGAAAGGGAAGAGTGGTGCAAGAGTGTGTGAATAAATATAGGGGGTAAGGAACAGGCAAGGCAGGGAAGGGATTGAAGAAGGAGGGATATATTAGAATGGAAATTGAGAATGTCTGTAAGAGAAAAGATGTGTTGAATACAAAGATGAAGATAAGAGAGGAGAAGGCATTAGTTGAACACACTCCACAAGTGTTTTGTAGAATGGAAATTGAGGATTGAGGAGGGCTATGTATGAGAGTCAGTGTATAACTGTTGTTCCCATTGGTCCAATACTGTGCAGTTGTCTAGTTCCTGCTTGGGCAACCAAAGATTGTCTTCTGGACTGTACCCTTTCTAGCAAACAAGGTATTGGAGGCTGTGTCCTTGTCTTTGTTGATCAATTATAGCTTCTACTTCCTACTCTTTGAGTCCTTCCTCTGTGAGGACAGGAGGAGGTTGTGCAAGTTCATGTGTAGGGTATAACACAGGATCATTTGCATGGTATTGTTTGAGCTGAGATGCATGGAAGGTAGAAAATTTGGTGCAAGAGTTTGGCAATTCAAGCTAGTAAGTGGAGCATTCTGGGAAAGCCTTGAGGACACAGTACTTGCTGTCCCATCTTGGCATGAATTTGGCTACACAATTGTCACCACCCTGAGTGTAATCTCAATGCTGATGGAAGGTAGATAGTATAACAAAATCACCAGGAGTATAGGAGTCTTCTGGACTCCTCTTCTGGTTTACAGTATGAGCTTGAGAAGTTTTAGCCAGGATGAGAGAGTCCCACACTTCTGCAACATCAAGATCAAGCTGATGGATGAGAGAACAAGCTTGCTTGTCCTCTAGAAGGGTAGACTTGTTGTCTGGTAAGGGTACAAGAGGTGGGATCAGACAGGGGCATTAGCCAAGGTGAAGTTGAAAGGGGGAAAATCCTGTTGACACATTTTTGGTGTTCATAAGCTTGAACCAAACACAAGGTAGTACACAGCACCAGCCCTTTTGTTGTCAGTTGATGTAGAATCAAAGTGCCTGGATGACTGACTTGTTTGTATGTTCTGAGATTCCATCTGTTTGAGGGTGATAAGCTGTAGACATCTTCAGTTTAACCCCTGAAATTTTATGAAGAGCCTTCCAGAACTTGGAGGTAAAGAGGTGATCCTGATCTGAGATAATGTTGAGGGGAAGGCTGTTTTTGTAATACCATCTGTTGAAGAAAACACAGGCAAACTCTTCAGGAGTTTGGCCCATACAGATAGGGAGTAGGCAAATGTTACTACTGAGTTGGTTGGTAATAGTTGCAATTCTGTTGAACCTGTGGTCTAGAGGCAGAGGACTTATAGAGTCAATAGTAATTGTATTACCACACTAGTCAGCCACAGCAAGAGGGTGTAAAGGACTGGCAGGTTTTTGAGTGGACAATTTATACCTTTAACATGAGTCACATTACTTAATGTATGAATTTTCAAGGTCAGAATGTATGTTTGGCCAGTAGAATAATGATTTCAGTGTTGTATAAGTCTTGTCAATCCTAAAGTGGCCTATAGAGTTATGAGCAAGTTTGTAGAAATGTTTGCAGAGTTGATTGACATGCAGAACAACAAGCCTGTCACCTAAGAACAGCAGACTGTTCTTAACTCAAACACTAAGGGATTCAAGAGGCTGAGAGAGGAGCTTAGTACAGAATGGGTCATCTTTGTAGGACAATTGGATTTGAAGAAGTAATTGTTCATCTGCAGAGATTGTAAGGCAGGAGGATACTACTATAGGAGGGGAGAATTCCTCATCTGGAAGTCTGGACAGAGTGTCAGCAGCTTTGTTTTTGTTAGCATTTATTCTGGATAAATGTGTCATATGTCTTAGACATGTCTTCCAAGACATACATCCAAGACACACAATATTAGATAGCATATATAATACTTAATATAAGGACAATGAAGCTCATAGGACACATATAATGGTACACAACACATTACCAACTATGTAGTCAACTTGTATTGATGCCTACACACCATGAGCAGAGCCTACTGAACCCCTACTGGTGTGAACTACTCTAAGGGAATCATTGCAACCTCAAAACACTAACAGGTTATGAGCCTTACACTCCCTGCTCATGTCTACATTGTTACTATGCTTTTATCTTACCCTCTACAAACACGACTCTTCAAAATCATCATCTAAATGATTATGATTCCTCCTCACTAGCTATATGTATGACTATATGCACTACAATTGTCATTGTGAACACTTCAGTGTACTATATACCATAGTACAAATGATATGATACACTCAATCATACTAAACTTGATAAGTATCATCAAACTACTCTATTTAACACTGAATCAATTTGATTCTACATGTATGATCCATTCTAATTGTCTACAAACCTTTGGTGCTCTCATCTGAGCATACCAAATGTGAATTGTCTTGTCTGGAAGACTATGATTGCTTTATACAACAAGATATGGTTGATACTTGTAACCAGAATGTATTATCTATGTAGACCTAGACACACCTGTCTGAGCATCCCAAACACACATTGATTTATTAAACTAACAAGACATGTATTGGATACATGATACAAGACATATATTGGATACAGACAATGTATTGGATGTCTAAGACATACAGACAGATGAACTAGTTGCTTTAAATGTAATGAGTACTCAATAATACTATATCCAAACACTGAATTACTTCATCTTACACTACAGAGACACATTATATTAATAATGTCTCACATAACAAACGAACATTTGATAGTATATCAATAATATAAATGATTAATACTATAAACAAAAGAACAATGCTAGCAAAGCATAATAACAATATAAAGAAATATATTGCAAACGTATAATCAATCAAATAATGATTAGGCAAATGAATAAAACGAAAACAAGAGTATAAATGCTACTAAAGCATAATAACTCAAATATAAAAACAATTTATACTATCACAAATGAACAATCACAATAAATAACATATATTTACAAAATACAAACATATCACATAGATAAACAAATATACAAACGTACAAAGTAATAATAATGTATTCAAACACATAAAACTATTAATTGTTGAATAACACAATGTTGTATGCAAAATACAATTGAACAAACACATAATAATGCATAAAACAAGTAATAAAACATATGAAACAATGTTGCAAACAGTCTAAACATATAATAACAAACATATATACTTATACAAAGTATTACATTAAATTAAAACATAATGCTACAAACGATGAAACAATATAATGATACATATATGCATAATATCGACACAATATCAATACTATACAGGCAAATACATATCTTATACCTCACACAATTACTATTACAATGCGAAATCGAATGAACAATAGTTACAAATACATTGTAACAATATAATATATCAATAAGATATACATGATAACAAAGTATTAAGTCAATACAATTAATACAATCAGTATAAACAATATAAACAATTAAATATTACTTAAAAACATGATGAAATACAATAATACAGACACAAAACAAAACAACTAATGCTACAAAACATCAGAGCCTAATATCAGATAGTCTGAAGGGCCATACAACAGAACGAACACTGCTGCCAAGTACACAAAAGACAAACGAATGTTGGAACAAAATCCAAAGAAACAAACATAAGTTTGGAACTCGATTGAACACTTTACAAATAATTAAACACAATGTGTGACGGATTTAATAGATCACTGCAAACAGTAGAAAGATAGAATTTGCAAAGAATAAATCTATGATCAATACTTAAAGCATATCATTAGCTATTTGAAGTTCAAACAATATCATAACAGTGTATTCTTCATTAATGGCCTTGCTTGAGCTTGCACCTATCACAAAAGAATAAAATACATAAACAGAATGGAAACAAAACACTATAGCTCAAATACTTTTGTCATCAAACAGAAGACAAATGATACTGAGCAAATCTAAACAATGCATCATAATGTATACAAATAAAACGAACAAAATTGCAAACTTATGCTTGCTAAAACAACACTATACTAAATGATTAACAAACTATTCAGACATATACATAATAATCAAACGAAATACACAAGCATACACACAACCTATTTGAGTATAAACTTGAATAACAAAGAGTACAAATGCCATAAAGAATTAATAACAAAATCAGACAAAAATAACAAATAACATTGAAGTTATTGAACAAAACACATTCATGCATTAATACACAATGCTTAAACGAATGATTAAATGATGAAAACGTACGAACGAATTAATTACACACACACAAAAGCCAATTGCTCAAAGCAAACCTTCTCGAATTGAAGGGGAGTAATAGCATATATTCACAAACATAAAATTCACAAAACATAAAACATAACAAATAATAGAAACATAGCAAACGATTAAATGATGCAGAAATATTGACTACATCACTATTTAACCTTGCACATCCTACAAAACATAATTACAAAGTTATTGTAACAAATAAGAAGCAAATCTGTTGAATTCAACAATGAAATACTTATGTAAGAGACATTTTCTCTGAAATCTTTAATGGTCATGCCATACATGGCACCAATTGAATGTATTACGAACAAATATATTATGGAGCATATACCTAAACACAAAGAAGTATGCTACATACAAAGATGTTGAGCAGAAAAGCATCTCTAGTATATAACAAACTATACAGAAATATTGAACACAACTATGCTTTCCTCAAATGGAATGTATAATACATTGAAAATAACGATCACACATCATGTGAAACTTACAATGCTTATTCTCTAGCATGTGGGACATAATAGCAAACAAATAATCAAACAAACAAAGTAATATTCAGACAGATAATTAAGAATTAACACAATGTAGCCAAGGAATAGCACATATTCCCAAAGCAATCAATGCTAGACACACAAAGCACTTGTGTAAGTTAATTAAAAGAAGCAACAGACATAACAGTAATCAAAACGTTAATCCTTTTGAAGCAAACAAGATAATGTTGATCATAATGAACGAAATGAGCAATACACTCAAAATTAACAAAATAAATTCATATCTCATAACAAACACACACATATATTCAGTGAATAAAGCGAATATAATGATTAAAACAATATCAAACAGAATTTGACACAAAATAAGCAATAAAACAAACGAATATTACAATATATGATGAAAAATAGAACTGTAAAGTGTACTACTTCATCTATCTACAAAATAAAAGCAATGAATACATATTATAACTGTGTAGAGCAATATATTAATTGAATAAACATTACACAATGATAATAAAACATTATCACAATGATAAAATGATACAAACATACAAATAATGTTATAGTTTGTAAAAGTCAAAGGACACATTAAATGATAACAAACACAATGTACACATATATTGATAATAAATATATCTACTGCAAAACAGCAAAACAATACAAACATATCATATGTTTAAAACATAAATAATGTGCCTAAACAGACTTACAAACAGTCAGATGATAAAACAATACAAATAACAGAAGAATAAAACCTCAATCAACCTTAATATGAAGCAATCTGACATATCATACATGATATTACAAATTGCAAACAATACAATGCTTCAATATAAAGGCATAGAACTACAATTGAATGCTTAAAAGGCATGAATACGAAACGAAACAAACAAAGATAATACATGATGAATAGAGGACATCATAATAACATCAATAACACATTTTACAAGCATGATTCAACAGTTTCATTGCAAAAGTAAAAGTGGAAAAACTACTAGTAACACAATTCAAATGTGCAAGAATACAAATTAATGTGAACAAATTAATAACACACACATTGTTATTAAATATAGTATTAACTATACAAACGAAACGATACAAACAAAGTACAATTCTAATTACACAATGAGTGTAAGAATATAAAACAAACTACTTGTATAATAATACGAATACAAACAAAACGAATAATGGAACAACTGTAGAACAGTGTAGTATGAAGAAATAAACATACTATGACACAAAACAAACAATATGACATGAAAAACAAACGAAACAAAGTTATAACATATCATATTAAATTGCAAACGAGAAAACTACTATCATACGAATGATAAAACATTATAGTGACAACTATAACATTAATAATATTAAAACTATGAACGAACAAATGCTAAAGAGATTCTGCAGCTCTCTTAGCAATCATAATTGAATTAACAATTGATTTATTACATTGAATGTTATAATAATACATTGGACAAATGCAACACTTACAGTGGACTTAATATATGAAGCAAACGAAACATTTACATTGCAGATGTAAATGATATTAGTAAAACAACAAACAAACACTTATCAAACATTATATTAGCCTGATCAACTAGTATAAGTTTGAAGGGGAGTGTTAGCATTTATTCTGGATAAATGTGTTATATGTCTTAGACATGTCTTCTGAGACATACATCTGAGACACACAATATTAGATAGTATATATAATACTTAATATAAGGACAATGAAGCTCATAGGACACATATAATGGTACACAACACATTACCAACTATGCAGTCAACTTGTATTAATGCCTACACACCATGAGCAGAGCCCACTGAACCCCTACTGGTGTGAACTACTCTAAGGGAATCATTGTGACCTCAAAATGCTAACAGTTTTGTTTGCCAGGCATGTATTAAACATCAAAAATGTATTGAGCCAGGAATTCTTACTAACATACTTGTCAGTGTGAGAGATCTCTCTGGGAAAGGAAACTTGTGAGCATCTTGTGATTTGTGAATACAGTGAATGTAGTTCCCAGGAGGTCAGAGCAGAACTTTTTAAGAGCTTTCACAATAGTGAGCAATTCCTTTTTGTAGACTGGGTAGTTACACTCTACAGGCTTTAAGGGAGTAGAGTCATAAGTAACAGGACAAGCCAAGTCTGGTGAAGGCCCAAAGGAGAGAACTGCACCTGTACAGAGATTCAAGGCATCTGTGTAGAGATAGATCTTATTGTCACCAGGATCCAGGTAGTTAATGACTGTTAAGTATTATGCAGACATAGTAAGAGCCTTGATAGTGTCAAACACATGTTGAAACTTTGAAGACTAGTATAGGAAATCCTTATCACATTCCTTTGATGTTAAAGGGTTCAAGACAGTAGTATGTTCCACAAGTCTAGGTAGAAAGGGAGCAAGAAACTGGACAAGACCAAGAAACCTCTGTATGTCTGAAGAAGATTGTAGCACCAGCCATTGTATAATCTTCTCAGTTTTAGTGGGGTCTGTGTGTATGCCTTGCTAATCTATTCAATAACCTAAGAAATCAATTGATGAACAGAACAGGGAGGTTTTCTTTGGAGAACAGAAGAGGTGTGCTTCCTGAAGGGAGTCTAGAACAATGGAGATATTCTTAGCATAGGCTTCAAGATCAGCAGACCAGATAATAATGTCATCCAGATAGACATGACAGATCTTACCAATGAGACAATGTAAGGCTTCCATCACACAATACTAGTAGGTGGTAGGAGCATTTCTGTAGCCTATAAGTATGACAGTCTATTCATAGAGTCTAAGCAGTGTATTGATTGTAGTCAAGTAGATGTCATTAGGATGAACACAGGTCTGAAAGAAGGCATTTGTCATGTTAATTTTTCCCCAAATAAGACCTTTTACACAGTCAGCCAGGATATTGTCTATCTAAGGTAGTAGATAGTTATCAGGTATTGTATTACTGTTAAGCTCCTAATAATCACAAACCATGTGTGGAAGAGCTGAAGGGTCTGATTTAGTAATGAGGAAAGCAGGAGAGGAGATAGGACTGGAAGAGGGTCTTAATCTGCCAGTCAGAAGATGGCTCTGTAGAAGGACCTCCTATGTGTTACAATATTTTCTAGGGCAGGAGTACTAGTAAGGCTTTATCTGAAGGTTTGGATCTTTCAATTTGAAGCAGTAGAAAACATTAGAAGGGAGTGTGTCCACATGAGGGAGCTCTGAACAGAAAAGTAAAGTATATTACTTACACAGACTATCACTTAACTTAGAGAGGTGATCCTGTAAGGCAAGCTCTTGGATTTTTGTATGTACTGTTAAGATAATGTCTAGAGAGGGAGAGTTAACTTGTAATGCTTGTGAAGTTGGAATCCAGCAGGATACAGGCAGGAGCTGGTAGTTGGGAGTAGAGCAAATAGTCTGTGTGTAATAATGAGAGACTGTGATTCTATTCACAAGTAAGAACAGTAGGCCTAGGATGATTAGTGAACATAGGGAGGGGGCAACTACTGTCCTAATAGTACAGGATTTCCAGGTGTAATCAACAGAAGTAGGGGAGAGTTTAATGTATTCATGTAGGGTTTGTAAAGAATTGGAAGAAGAATTGGATAGAGTAAGGGAGATATGAATAGGGCTAGAGAGACAGAAACAGGGCAATCTGAGGTTGTGTACAAGTGCTTCATTAATAATTGCTAGAGAAGAGCTATTATTAATAAGGGCACAGATGGACAAGGGTTTTAGTGTTGCAGGACTGTCTAGCAGACACTCCTAATAGATTTGGGGGGGGTTAATAGGCACATACTTGTCTGAGTCATTAACATGGACAGCTGAGAGCATTTCCACCCTGAGAGTAGCTGCTACTGTATCTTCTTCTTGATAGGACAATGACAAACTTGTAGTAGTGAGTAGTTTGAGCTGTAATGAAACACACACATAGTTGGGAAGTTGATTGAGCCAGATATTAGTTGTGATTGATACAACCAGCACAGACTTGACACAGTTCAAAGATGGTAGAGAGGGCATGTGCTTTAGACATAGGTAGATACCTTCTGCTTTAGTGATAGACATACAATTTATTCTTGAATACAGGATCTGGTAGTCCTTTGTAAGGTGATTAACATACATGAAACAGCATTTGAAGCATCCATTATGACAATTGAGCATGAATTTCTCTACAGTTGAGAGTTTCTCAATTTTTGGGCTTACTACATTCTCTTAGGCCTGAGAAATTGTATTAGAAGTCCTTAAGGGACTAGAGAAAGAGGGAGCTGACTGTGTAGCATGACTGCCTTTGTAGCTATGGATAGTATCTGTAATGAGCTTGTAGTAGTTGTGTACACAGTTGTCAGCCTCACAAACAGTAGTAAGCTAGTCCTAGAAGTCAGTAATACCTTGAATTCCAGGTTCAGAGTACACTCGTTTGAGGTCAATATCTAGACAGGCACTCATAAGAAAGCAGATTTCCTGGTAAGAGAGGATGGTAGGACTTCTACTGAGGAGATGGTTTTGGCCAAGAATCTCAAAATAGAACTTATTAGCATGTTTTCTGTCCTGTTTAAGATTTTCGATTTCATCACACAGCTTAAGGTCCCAATTATGCTCAAGAACAATTCCCTTAAGGTTGGCAATAAACTCTTCAAACTCTATAGCCTCAATCCAGCCAGGTTGGGCTGTATACCAACTACAGACTTTAATAGGCTCAAGACTATGTATGATGAGGCAGACTTGTTTGTCATCAGGAATATTCTTGTGTGTGAAGAAGGCAGTACATTTGCAGGCATATTCACTAAGGAGCTTTAGGGTCATTTGACTGTCTGTTACAGTAAGGGCAGAGTTAGACTTATAACTACTAATTTGGGCTAGAGGACAGGGTATGTTAGAGTAGACAGGTGGCTGGTAGCTAGTAGCAGGTTGAGTGTAGGAGGCAGGTGGCAAGTGGCAGGTCTAGACAGTAGGTGGCAGGTACAAGTAATGAGTAGCAGGTGGCAGGTTGACAGTTGGAGAAGCTAGTAAGTCTTTATAGCAGTTGGCAGGCCAGACAATTGTGATGTTCAAAAAAAAGTAGAGACAATGTCTCACTCAGGTTGTAGAACAGGCAATTGACTGGTATTGAAGGAGGTACAAGAAGAGATACTGTCTCAGGAATGTCTTAGAGCTATTTATAAGATAAGTCATGTGATGAGGCTAACAGATTGTGTGTAACCTCTACAAGGTTACAACTCCTAGCATAAACATGGATCCCCTGAGTGTACATCAAACTTCTGCTTGTTTAGAAAAGTAGAAGTTAAACAAGTACCTTGTTCTAATGACTCAGAAGTGCTACCAGTACAGCTAATAGATTGTGTGTGTATTTGTATCATGTAAGAATAATCAAACTCTAACAGATTGACAGGTTGCACATCATACTTCCACCCTTCTCCCCCTCTGTCAAGCAAGATACAGTATGCCTAGAAAAAGGCCTGGTGGCTCACAATCAGCCAGGATTTTGTACCTCAATCTTAGTAAGGATTTTGGTTCTATTACTAGAAAGACAAAGCAGATCTGAACAACTAAAGACAACAAAGATGAGATTAAGGAGGAATGGAGGTAAAAATTACAGAGTAAGTATTTATTACTTTATTTATAAAGTTATATAGTTTTTGAACAGTCTGATAGAGCTACACAAGGAAATTCTGAAGAAACAGGCTGAACAGATGAGTCAAATCAACACACTGGGTGGGTTAGAGTATTAAGACAACTGTAGCAATTATGAGGGCCTGTTAGGTTGGATAGAGGATGCACTGGCACAAAATGATGGCTGGTCAACAGAGCAAGTTATTGTTGCTGGAGAGGAGGATGATTATGAGGACATAGAAGATACAGAAGAGGAGAGTGAAGAGTGCTGTATGAAAGCATATTTGAGACAGTTTCAAACAAAGTATGTACTAGAATCAGATATTAGCTCTCTTGATACATACTAATGTCTTTAAGGTGCAGACAATATCACTCAAAGGTGGCAGAGCATGAGCATATAGAAACATCAAACAAACACTGGGAGAGTCTATACAAGCAATTATTTCATGCTTATTTGGAGTAGGATGCAAACAGTGCTCTAGAATCAACTGTAGACAATGATTTGTATGATTCTATAATCTGTATTAATATGTTCAGTGAGTTTCCAGGTCTTAAGGATTTCAAAGTACATCTAATCTTTAGAATAAAGATAGGAACAGTCTTTCCTTCCTATACAACTCAGAGAGACCATTAACAGAAACAATGGTTCACCATGAGTACATGCCAAATGCTCCATTAAACCCAAACTTAGGTATTTCAATGTGTGTCCTTGAGGCCTACTGGGTGATAAGTAGTAGATGCCCAAGTCTTGGAATCCAGCCCTTCATACATAGTTTGTGTGAACTCTATAATGTATTGTTTCTTATATCTTCTTCCTATGTATTCTAACTGTTTAATTAGATATTGTTTCAAACCTCATATGTAAAGATGTTTTTTCATACTTTTGATGTCTATCTGGAGATTTTGCAGTGTATCAAAGAAGCACTTGACAGGAGGAAGTATCCTACACTCATATCTCAGTACAAGGACATGTGTCCCTATTGTGTAGCAGAACAACCAGACAAAGAAAAATTGGATTTCAAAATGTTGGTTTGTATGGATAGAAACGAGTCACTGAAACAAAATACCATACAGTACTGCATGCTAGATTCTATGGGCAACACAACACAGATAGTCAACATTGAGAGGCCAGATAATTGTACAATACACTCAGACATTTTTGTGAAGGTGTCTACTGTTAATAAATACCAATATGAGGTAAAGAAACATTCAGAAAGGGTGAGTTTATTATATTATTCTGTTAAACTATAGGGGAAGCAAGGATGGAAGTAGTGTTTATGAAATTCATTAAACTTTTCCAGCATGTTTCAGTAATACTGATCTCCTTCATAGATTCTAGAACTAATACAGAACAGAAGCAGTACTGTTGACTCAGGTACTACAGATAGAATGGAACATACAGGACTTGCTACATCTGGTTCAACAATTGATGAAGAAGGCTCTCCAGTTGATGGTGTTACTGAGAAAACTCCATGTACAGATCACTAGACAAATCTATCAGCAGACTCCAAAAAAAAGATGTGGGGGACCTTTTCTGAAACTAGGATTTTTATTACTGTATGTCATCATAGTGTAGTCCTTCTTATCTGTAACATGATTCAAAGTAGGGAACTGTGAGTAATCAATTATTTATTTCATATTTGTGAATTTGAACTGACAGCTACTATTAATAGTGCCAAATATCTGCTTGTATTGACAGGCCAGTTGATAGAAGTGTTTGGTGACAATCTTATGGTTGGCTATGACATTGGTTGCAGATTCTCTACAACAGCCAACAATAGCAAGTTGCTTGGCCCAAAAATTCGAGCAAACAATTGTCACTTTTGCTGTAAGGCATTTTATGGTTATACACATTGTCAAGAGTGCTAATTACAGTAGCACCTGTAATACATTGATGGTACTGGCTTAGAGGATTTTGAGGGCTGTGAACAAGTCTTTTCTGAGTTGAATCAAGTAGCATCAATTACTCATCATGCTTCAAAGTTTCATTTTAAGCAGACAATATTGCAACATTTTACTCAGTGGAATTCTGATAAGTTTGCAGAACTTTGTAAGTACATATACTTAATTTTATCTTATATAC